CAGAATGAACTGAGCCCAGAAGTCATGTATTTGTGACCAGTAGTGGATTTATTTCCTGCTAGGACTGGAAAATGGAGTAGTACATTATACTGGTTGCACATACCGAAACGATGAAATGAGGCCATCAGTATTTTGTGTAAATAAGCACAAGCCTTCTCTGGTTTGAAGGACAAAAGGGTGTCGGAAAATGCAGATAATGGAAAATCCCTGGCCCCAACTTAAGAGGCTATAGTTGGGATCCAAAAACCAAGGGTTCTTACAAACAGCGGTGCTTAGTACTGCAAGCAGATCACTTTGATCTCACAAAAGGATAATTGGCAACTGGGGTTTTTTTTTTCTTTTAAAGAAATTTATTGGATTTTCCATTGAAAGACTTGTGTGCATGAGCAGCACCTATCCCCCAACAAAAACCCGTCTGGAAGAACCCTAAGAGACTGGACATGCCCAGCACACTCCTGTACTATGTCAAAACCTCCTCCATGTTGGTTTCCCCTCCCCTATTGCCATCTGGTATTAAGAGCAGCTGATCAAGAAACACAGGTCTTGAGCCTCATTTGTGTTGAACTCAAGCCACTGGAAACAATTTTCCACAGAAGTTTTACATCCAAATTTCCTTCAGTTTCATTTCAGGTAAAATCTGGGGACAACCTAGGAACCTACTAAGAGCCCCTGAGAAATTTGCTACTTTTGTCAAAATGTTTGGATTTCCACAAAAATTCCTGAGGTGAGACATCAAAATATTTCACCTCAGGAGAGTACCCCACCCAAAATTAAATTCAAAAATTGTCTTAGTAAAAAATGTTGGCAATTCAACTCTTAAGCAGACCTGAGGACTAATTATCACTGTTTGTGGCTGGACAACATAGCGAATACTGTGATTTGTTAAAGCCTTTCCAAAGACTTGGCACAACCTCTTGAAAGGTACCACTCTCCTATTATTTTAACAGACGTGTCTAATCTTAGGCTAAAAAAGAATGCTGTACTATTTTCTTGTTCTAAGAGTATTACATGGAAACACTATTTCAAAGGGAATATAAAATATATAAAAAATAAACAATCAAAGTGACATGACAAATAGGTTATTGCTTTAGACAAGCCTTATAGTCTTTTGACACTTAAGACTTACCTGGCAGCAAGTTCCATTGAACTCGATGGGGCCTATGTCTGAGTAGACATGTATAGGATTGTACTATAAGCGGGTATCTCAATGTAAGCCTATATCTCTCCCCCCTATCTATATAAAACAGAAAATTAAAACAATTAATAGGGCATGATCCAGCAAAAATGTACCCTTTTTACTCTTTCTGAAGTCTAGTTGCAGGGAGGCTTGCCTGGCATAATCACTAGTTACTTTTAAGTGTCAGGCAAAATTCTTCTTTTCAACTAGGCTTTTGGCCTTCAACTTGAAGAGTTTCTGTGCATCTTTCTGTGTTAGGCAGCTTTTATGCATCTGATTGTTTTCAATTGTTATGTTGTTTTAGATTTTTAATGGTTTTAATTTTTGTTTAATATTATAAGGCACTTTGAGTTTACTGTGATAAAAAAGCACCAAATAAGTACTACTACTACCACTACTCATATCAATCAATCAATCAATCAATCAGTTTATTATGATCATAGACCACTACCAATAGCCACTGGGTACAATATTGTGTAAAAGAGGCAGACAAACAAATGGATGATAATGAAATAATTGGGACTCAAACACCATCTGTTTGGCTGGATTGTGCCTTTGACTTTTTTCCTTTCATTTAGGTTCCACAGAAGTGTTCATATTTTAACCATTTTATTTTACTTGTGCAGCTTTCATAGCAGACTAGATGGTTTTTATGATGAGAGCACGTTTATTTTATTTATTTTTGGTTCATAAAAATTATATACTGCTTCACTGTAAGAAAACCTCTAAGGGGGTTTCCAAAATATAAAATGTGTTTCTACTGCACAATCCAGCAAAAACATTTGGTTGCTAAAAATATGTCAAAGAAAACATTTGATTACGAATTTCCAAGATAGCATAGGATGAAGTGATTCCAATGTGTTTTCATGGTGTATAAACCATTTCGCCGTTCCATTTCTGGCCAATGCCCCTGAAAGCTCTAATATAAAGTATCTTCTTTTTCATTCAAGACAAAATAGGACATAAGATACAATCTAATGGTCAAAAGTGTGTGAACTTTTCCTTTATTAATACCAAGTGATGATTCACACCACTGAATCCTGAAGATAATATTTTAAAAGGTCCTGTAAATATAGACATGGTAAAGGAAGACTCACCTGTAAGCAGATAGCCTCATGAACAGCTAAAGCTTTCACTGTACTGATCAGGACAAAAACAACAGTGGATGCATGCCCAAATTACGAGTCAGTGCTTGAATTAGATGAGGCCCAGAAGGGGCTTTTGATTTTCAGAGTTGACTGTTCTCACACTTTTATTATTTTTATTATTAACCTATACAGCTTCATCAGTGCAAACAACATTTTAACAAGAGTCTCACAAGACAGCTTAGAGCCTTTTTCTTTTATTTTTGATTGAGCAGTCTATAAATCTTGTTAAATAATCAAGTGAATAAATTAATAAAAGTAGTCAGGACCTTGCTCAATGATCTTGCAGTCCTAAATTGTGAACAGTGTGAATTCCAAGGTCTAGAGTTACTATAACTCTACAAAATCAAGATGTGGAATAACCAACACCCCTATAAGTCAGACTTCAATTGATAATTGAAAACAGAATCCAGATGGCAAACAATGTCATTTTCTTCTCCAAACAGAATTCTGTACCAGTTAAACAATTCAAGCATTTATTGTCTTTAAAAAATTACCTTCATATTTTAATTTATAATTTTAATTTAATTTTGAATACATGACTACTTTAAAAATCTTTTTTAAAAGTGATTATAAATAGAGCAATATATAGGGAAACACTTATAAGACTAATTGCTGAAAAATTAGCCTGGCTAACCACAACTTCTTCCCTGCCTGAAAACTATATATTTACTCTATAATGTGTGTGTGTATATATATATCCACAGCACATGGGTTACTCTGGTCCATTGTAATAATCAGTTCTTTTATGCAGTTTGCTTGCTTCAAAAAAATCAAAGTACTAATAAGGCAATAAACATCTTAAGATTTATGTAGTGCCCTAGATTCAAGTAAGAGCTTCTTCTCAAAGGTCTGGAAATCAAAAGAGCAGATGGCCACAAATCCTTTGAGAAATACTCATCCCAAAATATATAGGAGGATTAACTAAAGCAAATTTGTCTTCCCGCTCTTTCAACAGTCCCTTCCATCCAATGCTCCTTACAAATATCAATAGTAAGTGACACAACAATTCCATCAAGCCATTACTCTGATATGATAACATGGACAAAACATTGGCATAGTAAAAAGAAAAAGAAAAAAAACAGAACTTGGCAAAGGGGTAGCAAAAATGGAATAGGAAAAGAGGGCTAACTGGAAACAGAGAATGTGCAGAACTGGGGGGGGATCTACTGAGATTTGGAAAATAATGGTAAACAAATGAGCTTTGAAAGGGGATTTAAAGGAGACAACAGGGCTTGGTTGATTGATAGAAATGGTGACACTGCTCTAGTCATGGGAAGAATATGGTGGAAGGCATTAAAATAGGTGTGGGAGAAAGGAACACGGAAGGCTGATAGTATATTATTTTTGTATAGTGATGTGCAAAAGGGAATAAGAAGTGATGAGGAAAGAGGTTGACTGTCAGAGTTGACTGTCAGAGAATTCTACTACTAACATCTGCACCTCATACAAATATTTCTAGGAGCAATGCGTGTACAGCCATAGCAGGGTAATCACTTTGTACAAGACCTTGTGTGTGTCCCAATAGGCTCCTAAACAGTCTTCCCAGCACATGCAGCTCTGGAACACCACGTAGTTAATTTCTAAATATATCTAAAATTGAGACAACAGACAATAGAGAAGCATGTTTTCCCTATTACAACCCATAATTAGGAGCACATACATTAATCTATCTTAATAGAAGAAACACTGGGATGCAGTAATTTAGCCATAGCTGTTAATATATTAAGGTTTGGGTTTTTTAAATGCAAGAAAATATGAAGATGTTTGGATATAAAGTTGCCACATTATCTTCAAAAACACATATTAGACAATTTGATCCTACCCCAATAAAAGTGCTGGATTGCTGCCATACGAAAATTAGACTTACTTAAACCACACACACACACACACACAACCCTGTTGTCATTTTGCTGTAGTAGATTCAGCTGCAGTCACACACAGTGAGTTTTGCCTTTGGATGGGTGTTCTGATTTGAATGAAAAGGTGCATCCAACCAGTTTGACAGGGCTCTGATAGTATCAGAATCTGGATCTGAAATTTATTCCTAAAATTAAGAACACATATCTGTGCTTCAGATAATATCTGATTGCTATGCTGACCAATGCGAACTATGAAGAAATTTCCTTTCCCAACACAAAAAATTCTTTGATAGCAAAATAAACATTCACAAGCATTCACAAGTTGTCTCTCAAAATGAAGCTTTTGCACTATATCATAATATTAAATTGAATGTTTCTATTTGTAGTTTATTCTTTTTAAAGGATACCTCCTGGAGAAAATTCTTTTCAAGCAAGGTAGAAGACAGCATGGTTATATTAGCTGAAAGAAATAAAATTAACACTGCTGTTTGAACCATTAAGTGGAAAGAGATATTTACAAGAACAATATCAACCTCATGAAACATTTACTAGAAAGGCTTTACTTATCTGAATTCTCTTAAATGCAGCAATTAATAATGTTCATTCATGTTCAGGCAGGCTAATGCTAGACACCCATCCTCCAGAGACCAATTGTGTAAATGTGTAGTCTCAGTAACACTCAAGAAGAAATGATTCCTTACAACCTGCTCTGTAATTTCTCTCAAAAATATTACTTTTTCCACATACCCTTTGCTCCTTATTTTATTCACAATTGTTGTTTATCTTTAATAAAAAAGAAGTGGTCACAAAAGTATAGTTTCTAGCTATAAAACAGTGTGTTCCCCACGCTGACAAGTTCTTCATTGTCATGCCATAGTATCTTGTGAAAGCTAAAGCAGTTTTTTTTTAAGTACAAGCAGTAAAAGCATTGTATAATATTCATTTAGGAAGACACCTTCTACAAAGCAATTCAAGAAGTAACTTTTAAAAATCGTTGGGACCTACTTCACTTATGTATGCATGAGGCTCACAGAAGATCATTTTCTTTTCATATTCCTTCCTTAAGCAATATAATATCCTGACCCTGTCCAGTGCAGTCCTGAGAAATTGTCTTCTTTCTCAAAATGAGTCCCTGCTGGGCAATTTATATAAAGCAATAAAATCTGCAAAATATAAAGACAAAATATATTTTTGCATATAATATTAGCATTGTCAACATGAAAGACTTTATCTACTGGTCAGAAAGGAAATATTCTAAATAGTGTCATTTGTTTGTGGGAATGCACAAAATAGTTTCAACAACTAACACTTGGTGTTTCTTTGCAAAATAAGCCTTTGCTGGGTGCTGAAGCTCAATATGTTTGTGCCCACTTGTGTCTGTGTACTCTTGCAAACAAGTCTGTACAGAGGAGAAAGGTCATTGACTAGAAGAGTGCCTGCTGGCTTTACATTGAGCGATGTTAATTTTGCACCCCAACCAAAGAGGAATAACAGATGAATCATTATGAGATGTGAAGGTGAAACTTTCATTGGTCCATTATTTTACTGCATTTTCCAAGATGCAGCCATGTTAGTCTGTTGCAGTAAGGACTACGAAGAGTCTTGTAGCGCCATAAATATTAACAGATGTATTAGCTTTTGTGAACTATGGTCCATTTCATCAGATGCACAAAGTGTTATCCTGAGTTGCAAGTTAATTTACCCAGCCTATAACTCAGGATAACATTTCATCCCTCCAATGAAGTATACTGTAGGATACAAAAGCTTTTGCTATAATAGAGTTGTTAGTCTCTAAGGTGCCACAGGACTTCGTGTTGTTTTTAATGTGGTTTGTCCTAATTTTTGTCACATTTGCTCCATAATTAACAATGGTCAGTGTTTTTATTAAAATACAACACCCTGAATCCACAACACTACCGTTCTAACACAAGAGGGCTTCCTCATTCACTTCTATGAAGATGTCAGATTCAGCTTATGCCAAGTGATCTTTGCATTTAAATGTTTACTGAGAAGCTCCAGGGTATTAAAACTCTCCATGTGCATGCCAGAGCTGATTTATCTGAAATATTTATTACATGTTCTTCATTGCAATAGGAATCACACAGCTGATTACATAAAAAGTTAAAATACAGCATATATAATTAAACAGCAAGAATAAATACATGGCATGACTTTCGACAACCAGAAAAAATAAAATAATTACGTGCTGTTGTAATGATCAAAGGTTGCTGAGATACATCATATTCTATAAGCCCAATCTAAACTTTTTAGCATATTATATATTGATGCTGAACTCATTTCTCTGAGTGCCAACCTTTATGAAACCAAGGTAATCAGGAAAATGCCTTATACTGAGTCAGACCATTGGTCTGTGTAGCTCAGTATCCATACTTAACATGGAGAAGTTAGCAGGCCTGGGGGAACTCTAAGCTTTGCAGAAGTACAAAAAACTCAGTGTGGGGGAATAGAGGCTACGTTCAAATGCAGCTATGGAAGCTAACCTTCTGCAGCACTTACATCTCTGGTTTGGGGTCATAGCTGATAAATCATTACACTTATTCAGGGCAAATTCAAAACCACAGAAAATACGGCTCTCTCTGATCTACTTATTGAAGTTGCAGTAATGCCTGAGAAAGTTTATATTTCCCATACTTTCCCCTAACTAACCCACCACCCCCATATGACGTAGCAGATAAAGGTTAATGATCGAACACTCCTGCAATGTGCGATAAAAGCAATGCAGGAATAGTATCTGAAGCATTTCAGACAGCCCCCAGAAACTCTCTTTTTACAAGGACAATACAGCAAAAACAACTTAATACCGCAACATTACCAAGTAATAACTTGTGTAGGATGGTTGGAAACTTTATCACAGTCACTGGGGAGTTGCACAATTGCCTTTAGTGTGCTGAATAACAAGCATATGATGTGTTTGGAAAACAAGTTTTGTTGTATTGCTCCCCTTAAGAACCCGATTGTTGTCAATGGCACTTCGAAGGAGGAAGAGTGGTGATTTGTCTTATCTTATGATAAATGCATTTATCTGATTCCTGATCCCAAGCTTCCTCCTTCAAATGCATCAAATAGAAAGTATCTCTTGTTTAAAACAACAGCTGGGGTTAGCAAACCTATCAGAAGCACCACTGATAGATCCATGTTCTTGCGAGTTATTTGATAATCTCTCTGTTGTCAGGGACAACTCTTTTGAAACATATTTTTATTGAATTGAGAAGTTTTCAATTGTATTATTCAGTGTCATTTCAGAAAAAAACTTGGAAGAATATTATCTCTCAATCATTTAAAAATGATTTTACTCTGAATCAATGTGCAGTAAAATTGTGATGAGTCCCAAGAATAAGGCCTGTGCTTACAAAAAAAACTTTCATCCATCATTTTACTTCTAAATGTCAGCGTATTTACTTGAGAAGGAGCCAAGGCTCATGATGAATATAAAGCAGAAAAAGGAAAATTTCACTGGAAGCCTTGACAATTCTATAGCTGCTTAATTCACTTCAAGGTGAGTTCGGCAGTCAAATGCTATGGTCATAAACAATGCCCATAAGCATGCTTCTAGCATAGTAAAAAAATGTGTGGAAATCTGGACTGAAATTATATTAATCTTTATTTATTTATTTAATTTATCCTGCTTTTCAACACTAAAATTATTCCCAGGTTCGTTCATGTAATGTATCAAAGTACAACAATAAATGTAACTCCAAACACTAGTTTGTATCCAACTAGGTCTTACTCAGAGTTAGGAATGAACATTATGTTGGACAGTTCCAATAAAACAGGAGTGGAGATCGCGGTTGTTCACTTATTTGTCCCATGTCCAGAATGGAAATCAAGGCAGCAAGCCGGAATGGTATTCACCATGGTTGATGTTTTCAGTCAGCAAATGTTATATAATCCATAAAATTGCCATCCTTTTGCCTTGAAATGGAGTGGAATAATGTAGTAACATAATTTATGTAATTAATTACATAATTTCACTATTGCAGACAGTGAGTTGAATAATGTTGGTTTTGCCAGAAGATGAACTGCAGCAGAATGGAGACAGTTCTGAATGCAACAAATACAAAGTAGAATAAAAAATGATGCCTTTTAACATCCCTGCTCAGGGTTGTTTATACACTAATTCTAGAAGCCTCTAAGCCAAGATGGGCGAACTGAAGGGCTTGTCATAGAGGGCAGCATGGATACAGTAGACATAATGACAACCTGTTAGAGTGGTGAGAACTAATGGGACACAGTTATCTTTGGATATAAACTCTATAGAAAGGACAAATAATGGCATACTGGAGGTGACCCACGTCAAAAGGGCACTCAGTCCAGCAACCTAGGCTGTTCCCAATTTTTTAAAGAGTAATAAAAATTGTATTGTTAGGATCAAGGGCAGATACTGAAAAAACAAAACTGAGAATGTCATTAGATATGTTAAAAATATGTTTAATCTTCTTCATAAGCTAATGCAAAAAGGAATAAAGAAGGCATTGACTAAACACAAGTAATATTGATCCCTTAAGCAGTTTATCTTTATATACATTCTTACAGTACAAAGAAATAAATCCAGAGAGAAAGAAACTCAATATCTTCATGCAAAACTAACTGAAATGAAAAGCAGTAATCCACCTCTGAAGCAGCGCCACAAGCAGAGAAATCTGAATAAAATACTTAAGATAAACTAGGAACACAAACATTGCACATGTAAAGTGCATTTGAATTTCAGAGGTCACTTTGTTTATATAGATTTAGCTCTTACAGTTATCAGCATGAAAAAGCTGCTATATTACCACAAATTGGCAATTAACTTTAAAATGTTCTTACTACTGCTGTTTGCTTTAGTTTAAAAATGCATCTCATTTAAGTTTAGGAGGAAGAGAAGATTGATTTGCATGTTCCAGCAGTGTCAAGAGATAATAAACAATATGAGACATAAAAAATAATCCTGCTTTGTATTTGTTTCTGTCATGCTCTGACTAAGTAATAAGTGAATATGAAGAGGGCTTAATGCTTCTGAAGTCATGCCATGTTTAAATATTTTTCTCACATATACTATCAAGTTGAATTAGGTGCTACCAGAAGGTAAACTCATTCATCTTAAAATGAGAAACATTTATTAACCCAAGATGAATACGTGTTTGTGTTTTTTTGTAAAATATGCTTGGATCAGGAATCTCCTTGTTTATGAAACAAAAAACAAAAGAGTGTGCCTCTATGTAAAAGAGTTATACCCCAGAATAAATCATGAAATTTTAGCAAGTTTGATTTCATTTGGTTTAACTTGCCCTCATTGTTCTTCTATGTGAATTGGAGATTTATTATCAAGGACATAGTTATGTTGGCTCAGGTCAGTGTTAATTGATAGAAAGATGCATGGGGTTCACAATCATAACTGTCTTTACACTATCATACCTTTCAATTAGATTACTGTAATATGATTTATGCGGGGTGCCTTTGAAAACTGTTAAGAAACTTCTGCTGAATTAGACCATAGCTGCCTGGTTGTTACTTGGTGCCTTGAAGGGTCCTGCTTATGTAAATAAATGTTTGCTTCTTTATGTATGAGGTTTTTTGCATGCTGAGATCTTCAGAGTGTTCCCTGCTCGGAATATTTTATGTCTCTGTGGTTAGACCAATAGTTACAACAATGGAGTGGAGCCTTTTGACAGTGGTATTCTTTCGGAACATCCTTCCTAGCCTGGTTTGACAGCTGAACTCCCCTTAGCCTTTCAATGGCAGGTCAAGATATTCTGGATAAATAAAAGGTTTTGCCCATGCTGTTTAGCTAGACTTTATTTTAGTATATACTATCTGATTGGTTTTACAGTTACTTCTTTTTTAAATGACAAAGTTTTAATTTAATATTATAATGTAAATATGAGTCACCTTGATGGCCCGATGGCCTTTGTTAGGTAGAAAGGCTATACATAGCAGAAGTTTTATCAGATGAATGAAATACACTTTTTTTCAGATGTCCACTACATTATGAGGGGTGAGACCAATACTTCCAAGAATTGCCTATAGGCAGATGATCAGGGAGAACTTGGTGATTATCAGCTCTAAGGTAAAGGTAAAGGACCCCTGACTAGGGTGTGGCACTCATCTCGCTTCAGGCTGAGGGAGCATTTGTCTGCAGACAGCTTTCTAAGTCATATGAGCAGCATGACTAAACTGCTTCTGGTGCAATGGGACACCATGACGAGTGCTAGAGTACATGGAAACACTGTTTACCTTTTCGCCACAGTGGTATCTATCTATCTATGCTGGTATGCTTTCAAGCTGCTAGGTTGGCAGGAGCTGGGACAGAGCAACAGGAGCTCACCCCATCACGAGGACTCAAACTGCCGACCTTATGATCTGCAAGCCAAAGAGGCTCAGTGGTTTAGACCACAGTGCCATCCGCATCCCTCTGTCAGCTCTAATGACTGGTTGGGAGGATGGCTGCAGTCAGAGCAGCTGCTGAAACCTTTGATAGGCTGAGCGTTGCTCATCTCTGTTCCTTCACTCCATTGAAATCACAGTGGCATTTTAAACCTGTTTCAGTTTGAAAGCTGAATTCAGTAAATTTTAAAGCAACCCTAACACAATAAATACAATCCACACATCCGCCTCTTATGCCATTGTGTAAATAAAAGCTTTTAATTTTGAATGCATTTCTAGTTCACAACACACATTTATTTCAGCATGGCAGTGAGTAATCACATCAAGTTTTAAAATTCTGTTCATACCTCATTTAATACATCCAGCATATGAAATATCCAAGCCTAAAATGTAATTACAGGAAAGTGCCATAAGGTCATTGCAAAGGTAGAATCCCTTCAACAATATCTCACTATGCCTCCTACAGGATAATTCATCACTTGGTATAAGTGATGTTTTTTCCCATATTGTCAGAACAAACAAAATTAGTTTTAATTTTAAAATAGCGCCAGTGTATTTGTGCTTGAAATATTAAGTAAGCTTTGGCTTTCTTTTTCATTAGAATTAACATTTAAACATTTAAATTAACATTTAAAGCACAAGCTACTATGCCACGGTTAGCCATGGAGAGTCTTGGGAACTATGCTAGCAATTATACCTGTCACGCAGGCATGGTCAAACTTGGCCCTCCAGCTGTTTTGGGACTACAATTCCCATACAATTCTGACCCGGAAGAAATCCACGGACTTATTTCTAATCTTAAAATCGGAAAAGCCCCCGGTCCTGATCTAGTCCCGGCAGAAGCTATAAAGCTTCATGCTGACTGGTGGGCGAAAATCTTGGCCGCTACCTTTGATGCCGTAAACAACAGTGGGAAGGTACCAAGAATATGGAAGGATGCGATTATTGTTCCAATCCATAAAAAAGGCTCGACAGATGACCCGGGAAATTACAGGAATATCAGTTTATTGTCATTAATCGGGAAAATATATGCATGGTTCTTGTTAACTAAGCTTACTAAGTGGGCCGAAGAGAACAACCTGATTGGGCCTGAACAGGCTGGTTTTAGACCGAATCAGTCAGCGGTTGATCAGATCTTAGTTTTATACCACCTTGCCCGGAAATACTCCTCCCCAAATAGAGGCCAACTTTGTGCGGCCTTTATTGATTTAAAGGCCGCTTTTGACAGCATCCCCAGAGGATTGCTTTGGGGAAACTAGCCCGATGGGGAATAGACAAAAGACTTTTGTGGCTAATAACTAAACTGCATGACGGATCGGCCGCTAGGGTGAGAATCTCTCCGGCAGGCGACCTCTCAAACTCAGTAACTATCAATAGAGGTGTTCGCCAAGGATGTATCCTTGCTCCGACCCTTTTCAATCTATTTATAAGTGATATGAGGGCGCCTCTGATAGAGGCTCAAGAAACGATCCACGCCCCCCGTCTTGCCCAATATCGTTGCCCCCCTTCTACTCTACGCAGACGACGCAGTGATCCTATCCTTTTCAAGAGTCGGCCTTAGGAGGGCATTAAAAATTTTCGATGTTTACTGTAAATCAAATTTTCTTACAATTAACCATGTTAAGTCCAAAGTTCTAATTTTCACCAAGAGTCGAAAAACCTATAATTGGAGAATAGACGGAAAAGCTATTGACCAAGTCTTTAAATTTCAGTACTTGGGAGTCTTCCTCCAACACAACATGGGCTGGAAGGTCCATGTTGCATATGTATTAAACAGAGCTAAAGCCCTTTCCTATGCGCTATTGCGTTTTTCTTTTCAGATGGGGCTTTCCATATTCCATCAGTGTTAAAAGTTTTCAAGGCAAAGGTGATTGCAACAATAGCATATGCAGTCCCATTATGGGGGTCCTTTGCTAATCTAACCCAGTTGGAGGTAATCCAAAACCAGCTTTTAAGAAGGTTGTTAAAATTACCCAGGTGTGTAAGCAATACTGCTATACGACTGGAACTAAATGTTACATCTCTAGAAACCACATTATGGAAATGCATCCTCTGTTACTGGTTGGCTTTATGGCATAAACTTCCAAATCTCCACCTGATACAATGCCTCTGGAGAGATGACTTCCCTAGCCCCTGGGCAAAAATAATACATGGGAAACTTGTGTCCCTAGGACTATCTCCATCCGAACTATTAAAATTGGATTTAACTTCGGCCAAAAGAATTATAACTCACAAATTAGAGGAGATGGATTTACAATTTAATATTGCGACAGGTGGAGGCACCTGTTCGCCGATAAACCTTGGCTTAACTCCACCAACGAAACTTCCATCTTACTTAACTACCTTATCTGTGGTGACGCACAGGTATGCCTTTATAATGGCTAGATTCAATGTTTTCCCATCAAACGTGTTGGGTAACAGACTCTCCAACGGACAGATCTCACTCCTCTGTGACTGTAAAAGCGGATCTATAGAATCGTTATATCATATAATCTTCTGTTGTCCATTACATTCGGCTTCACGGTCCAAGTTTCTGGCCCCATATTTATCGAGAATTGCTGACAGTCCTCAGGAAGCCCAAATAATATACTTATTAAACGACGAAGATACAAGTAGATCCCTTGCAATCGCTAGATACCTGATTAATGTTTTATTTCAAAAGAGGAGAAATGGATCACTGTATGTTTCTGACAGCTTAGCTAAACTTAAGAACCATCAATAAGTGCCAGAACTAAGACGTATACCCCCAAAATCTGATGGATCGGAATTGCGGTTTACATAGAGGGAGCTTATTGTGTATAGTGTTTACTTAACTAAAGTAAAATTGGTTTTATAAGGGTGTTTTAACTTGGAACTGTTTAAATTGTATTGTTTATGGATAAATTCTGATGTATTGTTTTTGATATGGGCCAATGGCCGTAATAAATCTAAATCTAAATGTGAAAATCTAAAAAAAAAAAAATCCCATCATCCCTGACCACTGGTCCTGTTAGCTAGTGATGATGAGAGTTGTAGTCCCAAAACAGCTGGAGGGCCAGGTTAGCAGCACTCTTTAACAAACTACAGTTCCCAGGATTCTCCATGCATGTAAAAAAAAGGCATAATCACGTTTTTCAAATGCATGGTGTGAATGCGACCTTCAGGTTTTTATGTTGCTATTTAAACTTCTCCTTTCTCCCCACTGTTAATCACTTCCTGCTCCAGCTCCTTGCGTGGGCCTCTCGCTCGAGCTTCCTCAGAGCCCAAAATCCAGGCAGCCTTTTCAGCTCAGTTCACCTTCCCGCTGGCCTCTCCCATTGCCATAAGAATGGCGGGAACTCACGGGAACTCAGTTCCGGCACCTCAGGTGGGTGCCATTGCCCTTCTAACGAGGGAGGTGTTTGTTTGTGGTGAGTTCCGGCAACTCTTTATGGGGGCGGGGGGGGCACTGAAAAGCTATACATTTATTTCTTTTAACTGATAACGGCTAAGGAATGTGTGCTCTTATGGGGCTTGAAATTTGGATGTGATGGTTCTTTCGCTCCACTTTACTCAGCACTCAAAAAAACCTAGTCAGGTTTTGGGTTGAAAAGATGTGGGCGCGCCTGTAGTTCTCAGAAGCACTGGGATAGAGAGAGAAACTATTTTTACTCCATTCCCCGCCCGCAGGAGGGATATTTTATGGCTGTATGCTAATATCTTGACCCAGGTCACGTCCCCACAATTCAGAGGCTCCCTTTTCCTGCCTCGTGCTGCCGCGAGTAGCCAGTGGCGTCGAGCGCGCGGGCGCGCGGATTTCCAGTTTAAAATGGTTCCTTTTGTGAGGCTTGTCGGTCAGCGGCCTCTTGCGGCGTCGCGTCAGATTGGTGGATCTGTGCTGAAGAGAAACGCTCTCTCTCATGAGACGCCGACACAGGAGTCAAATTTCTCTCTGCCCAACCTTCGAGTGGTGGTGGGGATTTGAAGTACGGCAGTTAGACCCTGCCATTTAGAGTATTTCCCAGTAATAAATTATCTGATAATTATAAACCTTGTTCACTTGTTCACTCCAGCACTCTCATTTCTGGTTTCCCTCAGCCACTCAGGAACTTTAAGCCGCTCAACTCTTTGTTTCCACTACGTTCATTTACCTCAACATTCATCCCCTTTCTCCAAATTCTATCGTATATCTATATCTATATATGCACACACTAAAAAAACCCCCCAGCCATTTCTTTAAAACAAAAACAAAAACAAAAAACCCCATAGGGCTCAACTAGCAATTTTACCTTTGGACAAAATGTTCTAAATTCTGTGAGCTTTCCTAGAAGTTATATTTTATACTGGAAAGAAAAGTCACTATATAATCCACAAAAAGTGTTTTTCATTTTTCCAATGATTTAAGGGGTAAATGACTTTACATTTGATTCCATAGAGCATACCTGATTAGTCCTAAAGTGTGCAGTGAGAAATGTAATAAAATATCAACAATGAACCTATGATTAACTTCCAAAGATGACAGTATTATTACTGCAATATGATGGCACCCTCTTGTGGTTAAGGATTTTTATAAAAATGGCTGTAGCTGGTTTGAACATAAACTTCTCAGTGTTTTTTCCCCCTTTACAAACAGTAAGGAAGATTTTTTGTCTTCAGCAGGTGAAATTCTTTTTATTTTCATGGTATATGCTTTCTAGGGAAACCATACAGTGCCCTTTAGATAAGTAGCTACAGTCACAGATTTGGAGATGTCATAAACCCTCTGATTTCTCCTTGGGATTACTCACTTTCCCTAGTTCAGAAGGATTACATCCACACACAATGAAGATCTGATTCTTCTTTAGTCAGAGGAGCTTTTTAAAGTGATGCCTCCACCAGTACCTAACATGCTTGTGGCTTGCCAGATGCAAAATTCCTTATTCCAGTGAGGTCTAAATCTCTAGCTGATGCCAACTATACTTGTTCATTACAAAATAGTTACAGCTGTATGCTTGTATTGTGTGAACATATACTTAGACTAAAATTATCTTGCCACTGGCTTTTTTTTTTAGTCGTGTCAGAAGAGTCTGCTCTCTGTTTGGGGAAGGAGCTGGTTTTCTCATCACAGCTATTTTCCAATTTAGATTATACAGTTTTTAAGCCCTTTGAACAAGTGAATCTTGTAAGGATGTTTTAACACATGAAAGTAAAATTTAAGCATATAAAGCCATTTCTCATATAATTAACCCAAAGAAAGTTACTGATTCTCATTCTGATTTCTTGGTCTTTTTTAGATGTCAAAGAATGATGATGATCAGCAGTTTACTATTGACAATGCAATTAAAAATATGGATAAAATGTCATCTGAACTGAATAAACTTATGGGTAATTATTAATGCTACTATTGTCAGAATGAAGATAATGATTTATTTTCCTATTATGTGATGATTACTGCCTGAAGAGTTCTAGGAAATGATGTATTGTATATGAATCAATATATACAAACTTACCTAACTGCATAAGAAAATAAAGTATTATTCCACTTCCTCTTAATGCATGATGGTTATAACCTGTGCATTTCCTGTTGAAGTCACAGTTATTCAGGAACACATTATTTCTGTTAATGTTAAATGTCATTGCTATGTGTCTGCAAATTTTATTTACTACTTTCAAAAGGGGGGAAAGCTACAGCTTTCCCCTGCTCCTATTTAGTGAATGCAGGAGGGGATGAGTATGCCTCAAACTATAATTCATGGGTGGGAAACCTTTGGCCTGTGGACCAAATTTGGCATTCTAGGCCTCCCCATTTGGCCCACCAGGCTGTTTTCACCAAGCCATGAACAACTGCCCTATACATGACACCAGATGTCAGGTAATGGCAAGTCTTGGTTGAAAGGGGCTTTGTGGGCCCTACCAATTGGCAATGCCTGCAAAGTCTGCCCAGTGCTTCCCAAGGGATAAAAAACCAGCTAATTGTTGGACACTGGAAGTACTGAGCAAAGATTGCAAGCCCTGTGCTCAGCAGTTCCCAAGCATGGGGCTTGCAAAGCCCTCTTGGAATATTTTCCAAGTGCCTGACAACCAGCTAACTGTTGGGAAGCTCTGTGCAAAGCCCAAACCTTGACAGTTGTCAATCACCAGGCATCATTATGACAACAGATGATTGACCAGTAGATGGTCCCAAACTCCAGTGAAACCCTGTTGAGATGGAGAGAGAAAAAGATTTTGGCCAATGGGCCAAAAATGTTCCCTACTTTTGCTGTAATGGCTGTCCTTGTGGGACAACTGTTGCAGCTATCCTTCTGACAATTGATAGGTTTCATGCCCTCAGAAGCGTTACATTTGCCTGCAAATGTCTTCCAGTTCTCCCCCAAATGAAAACGTTGTAGCCATTTTTTAATTTCCCAATAGTGAATACAATGGTACCTCGGATTAAGTACTTAATTTGTTCCGGAGGTCTGTTCTTAACCTGAAACTGTTCTTAACCTGAAGCACCACTTTAGCTAATGGGGTCTCCTGCTGCCACCGTGCCACCAGAGCACAATTTTTGTTCTCATCCTGAAGCAAAGTTCTTAACCCGAGGTACTATTTCTGAGTTAGCGGAGTCTGTAACCTGAAGTGTATGTAATCTGAAGCGTATGTAACCCGAGGTACTACTGTAGAGGGTTTGGAGGGGAGGAAGGAAGTAGATTTACCAATAGTGAAAGGGGTGTGTGTGTTGAAATTAGGTGCTCCCTTTCACATGGTTATAAATTTAACAAACAGACTAAATGAATAAATACAGAAATATTGTTGTTCTACAGTAAAAACCCAACTGCTGCTTTGTGATCTTATTCTGAACTTCAGCCATCCAGCTCTAACAGATGTTTCTACAGAAGCTGATGAAAAGAAACGTGAGGAGTCCACAAATCTGTGAGTTCCATTTATTGTCCCTCTTCATTAACACTTTGTCAGTAGTTAGTGCTACATTTAAAAGGGCAAGCTGAAAGATAAATTTTATCTTTCCTAACTTTTTATGCCCCTGGACAATATTGTTCCTTTGAGACACTTTACAAAGTATGTCAAGTGTTGAGTTTTTGAATTGCATGCTATATTTGATTACTAATTAAATTACTGTTTTTCTGTAGTTGGCGTTGGTGTGTTAAGTTAGCTGGTGCTATTCTTTTATTTACTGCACATAGTAGGTGTGTAGAGCAAGCTAAGGAATAAATGGATACAAAAATATATCACCCAAATCCTCAATTTTCAAAAAAACAAAGGAGCAGTGAGCTTTTACTAGAATAGCTTCTTCTCATCCCTTGCATCTCCACTGTGCTCTACTTTTACTGGACACAAAACTGTGCACATTTAATGTTCTTAAATAACAGAAAGAAAATATGTGTATAGTATCTTGCCTTATCAGAACATAACGATGGATTTCTTAATAAAGTGCTGCAGAATTAAGGCCAATAATCCAATCCAATTTAACGATTCAGTAAGATATACAAAGTACTGTGATTGGTTTTGATTTTTGAACTCAAACTGACTTTAACATTTTTAGACTGGGCTTCACCCTGCCATGTGATGGTAACATAATTGCAAATTTGTCCTTGATAAGTCAGATGGACAGTGGCTTAAAGTTAGTACTAAGCCATTTTTTATGTTTGTGAAGTCTAGGCAGGAATTTGAAATAATAGGAATTATTGGTACTGGATAGAATCTATGAGTATATGATTGAATTTCCTATACAGTATACATAAAAATGTACAGCTGTCATGCTGCAGTTTATGTAGCTGCCAACAGGTGGCCATGCCAGTTCCAGATGAGCAAGCAGGAACTGCAAACCACTGTGTGCAATGCCTGCCCCCTCAATTAAATGTGGCTGCAACAAGATTTACAGAGGGGGAGACACTTCAGAAGCCACTCAATGAAGCACCTTCTCTTCCTTTAAAAAGTGGTGGGGCTTGGGGTGAGCTGTGGTGATAGGCAAGGTGAGGTATAAAGGGAGGAGGGGTTGGCCAGGTGCTGCTGAATAGTTGGCAAAGAAGTTGGCGTGTAGGTGGAGTTGGTGAGCGGAAAGAATGGGGGCAGTAGCTCCTAGTAATTATATGAGGACTAAAGCAATACTTAAAAGGGTTGTCATTTGTATTATGGGAGTCCATCTTGTACAGTGGCTAACTTGAAAAGATACATATAGAGAATGGAAGTTTATTTGTGTGAGAGAAATGGGTAGTAATAAAGGTTAGCAGTGGAAAAAGGAATATAAAAACAGATAGATACTTTATTGATTCTAGCTGCATCTGAAAATGCAGCATCTTAAACTAATTGCTGTTATCAAATGTGAAATATAGTTCACAGATATAGTTCCCACAAACATTAGACATTAGCATGGATACTGTGTTTGAGAGCATCAAACAACTTGAATACACCAAGCTATTCTCAGGTGAATATGTCTATTGTATTTTATACAACACTACTCCACAAAAAGCATTCACATGTAAAGAAATATGTACACAAATTGTAAGACAACACAGTTATTTTCAGTCTGTGTAATGTTGCATTTCAGACAGTGTCTATCACACACATGAAACTGTCTCATGAAGCATATGCTTAGTGAGAAGTAATACACTGATATTTTCAGTTTGAGAACTTAAGGCAAGAAATGAACTTGCATTTTAACATGAAAATAAGAGAAGTTCACCAAATATAAATCAGTTACTCTTCTGGATTTCTCTTTCAAAGATAAATAGGTGATCCTCCAGGAAATTTTCTGTTATCTTTTAAAGAGATCCAGCCGTGTATGTCAGCAAGCACTGCTTTCTTGAACACCGATCCTTTCCGTCTATCAGTCGAAGAGGCATTTTTCTGAAGTAATCAATTATATCAGCCACCGAAGCAAAATCCTGTGTGGTTTACAGAATGTCAATCAGTCAATGATTCTGACTATAGAGAAAGTTAAAGCAACGTAATTTTGTCTCTTTGTTTTATACAAATTGTTCTTTAGGGACAGTAAATAAACTATCTTTGGTTCTAGTTTTTGCTGTTAGCCTAGATTTGATTCTGCTCAGTTACTGCACTCTCATTTGAGAAACCTTGAAGGAGAAGTAGTAAGAAGAGTTGTCATTATGTAGAAAGTATTATATTTAATAAGTAATAAATATTAACATAAATAAATAAATAAACAAATAAAGTAACATTACATCATACCTCATTCCCTTTTGAGCTAGTTCCTAATATATACACTTTATCTTCCAGTTGGAAACGTATTGGAATATTGTATACTTTAGCACTGTAAAGCACCATCAAGACATAGGGTTGATCAGCAGCCTTTGTTGAGCTGTCTCTTACTAAGAAAGTGCCATCCTAGAAAAGTAACACATTAAAATATTTTTAAGACAAATGTTATCACAACTGTGAACAGAATTCATTGCATTTCGAAGCAAATGTGTTCAGGATTAGTCTTGGAGTGTGTGTTCAATTTCAATATTTTTCTCATATTACTATATTGATGTTATAATTTAACTCTTCACCTGGTTTATGGTCCTAAGAGCAGCTTCTGCATCTGTCCGGGTTATATCAGCAGCATACCATTCCTGATTTAGCGGGAGCTGGTTATACTTGAGCCACATGAAAAGAGAGACAAAGAGCTGTTTATTAGTGAGAATATGGTATTACCAGTGTAGGGCAAAGGAGTACAGAGCTTTGAAAGGCAGGTATGATATTTATTAACTGAATATGCTACTGGTAAGGTACCCAATCATTCTTTTCTCCTCTTTATGTTTATAACTGAAACCATTGTTTCTTTGGGGGGGTTGCTTATGGAAGTTTTATGTGAAATTGCTGCAGCTCTTGCCCACCAGTCCAGCCCCTGTGTTAATATGACATCAATAGCAATAGCAAAATGCCAGCCCATTTTTAATTATTATTTTCTGACATTTAGTTTAGCTTTCTCCTTATCATGAAAAACAGATAAGTAAAAATAACCTGTTGTATATCTGTAGTATACATGCGTGGAAACTCCTACGTGTGTTGTTGTTAATGGGCATTTTGTCATGAATGTAGTCATGGATTTGGTGGGAAGTCTCTATAACCACACTTATTATCCACACTTCCTCTTGTCCTGCTGTTTTCTCCTGGGAAAAACTGCTTTTTAGTACTTAATTGTAGTAAATGGCAATTTTCTCTGGATTGATACTTGCTCTAAAATGATAGTTTTTCATGGGAAAGGAGCAGGCCAAGTGGGAAACCACTCAGACCCATGATTTTTGCACAGGACAAGCAGACGTGTGGATGAGTCCTTATGCTTGCATTTGCTCCTCACCTGAGCACAACCTAGCCATTTTATTTCTAATGGCTCCAAATGCCAAAAGAAACACATCTATGTGCACTGATTGCTGCATGTTGATTTCAACAGCGCATCCAGTTTAGAGAATCTATTTTCACAAGATGTTTATACAGTATAAGACTTTAATTTCAGTACCTACAAGGGATAAAGAAATAAATCCTTGCAGAACTGTTGTACATGCTGCTGCTCCTTGCTACATATGGACTGTTTTTCTTCACCTTGCCTCACCCAGTTTTCCTATGCTTTGCTCATATGTATTCTGTTATTGGTTCTTATTGGCATATGTTTAAAAAATAAAATCATAAAATCATACAAAGCCATCCAAATACATTAGTAATCCAAACACATACAATATATAAAAGACTAGATAGTCACCATTGAGTAAATCAGGCAACTTTCGATTTAGCTTTAAAAATCTCAGCTAAATACCCTGAAACAATCTTGGTAGTTTTGGGAGAATCATCCCTCAACAAATATTGGATTACAGACTCTTTGTAAATCGATATTTTAAGCTATAAGGAAGTTACCACACCTATCAGCCAATCACTCGTTCCCACCACCCTTCTGAGTAATACCCCTCCCCACCCTCTCACGATATATATAAGGGTCTGGTGACTTCTGTTTCAGTGTATCTGAAGAAGTGTGCATGCACATGAAAGCTCATCCCAATAACAAACTTAGTTGGTCTCTAAGGTGCTACTGGAAGGAATTTTTTTATTTTGTTTCGATTACGGCAGACCAACACGGCCACCTACCTGTCTCAATAAAGAAGTTAGGAAACTTTCCGGGTCTGTATTAATGTGAATTTTTAACCAGAATTTGAAATTCATAATCCAGCCCCTAGATTCTAAGAGATGCCGGCTTAACTCTGCACACATAGCTAAATACAGTGGTACCTCTGGTTATGAATGCTCCTGGTTATGCGCGCTGCGGGTTACGAGCTCCGCTAACCCAGAAGTAGGCGCTCCTGGTTCTGAACTTTGCCCCAGGATGCGGACGGAAATTGCACACAGGAGGCGCCATTAGCGAAAGCACGCTTCAGGTTAAGAATGGTTTCCGGTTACGAATGGACCTCTGGAACGGATTCAGTTCATAACCAGAGGTACCACTGTAGGAGACGCATTTTGGAGCTCCTAGAATTTGTCGGAAGGATGCTTGTACATCCTCAACTTTGTTGTTAAAGTCAGTTATCCATAAGGAATCCCATAAAGGACTTGAAAAACACTTTTGCACTACAGACCCTAACTGCTGTAGGCACATTCTGGTTACCATAAAAAATATTAGAATCCTTTAATTCATGCTGCAGTGCATTTAGATAAGTTGGTTGTCCTGTTACAATGGGTCGCCCATTTTAGATTGTAATAAAATGTGATCCCTAAGTATTTAAAACTTTTAACTTGTTCGATTTAACTTGTTCCATTTCTTGATCACCAATACGCTATTTAGATGGGTGCCATTTTGAAAATACTAAGATCTTGGATTTTGAATAATTAATCACTAGGTGATTTCCTTGGCCGTAATGAAAGAATGTTTTTAGATACCTTTGGAGCCCAATTCTGGTTCAGGAGAGGAGGAGAGTGTCATCTGCAAATAAAAGTATGGGAACTGCATAGGTCATAACCTAGGAGGGTGGCCATTCACAATGAGTAGATGTTGTTTCATATCATTCAAAAATAGATTAAATAGATGTGGGACAAGAATACAGCCTCATATGTATGCCTTGGAAGGAACTGGGTCTGGCATTCTATCACATAAATTGTTCACTTGGAATTCACAATATATTAAACATTTTTGATGCTATTATTGTACCTTGTGGTACTGATCCATCGCTTCATTTTCAGCATTGAGAGAATGTGTGAACGGTCTGTTAGGAATTGGTAATGGTGGTCTTCCATCAGCAGGGCCTTTTGAAGCAGTTCTGCCAATATTACCTTCAGAAAAAATGAACATATTTAAAAATTAAATCCAGACGACTTAATGGACATTGGAACATGATTCTAACGAACCACACAAGCTTGACAGGGTCTTGGCAAAGTAAAAATGAAATTGACTTCCGATGAGAATATGTTTCATTACAACTTGAATGCTTTAAGCAGTAACTGGCAAACTGAAGGGAAAGAGTAGACAAGTCTGATAGAAAAATAGGCCGCATAACTCACAAAATCTCACAGAAATGCAAAGCGTCAAACATGAGAAGCATTATGACAGACATTCCTAAATGCATTTATTTGATTTATATCAAGGTTAGAGAACCTGGTTCCATCTATTTGCTGCTGGACTATAATGTCCATTATCCCTGGCCATTGTTCATGCTGGGTGGGGATCATGGGAATTTGAATCTAAAAATAACTGGTGCGCCAGATTCCCCATTTCTGATTTAGGTTATTTCATTACTATACTGCTCTAAAACCTTGTAATTCAAGAAACAAAACAACTTGTGTTCAGACAACCAATGCTTCATAAATTTGCATTGTCGCAAAATATTTAATGGAAAAGCTGTTAGTTTGTACTGGCAGCAATCATATGTTTTGAAAATCTAAGCCTGAATATTTATGAGGTATTTATACAGTACATACTTGGCTGAAAATGTGGTGGTAGTGATCCACTTGATGAAAGAGTGCTGTAAAAATAAACAATGATTAGCATGTACAAATGAGATCTGATACTTTGTAAGTGACTAGTTTTATATCTTAGAAATGAGGCCAGAAAATACTTGCTGGTATAGCAGAATTGGTTGCAAGTTGCAACTCTTCTCTTGTTTCAAATTGTTTGTGGGAATCCACAGGATGAATAAAGGAACTATCTGGGACAATATGTGTGTGTGTGTGTGTGTGTGTGTGTGTGTGTGTACTTTTATCTATAGTATGGGAACATAGTCATTCCAGAACTATGCCCACAGAAGCCAGTTTTAAACTGGTATAGCTCGGTGGGGAGAGAGTGGAAAACAGTTACAGTGGTACCTCGGGTTAAGTACTTAATTCATTCCGGAGGTCCATACTTAACCTGAAACTGTTCTTAACCTGAAGCACCATTTTAGCTAATGGGGCCTTCTGCTGCCGCCACGCCGCCGGAGCACAATTTCTGTTCTCATCCTGAAGCGAAGTTCTTAACCTGAAGCAATATTTCTGGGTTAGCGGAGTCTGTAACGTGAAGTGTATGTAACCTGAAGTGTACGTAACCTGAGGTACCACTGTACTGGAGTTAGTCTCAGTCATGTGAGCAGGATGAATTGCCCTTACTGCATTTGATTCTCATAGAATTTAATTCTCTTATAGAATTAAGAATAGCAATGAACAAGTTCCACATAATGTATAATAGCACACAACTAATGGTCAGCTCAATTCAACAAACCTTTCTGCACCAGGTATCGTCTTGGATGGTAAAAGGCTCTGTTTAGAATGCGGCTTAGGAGATCTGATTGGAAATGTGTTACATTGCAAAAATGGCTGGGGAACTGACCTGTGGTGAATATCTGCAAAACACACACCAAAAACAAAAACACAGTTATCGGACTCAGATTGGGACAGTGAATAAGAGATTTGTGGAACTACTCAGTTTGTTTTGGAAAAGCTTAGGCATTTCTGACTCATATTCTGGAATTCATTTCAGATTCAAAATGCTGTAGTTTCAGCATAGAAACTATGAGAGTTGAGGTTCCAGCAGATCTTCAAGTTTCGCTGACACAGTAGGCTTCACCTTGCATGAACAAAATAACACATTGCATTTATTATTGCTACTATTATTATTATTAGTTTTAGTTTTTAATAGCCCACCTTTTTCCCTGACAGGGACTCAAGGCAGCTTAGAGATAAAAATAAGAACTGCTAAAAAATTAATCATTCAAAACTATTAAATCCTGATAGAATTAATAATAATAATAATAATAATAATAATATCTTTATTGTCATTGCCCCCTTCGGGGACAACGAAATTACTTGACTGCTCCATAAAAACACTAATTAATCAATAGAGTATAATACAGCAAGGGAGATTAGATGACTTTCAAAGTCCGGGCTTCCCATTCAGGGCCGAGATCGCTCTGGAGAAGAAGCTGTTCTTAAGACGGCTCGTTCTTGTTACATTAAAGCGCTTGCACAAATTAGTATAGTAAGTTTCTGCACAAGAAACCTCTGTCAGTGGCAGAGGAACCCTCTCCGGCACCCAGGGTGGTGCAGCCTGTATGGACTGTGCATGTGTGGCATCCTGCATGTGCGCACTCTGTATGGAATGCCGCACATGTGCAGTCTATATGGGCTGCCGCTCACGAGCGGCATCCCGTATGGACGCCGTGCAAGCGGCAGCCAATACGGACTGCGCATGTGCGGCGACCGTACAGGATGCTGCACATACACAGTCTGTACGGGATGCCACTTGCGCACAGCGGACATATGGTCTGCCACTTGCACGGCGTCCGTACAGGCTGCCATGCGAGCGGCATCCCATATGGACGGTGCGCGAACGGCACCCATACAGACTCCGTGCGCCCTCAGCCGCTCTAGAGCTGGGGGGAGGCAGGGGCCATCTTGTCACTCCTCCCAAAGTGGCACCCAGGGTGGCCTGCCCCCTATGCCCCCCCCTACACCCCTGACCTCTGTGAATATACAGTGAGAACCACAGCATCCAGGAAGATTTCTGAATTGATGATAAAATCTGCCCATTTTTGTTAAGTTCCATATCCATCCTGGTGTATTACTAACACTGGTAAAACTGCAGATTTGCTGTCAAATTACTTATTTGGTGAAATTTGGTATCACTAACATACACTGAAATGCTAGTGGCTGGTAGCCACTTAAAAATGCCCAAAATTCCTGAGATGACCTTGCTTGGTTCACCTAGTCCTGACGGTGATCAGATTTCACGGTTCTAAGAGAGAAGCTCCCCATGTTCCTTGTTCAATATTTTAGCAGACTGAAGCAGATACTTGTGGTCAATATTGATAGGCGTAACTGCATGCAAGGTATTCAGCATTCAGGGCTTTATAGATCAAAATAAGTTGTTGTTGTTTAGTCATTTAGTCGTGTCCGACTCTTCGTGACCCCATGGACCAGAGCACACCAGGCACGCCTGTCTTCCACTGCCTCCCGCAGTTTGGTCAAACTCATGTTGGTAGGTTTGAGAACACTGTCCAACCATCTCGTCCTCTGTCGTCCCCTTCTCCTACTGCCCTCAATCTTTCCCAGCATCTTTTCCCAGAGTCTTTTCCAGGGAGTCTTCTCTTCTCATGATGTGGCCAAAGTATTGGAGCCTCAGCTTCAGTATCTGTCCTTCCAGTGAGCACTCAGGGCTGATTTCCTTCAGAATGGATAGGTTTGATCTTCTTGCAGTCCATGAGACTCCCAAGAGTCTCCTCCAGCACCATAAGTCAAAAGCATCAATTCTTCGGCGATCAACCTTCTTTATGGTCCAGCTCTCAAAATAAGTACATGGGAAGAAAAAACCACTAGGAGGCAGACAACTATATATTGTATTAACTGAAATTTCCAAGCAGCTTTTAAATGCAAACTTATGTAGGCTACTCTTGAAGTATAACAGTGACGGCTGAAACTGATAAATTAAGGATTAGTTTTAAATAATTTTTCTGGAGTACAGTTGCTGAAAGAAAATAATCTTGGCTACCATTACATTTTAGGATTCCACGCATGGAGATGGGTCCAGTAGTATTCCAATGTGGCAATCCTGAAAGCAGTTTGAGTTCCAGTGAAATAAAGTGGAATTTAGTATCACCTTTTTCTTCCTTCAGATTTCCTTAGAAATTTGCCACCTTTTTGGGAAGCCTTTTACTTAGCTCCTTAGTGGTCATCCCTAACTGGAAGAAGGCCTAAGCAAGCTGAACTGCATGTTCAAATAAATATCAACAATAATGATAGTAATAGGAATAATTAAGAAATACATTACATACTGCCATCTTCCATCTGAAAGAAGAAGAAGAAAAGTTAGCATTAGGGTTGTCACTTAATTAAAGATATATTAGCTGATTATCATGGGCTGTATTCAAAGCAGTACTAAGGAGATTGTTCTATCAGTGCAAGCATTCTTCTTGCCTGATGGAAAAATCTTCCCTCTCCTCCCCTTGTGTGCTGTTCTGGGGGTTCTCCTGACCCCCCCAGCAGATGTGGAGAGGGTGGGGGAGAATGAGGGGGAAGTCCTGTTTTGCTAGCGGGAATCATTGTGTTGGCTTCTGCTAGTGCAACAATTTAGTTGAATATGGTCCTAATAAGCATATGTCATATGAACTAAATAGCTTTAAAGGCAAAAAAGCATTATTTCTTCTTTTAGATAATGCACATGTGGCACAGCAGGTATCATCTTAGAATAGTTATTTTCTCTAGTTTCATTTTCTCTAGCCTTAATTCAGGAAAACAGCTTGTTTTATTAGAACGTATGTGATGTAGTTCTTAAAGTTAGGCAGATGTGAGCCTACTCTGTTCCTGGAGCAGGAAATGTTTTCAGATCAAGTATAGTGAGATTTAAACACTTGGCTCCCCACAAAATAAGATTCAATTGTAGCAAATTAAATATAGTTTCTACACTTTCTCAAAAATGCATACTTACTTCTGTCTTCCTTTCAGCTATCTGATTGTTCCTATAGGAAAGAAAGATAAAAATAATTGTATGTATCATGAGACTAGCTGGTACACTCAATATTTAAGAAAAAACATTGCTTGCAATTTACTGCCTAGTTATTTTGCTAGTCAACCTCCATCAAAGAGGCTAGAATTTAAAATTTTAGTTTCTAGGTGAAAATGTGTTTGTTATAAGCAAGGAACACCCATCTTGGGCACTGAGCATAAAAGAGCCTTGAGGGATCAGAAGTCCCATCTAGGCTATCATCCTGTTCTCACAGTGGCCAGGTGCCTATGGGAAACTTGCAAACAGGACTCAAGTGCAACTCTCCGCTTGTAATTCCAGCAGCTGGTATTCAGAGGCATACTGCCCCCAGCAGTAATAGCTTAAAGGTAAAGGTACCCCTGCCCGTACGGGCCAGTCGTGTCCGACTCTAGGGTTGTGCGCTCATCACACTTAAGAGGCCGCGAGCCAGCGCTGTCCGAAGACACTTCTGGGTCACGTGGCCAGCGTGACGAAGCTGCTCTGGCAAGCCAGCACCAGCGCAGCACACGGAAACGCCGTTTACCTTCCCGCTGTAAAGCGGTACCTATTTATCTACTTGCACTTAGGGGTGCTTTCGAACTGCTAGGTGGGCAGGAGCTGGGACCGAAAGACAGGAGCTCACCCCGCCGCGGGGATTCGAACCGCCGACCATGCGATCGGCAAGTCCTAGGCACTGAGGTTTTACCCACAGCGCCACCCGCGTCCCCAATAATAGCTTAGCCCTCCATTAATTTATCTGATCCTTTTAAAGTCATCCAATTTGGTGGCCATCACTGTATCTTGTGGGAGAGAATTCCAGAGTGTAGCTGTGTGCTGAGTGAGGAAGTATCAGCCCTGAATTTTCCAACATTTAGCCTCATTGGATGGCCTTAAATTCTAGTATTACGAGAAAGGGGAAAAAACCCTCTATCCACTTTGTCTGTACCATGTATAATGTACACCTTTATCATGTCTCCTGTTACTTGCCTTCTCCCCCTAAACTGAAAACTCCCACATATTGCAACCTTCTCATTTTAATGCCCATACACTTGGTCTGGAAAGTTCCTTTTGGAGCTCCTCATAATCCCTTTTTATTTTAACCATTCTGATCAATTTGATCAGCTAATCTGACTACCTTACTGCTTACCCTCTAACTCTAAACTACTAATGAACAAGTTAAAAAGCACAGAACCCAATACTGAACATTGGAGGACACCCACTTCCTACATCTTTCCATTAGGTGAACTACCTATTAATTCCTACTCTTTTCTTGTTTCTTAACCAATTCCTGGTCCATAAGAGGGTTGTCATCTTATCCTATATAACACTTTAATCTTGCACATTTTCCTCCAGTTTAACTTTTTTAAAGATGACTCTGCTAAATCATTACTCTTTGCTTGAACATTCAGTTACAAATGTATTTCATTCCAATTACAAAATGAACCCACCCACCTACCACTGCAAAATATGTTATTATATGGCAGAAAAAAGCCTGAGTATTCATCTTCTGACAAGTGGACCAAAGGCATGCTAGATATTAGAGCTATGCAACCAATATATTAGTAGGAAGGTCAGGAAATAACAAATCACTATATTACATATTTTGTATGATTACACTAAGTTTTTCTTAAAAATTGTAAATGTAGGTTTACTTTATAGGTGGTGGCATCCTTCTAGAGGCAGCATTGTTTCTGTCATAGCTATCAGCTAATGGTACTGGAGGCTTCTGTATCTTTTCTAACTCTTTTCTAAAATAAAAGAGAAAAACAGCAAAGAATAGGGTTGATTACTTTTGGTCTGTCATGCTAAGCAGTTAATTGTGATAATCTGTGTCACAGAAAATAAAATATTTACCTCAGCTGAGGGGTCAAAGGCTATAAGGAAGAAATAAAGGAAGGTCAAATTAAATGAAAGGGTAAAATATATATTTAAAACGGATTAAAATGTAATACAGTAGAAGTGAAGACATTTCTTACCATTTTGCCTGAAAAGATGAAATAAAAAGAAAAAAAGTTAGTTAAAGTAGCTAGTTGTGATTGGTGACCACTGTCATGATCAAGTTTAATTGTGTGACTTTAGGACTGTCACAATTTGACTCTGAGAGTATGTTTGTTAACCTACTGCATAGAATACAAAAATAGGTGGTATTTTCATAAATCTAAGACATCCTATATGGTATGTGTTCATGTGATTATTTCCTTTTCACAAAGCAAGTATGTCACTGACAACTGAGTTGTAAATATCTCTTTAATTTGGCATGTCTGAGGATAGGAATATATAGTGTGTCAACCCTATCTATTTCCTTTTACCAGCTTTTAAATGTGATAACCTCTAGAGAGGCAATAAGGTAAAACATTTCATACTTGTATTACTGAATCTAAACTGAATTAATTTGGAAGCATGCAACTTACTAAGGAAAGTTTGCAGTATTTGAAATGCTAAAAGACTGTGACTCTTGAGAGCCTGTCTTATTGCTCAAGTATATTCACCACTAGACCTTATTAATAGTTGCTACTTCTGTTACTTTAACTGATATTTTAGATTGCCTTTTCTGATTATCTCTCAGAATCAGGCAGTAATGTATAATGATGAAGTTTAACTTAAAATGCTACTACAGTAAATTAACTTTTCCTTTCTAATCGCCAACAAGCCATATCAAGTTTTTCAGAAGGACATCTTGCTAAGTTTTGCCCACAGTAGCCCACAGTTTGACTTTTCAGGTCATAGTTGTAAGTTTTGTAGTAGCTTGCAGCACATATTTGTTCACAGCCTCCCCATTTATGTTACAGCTAGGTAGCCATGTAGGTCTGCTGTAGTCAAAACAAAATAAAAAAATTCCTTCCAGTAGCACCTTAGAGACCAACAAAGTTTGTGATTGGTATGAGCTTTCGTGTGCATGCACACTTCTTCAGATACACCGAAACAGAAGTCACCAGATCCTTATATATATAGTGAGAGGGTGGGGAGGGGTATTACTCAGAAGGGTGGTGGGAACCACACCCATTCGCACCACCCTTCTCTAAGGTGCTACTGGAAGGATTTTTTTTATTTTGTTTCCCCATTTATGGTCAGCTTATTTTAGTGCTTTGTACAATGTCTGGCAGTTTATAGCTATGAACCAATACCTACCTGATCGTAGGATGTCTCTGTCAAATGGAGGCCCAGATTTTTCCAGTGAGGGCTTTTTGCTTCGATCTATGGGAGCTGGTGACAGTGAGAAACAAAAAATATTTTGTTAAACTTGGTGCTAATACTTTATTTTAGACTTTCAGAGTCTATTCAGAGTATTCAGAGAATACTCAAGCAGTTTACAGTTATCTGGTACAAAACATAACACAGATCATAAAATAGTATTAAAAGCTTAAAAAAAGAAGAATTAAGAATGGCAGAAATAAAGTTGACTAATTTGGGACAATTTGGAAAAAAATTAAAGCTTTCAACACTGAAAACATAAGAATGTTGCTGAAGTGAATTCCTGACAGCTGTCTGGATATGAATTTCAGCACAGTATTTCAGTAATTCTTATAATGACCGCTCCCCGCTTAAAACGGGGGGCGCCCTTTGCGTGGACGCGTGCAGCCCCTAGATCTGGAGCGGCTCCAACAGCATAGGCTTGGTTTGCCTTCCCTCAGGTGGGATACCTGGAGGTCTCCGCCTACCTCAGTCAGTTGTCAATCCCACCTGGGGGAAGCGTTGCCAAGGAGACCAGGCCAGAGTTAAAATAAAAAATTGTTCAACAATTAGTTGCAGGTTGTGGGAAAAGCTGGAAGGACAGATGTAAAAATAATGCTTTATGTTTAAAGCAATGTAAATATACTAAATGATGCAGTTTTTAAAAGGTTAAATAAAAGCACTTACGTGTAAAGGGTTTGATGCTTTTTTCTCTGATACTCTCATTATTGTTTGCAGGAGAAAGGAAATGTGGCTGCTAAGGTAATAGATTTAGTAAATACTGTGTCTAGCAGAATGGTAATTACAAACTTGATTTTAATCTATTGAGATTATTTGAAGGTATTTCATAGCTGCCAACCAGTGTTCAAAATAACCAAGTATCACAGATCTGTATCACAGACCTGTTGCTTTCCTGTTTAACTTCCTCCACCCCCCCACCCCCCCGTGTCTGGATCTATTTCCAGTTAAACTAGGGTTGTGAATCTACACAATTTTGAAACATGATGAATTTTTTGTTTTTGTTTTGCTAGTCCAGCGCTGATTGACGTGAGCAGTGTAATCTGGCCATACTAGATAGGTAACTACAACAAAATAATGCAAACAACTGGTGACATTTTCAGAAATAGGGCTGGTGAATTATTCTGGTAAGGTATTAAAAAGGCTTTTCCAAAGCTGATACACAGTTGTGTAGCAGTTCCTCACCGATTGACTGTGGTTTGCTATGCACTTAATCCCCAGGAAAAAAATTAATACAAAATGAAACAGTACATTCTTTCTGCCCCAATGGAACCTACCCCAGGGCTTCTGCCTCCACTTGGTGGTACAGGGGAAGATTCAGGCCTTTTTGGTGGAATGGGAGGCTGAGTAGATATTTTAGACCTTTCTGCCGGATGTCGATCTGAAGAAAGGAATAACATTAACAAAATAACAGAATATACGAGGGGGCGGGGATCCTTCTTGCTTGATCTCATTAAAAAGACACATCTTTATATACTTTTGAGATGCCATTTGAGAGAACTAAATTACCGTATTTTTCGCCCTATAGGACGCACTTTTTCCCCTCCAAAAATGAAGGGGAAATGTGTGTGCATCCTATGGGGCGAATGCAGGCTTTCGCTGAAGCCTGGAGAGCAAGAGGGGGCGGTGCGCACCGACCCCTCTCGCTCTCCAGGCTTCGCGCAGCTCTCCGCAAGGCGCGGGAGCCCAGCGCCGGGCTCCCATGGCTTGCGGAGAGTTGCCTGTTCTGGGGGCTGGGGTCGGGGGAAGCTCGGGCTGGGGGAAAAATAATTCCCCCCCTTTATTTCCCCCCCAAAAAACTAGGTGCGTCTTATGGGACGGTGCATCCTATAGGGCGAAAAATACGGTAATCCATTCAGGAAATAAAGCACATTTTCGAGCTTGTAGTTGGTTTACCCAGAAGGGGGCACAAAAATGTTATGAAAGCTCAAGTAAAATGAAGTTTTAAAATGAATTATTTTAAAATTGCCAGTAAGAGTTGGTATTTAGAAAACAAAAAATGTTTTCTGTGTCTCTTTCCCAAAACTAGACAATACTCTCTAATGCATTTCATAAATGAAAAGTGTGAAAGAACATTTAACATGGTTACCTATGTATTCTGAGGCAGCTGGTATTAAAGTGGGAGGAAATAAGGTGTTTCGGTGTGTGTCATCATCATTTGATGGAGGAGGTTCATAATCTGCTTCATCTTCAGCACCATCTTGATCATTGGGTGTTTCATAGTCCACACCATCTTCATTCTCCGGGTCATCTGGGCTTTCATAATCATCATCACTTTCATCCTGTCAAAACAGAAGTATCAGACTGTCAAAAATATCTTATTGTAGCAAGGTTGTATTGTTACATCCCTGTGCTTTCCATTGCTGAATGAAAGTGAATTCTAGAGTTCATGAGAAATTGTAACAAAGCCTTATTCATTTAAATTGGGGAAGAATGATGCATAAAAAACTCACAGGTTTGAATAAATGGGAATTGTTTACAAGTGATTGTGTTATGATGATGCTACAGCAGAGAAGACTAGTGTCTTCTTGGAGACATCCTACTTTTGTGTACAGCAGGGATAGCCAACCTAGGGCCCTTCAGATGTGGACTACAACTCCCATCATCCCTGATCACCGGCCACACTGGCTGGGGCTGATGGGAATTTCACTCCAAAACATCTAATGTAATGTATAACATTACATTAGAACAGTGTTAGTGTTGCGGAGGAAGGAAAAATACATTTTGTTCAATTTAGTATACTAGCAATCTACTGAATCAAGAAATGTGATACACTGCCTATGAGGCTGACAAGAAGGCTTAAGCTGGAGGGTAGGCACATCACTTGGATACACAGCAGACAGGCTAAAGGCCAGCTGTTTGTGCAGAAGGAAAACCTAATCACTTCCATCAGCAACAATACTGCAGGACTGTAGCTATCTGGGAGCTTTATATACCAGCCACCAGCAGATTGTTTATTGGGTACCACTTTAGCCTGTATATTAGAAGAAGTTTGAGCTGTAGTACAAGTGTCTGCAGAGAGCTAGGGAATGGGTCTCAACCCAGAGCTCCCAGCAGCCACACTGATGCTCTTGTTCCTATGTGAATCTGGTATACTCAGCTTGGGGATTTATAGTGCTATTTAGGATACAATGCTAGCCTGCCTGAGCTTCCAGTCAGCCTGCACATCCAGTCAGTCTGGGTATCCAATCTCAGAAGACCAGGCTGTATAAAGTTAAGGCCCAAAAGTTTGATCAACCTGAGCAACTTGTTTTTTCTGGTATGATAACTTTGGGCTTTATTCAACTACGTCTTACTGTGAAGAGACCTATTATAATTAATATATTATGTTCATTAATCTCAATGGGTCTACTCTGTGCAACACTTTGTTGAATAATACCCTTTGCCTAGCTCCTACTTTTTTAATGGATGCTGCCTTGAAACACGAACTCTTCTTGACTTTGACCCCTCTGATTACATTTTTAGACACTCCATTCACATTCAAGGAAATATGAGTAAATGCCCCTGCAGACCTTCCCTGTCATGGACTGAGCACACAGAGCAATCACAGAGCAATATACACAGGGACACTCGGGTAGTGGGTGGGGCTTGTGTATGAACACAGAGTGTTCACATGAACATGCCCTCTTGTGCCTTCATATACTCAGATGCAACATCAGGGTATCAGAGAAGAAGAGAAGAGAACAAAACCCTCATAGGTAAACTCCTATGGCACTTGTCTTTTGAGCTCTAGGATTCAGTTATATCTGCCTCAAGCATTTAATTGTGCCAATCGAATAAGATTCCTCAGACTGGCCCTCCAGTGAAACACTGGCAACCAGTCAATTGGAAATATATCCAAACATGCCTCTATTTCCTTGAACCTGTAGAATAAGCAAGCAGCTGGCCTTTCTGAACAGTCCCAGAGAATGAGATAATCAAGGATGTTTACTCCATCTATCTTAAAAAGTTGAAGAAATCTTATTTTTTATTTTGTCAAGTTTCAATAGCAGCTTCAGCCCCCAAACAACCTACATTGGATGCCTCTAAAGAGGAACATATGAGTGCAGTGATATTTGCCATGTCATTCTTTTAAGCTGAATACATTTGTAGTGTTGATAAAAAATACTTACAAAGGAAGACCAACCATCACCTTCATCCTGTCTATATTCTATGGAAAGGCAACAAAAATCACACAGCAGCTATAAATCTCCAAGTTCATGATGGTTTCACAATCAACAATTGAATAACTACAAGAATAGTTGTGGCAGACATTAATGAAACAGCCAAGGCTGATTCACACATGCATACATATTACCTGGTCAGTCCCAGTCAATAGGTATCTGATGTATGGCCTCAATTGAGAAACATTGTATAAAGTGATATAAAAGCTCTCTGGGTATTGTTTGATGATGTTCATTTCACACATACTGCCATATGAATAGGAAAATAAGGACAGTTCCAGATGCACAACTCAGCAAATTTTAGATAACTAACACATGTGTGATTAATATATAATGATCTCTATCAAATAAAACATGATTTATTAGGTCAAGAATTACTTTTGTGTGCACATGATCCAATTTACACTAGGGAATTTAATAAAGTATTCAGTTCTGCAGCTCTGACACCAATCATCAATTGGCATATATGTTAAGATAAAACCTTAACAGTAAATTCTAGTGTCATAAAAATCACATTAAAATCTGACCATATGCGCTGTAAAAGGATTGTTTTGGCTATATGAAATTTCAAAAGAAGCACTTTCACTGTATGGCCGAGGCCCAGATCTGAGATACATACCTTGGCTTAATAAGCTGTGGTATGCATGATCCTTGTTCCTTTGTGCTCTATCCTCATGCTGCCCTTTCCTTTCTCTATAGTCACCAGGATAAAGACAAGTTAGGACCTTAAACCAGTGTCAAGTTTCTGGCTTCTTGGTCCATACCACATAACAGGAAACAACAGAAGACTTCCTCTTTTGAGAGAAGAGGGAAAAGCCAGCATGAGGAGGGAGTACAGAGGCAAAAGGGGCTCTTACAGATATTGCCTTATTAAGTGAAAAATGTAATTCCAAACTAGGCTTCCTGAGCAGCTTTACAACTGCATGAGTGTACAATTGCTTCTTTGAAAATATATCAGAATTAGCATAAGGAGAATTAGAAATTCTGTGAAGCTACATTACTATGGATCGGTTTTTCTTGTGCTACATTTTGTTTATAAACACTGCCATGTTATATATTTCCCCACTTTAGCTTCCACTGTTTAAAAAGTCACTGAATAAGAAAAGGTTTGATCCAGTTAAAACTTGCATTTAGGCTCCACTGAAATAAATGTGAAAAGTTAGACATAACTTAAGTGCCATTGATTTTAATAGGAACTAAATGCGATCATGGGTCATGTAACCTAGCAACCCAGTGGAAATTAAGTGGCAAAAAGGGTGGTGCAAGTCAAACTCAATTTTTAAAATTTCGTTTCTCCTCCGCTAGTCTTGGACTGCTCCTTAAAAAAGTCTGCACCAGCACAGTCTACCATGGTGTAAATTACAATGTCTTCCTATAGTTTGGATTGCTCTGTTAGTCTGGTTCAAATCCATAGACAGAGAACACTACAGAGCAAAACTGAATTTGAAGAGGGTGGTTTCTGAATATCTGGAAAGTGGACACAGATATAAATTGGCAATGTATTTACCTTGATTTTCAGGTACCTTCTGTGTTTGTGACCTGCAGCAATTTGTGAGGAAAATTAGAAAGTTAATATTTCATATTTCAATTATAAATTGAATATATTTGAGGTGAGCATTATAATACCTAGCCATCATGTATCCAAATAAATGTACATTTTAACCAACATCATTTAGGCAAAATGTGCCAAAATACAGTGCCTAAAATGATAAAATGTAAAATCCTGGCAAAGTGCAAAATATCCATAGCATAACACCTGGAAGAATAAGGTTGTGTGGTTAAACAGATGCCATTTTGCCACTGTCCTGTGAGATTCCCCAACTCTGCCTCTCTTTGCTGCCTGTAGTTTTCTGAAGAAGAAGAGGAGGAGTTTGGATTTGATATCCCGCCTTTCACTCCCTTTAAGGAGTCTCAAAGCGGCTAACATTCTCCTTTCCCTTCCTCCCCCACAACAAACACTCTGTGAGGTGAGTGGGGCTGAGAGACTTCAAAGAAGTGTGACTGGCCCAAGGTCACCCAGCAACTGCATGTGGAGGAGCAGAGACGCGAACCCGGTTCCCCAGATTACGAGACTACCGCTCTTAACCACTACACCACACTGGCTCACACTGAGGCAAAAAACTTTGCAGCACACTAACATGATGTGTTTGGTATTACTTTGTTGCCAGGGAGGAAAGCAAGGAATAAATAGAGGACTGATGTTTTTAGCAACAATCAGAGGTATCCTACAGCTTCTTGTTGCTGCCTCAGATACTTCCTTTGAGCAAATTCACAAATGTGTATCTTGTTTTGCAGTTTTGAACAACAAGCTGGTTGAGGCCAGTGCTCCTCCCATGAACATTGAGGGGGAAATAAGTTTATCTTTTTAAAAAGCTAAAACTTCAGAAGTAGCATTTTAAAGCAGGAGCAACTGACTGCCCCAGCAAACCGTTCTCAGTTTAAGTAGCCCAATGTGCTCTTCTGGGATATATAAAAACCACAATAACCTCTGAAGTGGTTTGCAAGGATACAATACAGAATATATATATATACCGTATTTAAAACAACAAAATCAGTTAAAAAGCCTGCTTCAGTTTAAAAGCCTGCAAGAGGAGGAGGAGGAAGAAGAAGAAGTAGTCTTCCATAGACAATGGAAGTTCAGTACGAAGGGTCTGACCTTAACTAGAAGGAAGTTCCAGAAAATTCAGTCTACAATTCTAAACACACAGCTCCTAGTTCGTAAGAACAGTGACTCCCCTAAAGTTGTCAGTGATCAAGCAGGGATATAAAGGATTAGGCAGTTTTCTACCCAAATTGTTAAGGCCCTTGTAATTTAATACAAGGACTTTGAACCTGGCTTGGTGGTGTATGGGCAGCTAATGCAAATTTCTGAGCATCTGATTTGTGTGCTGGCAACAGTCTGGCAGCAGTCTAGATGCAGCTTTATGTATCAGCTGGAGCCTCTGGATCAGGCCCAAGGGTAGCCCCATGTAGAGTTCATTCCAATAATCAAGTCCTGCGGTTTCCGGTACATGGCCCATCACGGCCAGACTATCCCTGCCCAAGAATGGCAGGTGATGTACCAGCCACAGCAGGTAAAAGGCATTCCATGCACTAATGATTTACAAACCATTTAAACAGAAAGCATCTCAATCACACTCATTTGGGATTCTAGAATAAATATCTGGGTTCATGTTCAGGTTAGATTCGGTCTTCTAAAATTTTGGACTTGTTTTTTCTATTCATTCACGGAGTATGGAAACCATATTTAATGTATTCAAATTAAGTTATACAATTAGTTTTCAAAGGTGTACATGGTCACCTGTTTGCTCCTCCTCCACATCTCATTTAAATACAGTGGCCTTTTTTCCTCTACCCCACAGTTAAATTTGATTATGTTCTCATTCATTTACTGTTGTAACAAGAAAAAAATACTGAACAATTTCCCTACCTTTTTGGAAAAAAACTTTTTCTTTCTTCATGTCGGTTTATTTCCTGACTTAACTTGCTTAGAATTCTAAGGTAAAAAAAGTGTTATTAGAGCAAGACAATATGTTGGAAGGAGAATATCAGTTGTATTGTACAATTCAGCCAAAGTTAAGCATTTTTATTAATGTTAATGGGAAAAAGTTAAGCACATGCTCAGGTCTATGGTTAAAAATAATGAGAATAAAAGGTGCATTTTGTCCTAGTTTTTCTTATTTGTTTTAATGTGGTAAATTCAAACTGTTGAATATAAGAATGATGTCTCTGTCTTTCATCCTCTGCTAAAAAAGAAAACAAAATATATGTTTTTCTCAACTTCATGCGAACAGATAAACCTGCTGTTAAGTGGAGCTATGACATAAGATTAGAATAATTTTAACACCGAAACAAAGCAATTAGTAAACTCAGTGCAGAGCATGGCATCTTTGACACATTGCTACTAAAAGAGGAAAGAAAACAAATAATAAGGTAGAAACCCCATGCATTAAATACATGTTGTTTTCATAGACCAGGCATGGCCAAACTTGGCCCTCCAGCTATTTTAGGACTACGATTCCTATCATCCCTGATCACTGGTCCTGTTACCTAGGGACGATGGGAGTTGTAGTCCCAAAACAGCTGGAGGGCCAAGTTTGGCCATGCCTGTCATAGACGAGCAACACATTGTCTTCTTTCTCAAGTTATGCTAAACCATGGATTGGTGTAACATGCATGAGCAGGAATGAGCCACAGAGAGTCTCAGTCATGCTTTCCTCTTGCACAGCTGGGATCATTTGCTTTCCTTTAATCATGGTTTGTTGTATAATTTGGCATAAAAAACTAAGGTTAGATCTCTAGCTTATTTCAAACACCCAGCTTCAAACTGGTTTCTTAAGGTATTAAGAAGCTAGGTATTAACCACAATTGTGTATAAGGGTGAAACTGTGGTTAACTAAATGTAGAAGTTTCTGAAGTTTTCTCTTCAGCCATGTGGAAGGAGAGGGGAGGGAGCTTGTTGCAGCTCATTCCTGCCTTTGCAAAACACACTAAACCATGGTTTTGTGTGATGTGCAAATGGGATGCAGGAGGTGCTGTGGTCTAAACCACTGAGCCTCTTGGGATTGCTGATCATAAGGTTGGCAGTTCGAATCCATGTGACAGGGTGAGCTGCCGTTGCTTTGTCCCAGCTCCTGCCAACCTAGCAGTTCAAAAGCATACGACTTCTGGGGGAGGCGCCTCCAGCAATGGCAGAATTCCTCTGACCAGGAGGAATCTGCTTCGTGGAAATCTGGGTCTGGCCGCCACGGCGAAGGCGGAGACCCGTTAAAATCACAGGTGGGAGAAGCCTGTGAATGTGGGATTCGGCGGGCACCTTTTGCGCCTCCCCCACTCGCGGGGAACCCCGGTTTTTGGGGCTCCGGAGCGACGTGGGGTGAGCGGCGCAGTGCATCGAATCGTCTGCTTCTTCCACGGAGCGAAGCCGCATAGCTGTTGCCGGAGAGCGCTGACCTTTTCCTGTGGACAATTTGACTTTAAAGTAATTACCTGTGAGTAGAGCTGAAACGGAAGAATTGGATCTCTAAATGTTTAATTTGGTATCGTAACGGGGAAGTTCAAAACAGGAAGTCCGCCTTCCCTTTTTGTAAATAGACTGAGGCAATGAAGTTGCAAGCTGGAGTCCTGGAACGTCTTTTGTAAAAGATCAAATTTCCAACGGTAAAGAACATTAAACCCCCCTCTTGGAGGCAGGAGAAGAGAGGGGGAAGTTGTGGATTGAGTATGCCTGCGGGAGAGAGCGAAGAGGCTTAAAACACCGCCGCTCTGACCCTGGAAACGGGCTGCTAGTAAGACTGGTTTTTTTTTTTTTTGAATGTTCATTGACAGCGCTTAGGACGTTCATTGACAGCTAGCTAAATTAGAGAAATACATTGTTTCTACTGTTTCCGGTTGTTTTTAAAAAAGGAGGACAGTAACTGAAAATTGAAACTAACTTCGGATTATTGAAACTGTGTTTAAAAGAGGACATATTGACCGATACAAATACAACCTGTTTTCCCCTAGTGGAAGCTTTTGAAATTGGTTACTTTATAGGAGCTGGGCTAGGGGATTTCCAGCTGCAAGATAAGAAAAGTGTGAGACTTTGGAATTGACCTTGAATCTCTTAAGTGTTATGGCAAACGGAAAGGAAAAAACAGACGGGATGTCGACAGAGGAGGCCTTAGTGGCTGCATTATTGAAAATAAACGATTCGCTGGAACAACTCCATAAGAAAACAGATGCGATAAATGTGAAATTGGATGTTGCAAATATTGAAACTGATTTAATTGTAGAAAGTTTAAATAATTTGGGACAAAAGGTGAATACCAATTCAGAAACCACCCAGAAACTGATACAGGAATCTACTCTGATACGGCAAACTGCAGATGAAGTCAGGGAAAAAACCCTTGCTGCTGAATTTAAAGTAATACAACTGGAGAGGAGAGTCCCATCCATACAAAGACAACTTGATGAACATAAGCTGACATTCGTTATGATTGAACTTAAAGAAGAACAGATGAATTTGAGGACCAGAGCCCTATCTGAATTGGAAAAGGAAAGCCTGACAGAGTTTCAGGAGGCGACAGGACTAACATTGGTTGAGAAGAGAGGTATTTGGGGGTTAGTATGACCGCCAAAAATGTGAATCTGCTTAAGGACAACTGTGAAGGATGTTGGATTGAAGAGAAGGGGATTTGGAAATATGGACAAATCAGAAGTTGTTACTGTTGGGCCGAGTCATTGTGGTGGGGATGAGGGCTGCTGTGTTGCTGGGGATGTTGCTTTTGTTTCAAACATTGCAAGCTCTGGATGGGATGGAGGGTCTCAGGAGGTGGCAGAGGGATGCTCCTAGAGTTGTTTGGCAGGGCAGGAAGCCTCGAGTTAAGCTTAAGATATTGATGGATGCTAAAGAAGGAGGTGGACCTGCCCTGCCAGACCTTTAAACTTCGTTGTGAACCATCTGCCTTTTGCTGGTTGAGAGAATGGTTGCTTCTTGAAAACACTGAAGTGTTGGACAATGGCAGACGAAGTTGATGGACTATAGGGAATTGGCGGAAATGACTGGCAAGATCCGAGACCAGGGTGAAGAGTCGGTGGAAGAAGATTGGAAAAAGTTTAAAGACTATTTATAGAAATATTGTAAAATTAAGGAATGTTAGAAAAATGTTGGAATGAAATTACATGGCTTTAGTAGAAATGTCATAAGGAATTAAGTATAAATAGATTAATAGAAAATTAAAGGAAAAGTATGGCAAGAATGTGTTAAGATAATTATAGAACAGAAAACAGAGTAAGATGGAAAGGAATTGCTGAAACAAATACAGTGGTGCCTCGCAAGACGAAATTAATCTGTTCCACGAGTCTCTTCGTCTTGCGGTTTTTTCGTCTAGCGAAGCATGGCTATTAACGGCTTAGTGGCTATTAACGGCTTAGCGGCTTTAAGAAAAAGGAAACAAACTCGCAAGAACTCGCAAGACGTTTTGTCTTGCGAAGCAATCCCATAGGGAAATTCGTCTTGCGGAACGACTCAAAAAACGGAAAACTCTTTCGTCTTGTGCGTTTTTCGTCTTGCGAGGCATTCGTCTTGCGAGGCACCACTGTAATAGAAGTGGAATACAAAAAGGGAGGCGTTAGGAAGTTGTTGGAAATAAGTGAATGAAATATAAGATATTGAAAATGTTTGAGGTGTTTTTAAATTGTTTTTGTTTGTTTTTGCTTGATTTGTTAGTCCATGTAGCGTTTTTGTATTGTATTCGTATTGTTTTTTCTTTTTTTTTCTTTTTCTCTTTGTTTGTAGTGCTGTGTTGGAAATTTTGAAAAAGTAATAAATATCATTTAAAAAAAACCCACAAAAGCATACAAGCACGAGTAGATAAACAGGTACTGCTGTGGCAGGAAGGTAAATGGTGTTTCCATGCGCTCTGGCACTCGTCACAGTATTCCATTCACCACAAGTGGGTTTAGTCATGCTGGACAAACACACACACAGTTGTACTCAGTACTGTGCGAGGGGTTTTTAACATCCTTCCTCCCCACTGCAGATCCCTGTGGCTTCCCTCAAAGTCTCCTGTGAGGGTTTGAGGACCCCCATAAAGGCCTGGAGTGTGGGATCTGCAGTGGGAATTGCCAGTAACCATGTGCAGGCAGCTTATGCAAATGGAAAGTTGTTGCCTTCACTTAATATTTGGTTATTTCTCCCCCACCCCGTTAATTCCTCATCATAGGTAACCACCTGTAAGCCCTGCTATGCGGTCCACAGTTTATCCTGCACTTTCCCCCCATCTTAGAATTAAGTATCTCATACATCAGATGCTACTAGCCTTATAGTGATGTCCCTCATGTTCTCTTGTAGGAACATTTCATAGCATTCCTCATCCTAACCATTTTAATTTGCCTCCTTGTCCTGTCAACCCCCACAGTAGGATTTGTGCACATGTTCTCATTCACCAATTCCTACTCCAAGAAACAGCTAGAAATCATAGAAAGAAAACTGAGAGCTGCTTGCGTAAAACCCCATTAATTCCTGATCTTTGTGTTCCTTCATAACTGGGAATGAAAGCTTTTAACATGATTTCTATGAAGTGAGTCATGAGAAGTGATGTAGACATACACTTGCTGCTGTAAACAGCCAGTCTGAGGAAAATCCCTTGAATGCTTGAAGCGTTTAATGGTGCTGATATTGAAGTAGTGTCAAAACATGCTACCTCCTTTTACTGAAACCGTTGATGGCTTTGTTTCCATGTTAGAATAACTTCTGCAAGCTCATGAATGCAATAACATCATTTTAATAGTGTTGTGCAATTATGATACTACCTGAAACCCAACATAAAATCTTTTAATTTATTTAATTACATTTACCCTTCTATGAATATTATCATTCATGCAAGGAATGCACACCAGCTAAAATATTTTTTGGGATGAGACTAGACAAGTGAAGAATTAGTAAGTTATAGAAATACAAGGTTTAATTCATGTTGGAAGCCTCAAATTTATCTTCATTAAAAGAGTGGCTGGACAAAATGTGGGTGTTGACCTATATGGCTATTAACTCATTGCATAAGAAGCAAGGAGAAAAGACAGGATGAAGTAGTTTTGAAGTGAACTAGAATATTTTTACTGATTACTATCAAATCTTTTTACTGATTATTACAGAAACAAGTAATTAAAATGTTAAATGTTATTTTAATTGTTTTGAACTTGCAATTACATCAGTATATATATAAACATTGTTATAAACATCAGAATTTGAAAACATGTTTTTTTTTTGTTATTTAAGTACTAGAATTATGAAAAATAAAGATCATGTTATAGTAACAATAATAAAACATAAGAAGAGCCTGACTACTTCATAACACCAAAGGCCTATCTAGTCTAGCATCCTGTTTCTCGCAATGGGCACCTGAATGTGCATATGAGGCCAATAAGTAGGGATGATGTACTATTGACTCTCTTTCTTCTGTACTCCAGCAACTGGTATTTAGAGACTTACTGTCTCTGATACTACAGGTAAAATAAAGCCATTGTGATTAGAAGATGCTAATAACCTTATTGTCATTAATTTGTCTGTTCCCCTTTTAAAACCTTCTAAGTTGGTGTTGGTCACTACATCTTGTGGAAGCAAATTCCTTTGTTTATTGTGCTGCGTGCAGTAAATCTTCCTTTTTTATGTATCTGTCACCCTGTTGTTGTTGAGTCGTTTAGTTGTGTCCGACCCCACGGACCAGAGCACGCCAGGCACTCCTGTCTTCCACTGCCTCCCGCAGTTTGGTCAGAATCTGCCACCCTAACCTACCTCAAATTGATCAAGGAACAAAAGTTAACCTATCTCAGATTGGTTTGCACTCCCATTGAAGACTCAGATGTACAGTTGGGTGTTCTCTTGGATTAATCCTTGATCCTAGACATCAATATCTCAGTGGCAACCAAAAATACCTTTGGTACCTGGGTCTGGTATGCCAGTGATGTTTGTTCTTAGAGATGTCAAATCTAGCCATGGTAACACCTTGTTCAGATTACTGTAACATGTTTTCTGTGGACTTGCATTTGAAGAGTATTTGTAAACTTCAGCTGATTCATAATACTGTAACCAGACAGTTACAGCAAATATGTTAACATATATTATAGCAAATATGTTAACACTGTTAAAAACACATTCAACAGATACCGGTTCACATTTGGGCACAATCTGAATGTGATTATTATTGATATGTAGAATAATAGATTGTAGAGTTGGAAAGAATTCTGAGGGTCATCTAGTCCAACCCCCTGCAATGCAGGAATCTCAACTAAAGCATCTATGAAAGATGGCCATCTAACCTCTGCTTAAAAACCTCCAAGGGAGAATCACCACCTTCTGAGGAAGTCCATTCCACTGCTGGACGCTTTTGCTGATGTTTAGTTGTAATCTCCTTTCTTGTAACTATACTCCTACACTCCAGAGCTGGAGAAAACAAGACTGGTCCATCTTCCATGTAACAGCCCTTTAGATATTTGAAGATATCTATCATATCACCTCTCTATCTCCTCTTATCCAGGCAAAATGTACCCAACTCCTTCAACCATTCATCATAAGGCTTGGTTTCCAGACGCTTGATCATCTTGGTCGCCCTCCTCTACAAGATTATCATGGGGGACTATGTCAAAAGCCTTACTGAAATCAAGATACACTATGTCCACAGCATTCCCCTGATCTACCAAGCTTGTAACTATCAGAAAAAGAAATGAGATTTGTCTGGCATGATTTGTTTTTGAGAAACCCATGCTGGGTCTTAGTAAACACAGCATCCTTTTCTAGTTGCTCATAGACCAACTGTTTAATTATCTGTTGGAGGACCTTTCCTGGTATTGTCATCAAGCTGACAAGTCAGTAATTACCTAGGTCTTCTTCCCTCTCCCCCCCCCCTTTGAAGATGAAGACAACATTTTCCCGCCTCAAGTCTGCAGGGACCCCACCTGTTCTCTAAGAATTCTCAAAGATAAGAGGCTCTGAGACTACATCTGCAAGCTCCTTTAGTACCCTTGGGTGCAGCTTATCAGGCCTTGCAGATTTGAATTCATTTGAAGCAGCCAGGTGTTCCCTTAACACCTCTTTTCCTATCTCGGGCTATAGCTCCCTCCTTACGTCATTTATTCTGTTATCACCAGGATGCGCACCAGAAAGTGAAGCCCACCAAAGATTGATATTGGAATCTGCGCCTTTAGCTTGTGCATTAATAGTCTAGAGTTAGAGGTGAGCAGTAATGTAGCTGAGTTTGCTGATACCAAATTGTTCAAAGTAGTTAAAACACAACCAGATTGTTAGGAGCTCCAAGCTGGGCAAATGTGCAGTAAAATGGCAAAAACAATTCAATGTAAGCAAAAGAGGCACTTTTTTTTACAGAGTGCATAGGTAAACTATGGAATTTGCTCCCACAAGATCTAGTAGCCACCAACTTGGATGGCTTTAAAAGAGGATTAAAATATAATAATAATAATAATAATAATAATAATAATAATAATAATAATTTATTTGTACCCTGTCCATCTGGCTGGGTTTCTCCAGCCACTCTGGGCGGCTGCCAACAAAGATTAAAAATACACTAAAATGTCACACATTAAAAACTTCCCTGAATGGCTACTAATCATGATATATTTGTTCTACTTCCAGTATTACCAGCTGCTGGGAATCACAAGTGGAGAGAGCATTATTGTGCTTGGGTCCTGTTTGTGGGTGTTCCACAAGGCACCTGGTTGGCCACTACGAAAACAGGTTGCTGGAACAGATGGCCCTTGTGCCTGATCCAGCAGGACCCTTCTTATGTTATTAAAATAATACTTTTAACCATCTGCAGCCTGTACTACAGATAGCTTCTATTTATCGTTATTTTTCACGGCTGAACAAAAGTTGTTTCTGAATGAAATTTTAACATAGGCAGCTGCCTTCTACAGAGTCTGTCTAGCTCAATATTGTCTACAATATACAATGTGCCTGGTTACATAGCTCTGGGTTTTCAGACAGCACCCCCACTCAGTTCTATCTGGAGAGGCTTGTTACTGAAACCAGGGCCTTTTGCATGCAAAGAACATGTCCTTGCTACATGTAAAGGGCTGCTGTGAACACACCACACACCAAGCTTTTACAGGTCCTGTGTTGAATTTTGTCCCTCTGCCCATTCCTCCCCTATCCCTAAACATCTGGTAATGCTGCAGCAATTATTTGATCAATGCTACATGTGCACAATCTATCCAATGTGCATCTGTAGCTCAAAGTAAAGAGTTTTAATGCATTCTTTTATGAAATGTTACAAGGAATGGCAGTGCCTCTGCATCATTTCTTTCTTGACTATTTCAAGCATGAGGCCTGTGAATCTACAGCTAAGGAAGGAAGTATAAAAACCACACTGCTTAGTTATAAGGGAGTGGGGGTTGCATTTGATTAAGGATAAGAGCAGGCAGCAGACTTGCAGAAAATATTACTCATACTCCTGTCTCTTGTCTCCTGTCTCCCTCCCACATGGACAGGTCAAAGTTTTTGGAACATTTTTATTTTCCTCTCATTTATAATTCCAAATAGTAGGAGGTGGTAGCTTAATTTCACTAAAGGTTGAAGACAAAACAAAGCTTGTATCTCGAGCAACAGTGGGAAACCTCTGGTCTGTCAACTTAATTAGACCTGCCAGGCCTCCCCATTAGGCCTATCAGGGTATTTTGCCTAAGCCACGTCCTTGTGTCAGTGCTTTTGTAAGCACCCAACATAGCTTTGAAACAAGCTTTCCAAACACCAACACTCACCCAATCAGCAGTGCTTATAGAGACACAGTTGTGGTTTTGTAAGTGTTGCCAATCAATGGTGCTTGCAAAGCTCTGTACCTTTACCTGTGTGGCTTTATTTTTAACCATGTAGGCAAAGGGAAATGGGTCGCTTTATATCATTGTGACACCATCGTAACTTTGGGTGACTGACACCTCTCAAAGTTGGCCCACGAGATGTCGGGGAGGTAGTGATCTGGCTGGCCAGCAAGATCCAATTCCCTTTTCCTGCATTTGTTGCCCAATTTGAAATTTCATGTAATGACCCTCTAAGTCATTCTCTGTTACTTGATTTCAAAAGAGGAAACTTCTCAAGAATGAGTAGATAAAAGGAACTTGAAAGGGGAAATTAATAGGGTCAAATCTGTCTGGCATAGGGATGCAAGAGGGCATTGGTTTCCATTCCAAGCTATGTTTGTTTCAGGCAGTGCTGTTCACATTAAACTGTAGTTTGGCTTCTAACAAATTGTGTTATTCATCACACTGCCCACTGTGGTGGAATGTTATTTAATTAATTATGTAACTAACTGCATTATGACTATGTTGTTCCACACCATTCACCTCAGCAAAAAGACCATTCATTTTAGTGCAAAGGAAACACAATGCAAATGGAACAAAACATCAGCTGTGTATTGTTTAAGGACTGAAAACAGCAGCAGCAGCAGCAGCAGCAGCAAACACCAATCATGTTCACTGGGTTGATTTCTGTTCCAGACATGGGATGCATAAGTGAACATATCACATCAGCTCCAGCCAGCATGGGTAATGATCAGGCATTAATATTAGTGTATGATGGTGGGATGCTGAAGCCTTGCTGGTACTGGATTACAGTGGTACCTCAGGTTACATACGCTTCAGGTTACATACGCTTCAGGTTACAGACTCCGCTAACCCAGAAATAGTACCTCGGGTTAAGAACTTGGCTTCAGGATGAGAACAGAAATCGTGCTCTGGTGGCGCAGCGGCAGTGGGAGGCCCCATTAGCTAAAGTGGTGCTTCAGGTTAAGAACAGTTTCGGGTTAAGAACGGACCTTCAGAATGAATTAAGTTCTTAACCTGAGGTACCACTGTATTATTATTATATATATAAAAACCTTTATTTGGGATGTGGAAAGTGAAATCAGGGCAGGGCATCATAAGGCTTTGCTGGCAGTTCTGTCTTGAAGTTATGGACATTAAGAAAAATAAGGCCCTCTACTTTTATGTGGAACATGCCAAATTATTCACTATGTGAGATCTTATTGAATCGATTTCTGTAGGGACTTCTGGTCTTGGGGCATCAGAGTCCCTCCCAGTCTCTTCTTGTGGTGCACAGTTCTGGCTCTCTGCTTGTCTGCCTGCCTATCAATTATTTAGGACAGTTGGCAAATAATGCAGATTTAATTGCTATCTAAAACTAACAACTAAAATGAAAAAAGAGAACAACCTCAAATATAAATGACAACATCGACAGCAACGGTGCCCGAGATAAGTGGGCTTTGCAATGCTTTCTGAGAGCTAGTAGAGATGGATGTTAATTACACTGAAGGTGACAATGGAAAAAGTCCTAGACATCACGTGTTATTTTCCCCCTCCATGGCACAATAGATCCATTGCAAACAAAACAGACACCTACTAGCATGAGAAAGAAGAAGCACAGGATGGATGAACTTTAAAGGCTAAGTTGCTAACACCACTACCAACAAAACCCCAGAAACCACAAATAGAAAAGGGGGAAAATCAAAGCACCCACTCCATCCTGCTTCCACAAGGGTGGAAATCTGACCAGTCTCAGGTCTTGCTTGACAGAAAGCCAGCTATCAACCATATACCAAACAAGCACTGGCCAGTATGAATAAAAAAAATAACCAATGTAATTTGGCATTTACACCAAAAATGCTACCAACATCCCTTGACAAATGAAAACTCAAGCTCCTTTGCCCATTAGCTCCCAGCCAGAAGTCACTCTCTGGGCTTCAGTGATATTAAAAGGGCAGAGCTCACTGGGAAGCAAGAGTCTTAGAGAGTCTGGGTAACAGAATTACAGATTTGGAAAGGATCTCGAAAATCAATTCCTGCTCAGTGCAGAATCTACAGGATGCAACTACAGCAACCCTGACAAAAGGGCCACCCAGCCTATGCTCAGATACCTCCAAGTGAACCAAGAAGCCTACTGTCTCTTGAGCTGCTTCTGTGATGGCTGTCTTAAAGGTGTGGGGAATGCTGGTTGGACTGGATTGTGTTTGGCAATGCCAACAAGCCAATCCCCTTATCAAATTTATACAATCATATAAAATTAAGTAGCTGCTATTAACTTTATTTAAAAACCTGATATGCTTTATAATGACAAATGTTGTGTGATTTCCGTTTGGCAGTAGCCAGAGTCAAGCGTAGGTCAGCAATAAAAAAATATGGTGTTGATGCAGTTAAGTCTTTATTCAAAGAAACCAAAGCAGCATGGGCCTAGTGGTCCCAGCAACTGCTGCCCAGTAGGTCTTGCTCAAATGAAACAGTCTCAAGGACTGAAGGTCCTTCCCACCACTTTCTAATTCTCCTCCTCTCTGGTTGGTCACTGTGAAAACAGGATGCTGGACTAGATGGGTCATTAGCCTGATCCAGCAGGCTCTCCTTATGTTCTTAAGTATTTGTTTCCCAGTTCCTACTGGCAACATTTGCCAGACATCAGGCCACATTTGTAGAACAAACTGAGTATTCTCAGTTTCACTGAAAACTGAAGTACAGCTTCCACTGAAGAAGGTACCAGCTACAACACAACTTTCAGGCTGGAAACATTTTAGGATTTGGGATGCCTTTCTTACAACTGGATCTTCTCATGAAAAATCTTCCAGGCTAATGCAACTGAAGCAGATCAGGTAGCTTTCCTGAGAATAAGGGCTTGTCCACATTTTAGCATCATTTAATAGTTAATCTACTCCCCTCTCTCCACATTTGAAAAAGACCAGGGTAGTCCATAGGCAAAAACATAAAGTAAGTAAGGCAACCAGAAAATAAATGAAAATATCAAGGAAGTTGTGAGTACATAAAGCAGCAAGTGACAATTCACCCACCCACCCCAAAACTCAAAAACAAATGGTCTGTGACCATGAGTGGAGGGGTTTATAGCCTGATTTTCCCCAATTTATCAGATTATCCCTGTACCAGGAAAATCTAAATTTACAGGGGGGGCTTGGGGATAATGGTATGTAGACTATGCAAACTAAATGGAAACACAAACAGATGCAAACCCTAAATCTATGCATGAGGAAGCAACACAGAATCACATTGGATGAAAGGCTGGGTTGGGTGGGGAGGATATGTCTTCATTTTACATAGTAGTTCTAATACATTTATTTCATTTATTATGTATTAAAAACTTCTATATTTCGCTTTTCCCTTCCACAAAGGAGTTGCTCACGGCTTACAAATATAAAAAACAGTCATCAAATGATTATAATACAAATGATCAACCTAAAAACAGCAGCAAAATACAAGAACACAACGAGCATCTCTTACAACCAATACGTTAACCAACTGAATCAAATGCATGTTTAAAAATTAACATTTTCAGTTTCTGTCGAAACTGAAATAGAGGAAGATAACCTAGCTTCTTGGGTTAGGGAATTCCACCAGGAAAGTTATCTTGGTGTTACCACCAGTCATGCCTCAGAATAGCTTACACAAGAGGGCCATAACAGCTGATCTTAAAGGATGGACAGATTCAGCACATATGTAATAAAGGACTCATAAGGCCAGTGTGTGGGAGAGATAAACGTAAGATTTAGGACTTCTGTGTTTGAGGAAGTCTGATGTACTGAAGTATCAAGATACTTCTAAATGATGAAAGGGATTTGATGACACATTCTTTGTCCTGAAAGCAAATTCCTTGAAATACAGCAAATATGTATTCTGCAGAATACTTACATAAAGTATGTAAGGGTGCTTCCAGATGGTTGTTTATTGTAGGATGTGTGCTCCTTATGCATACAATTCTTTAAATTTTACAATTACCAAACCATATAAAAGATACGAAAAATGGGATCTCACCCCTAGAGACTCAAATCTCGCAGCCTCATGCTTCCAGTTGTGTAGCAACGTTGGTTACAGTATACAGTCATATCAGCCTAAAAATTCTATAGTGTGAGGGTGTGTGTGTGTGTGTTTGTGTGTCCTGCCTTCTTTCCTACAGCTGTGTATGTATGAAATGGGTACCCGAAAAGGTATCTCTTGTTTTTATTCCCTTTGGTATTTTTGTTTTATTGGTTAGCTTCTCTGTTAACACTAGTTGCCAGATTTTCTTGTACTGTACCATGAAGTCAGCATGGCACCCTCCAAAAGTTTTCAATCACTGGCTATCGTTAGTCTTGCTGCTAGCAATAACTGTCCAATGTGTTCATAATGCAGGTTCATATTATCTCCTGAATAAAGGTTGAATAATGCCAGCTTGGGTTGTTTAATAACATTCTGCCCTGTTATTGCTTTGATTTCTCTGAACACCCAAACGTGTTCACCTTTGTACAGGTCTACCACATGTGCGGATGTGATTCCCCTACCCCAAAATGTACATCCCCTCCGACAGGCTTGAATGCAATTTGTTTGCAGCATCCACGTGGCACTTCTGGCATCGTTTGCACAGACCTCACAAACATTGGTCTCAGTGGGAGCTAACTGCAACTAAGTCTGGATCCAGACCAGTGTATTTAATGTTTCCTTTAGAAAAGGCAGCACTAGTTCAATACATTTTGCTGCCTGATACAGTCAAAATGATGCACTAAGGAGGACACTTTTAAAAATCTTACTGCCCCGCTTCAGTTCATCTATCCCCACTACCCTTTAGTTGTTTCACCCTGTTGCATGAACAGGATTGGCCCCAAGAAAATGCATTTGATGAAAGCCGAGGTGAACAGATTTTATCTGTCTTCTCCATACCATACAGTAACTTTGTACCCATTTTCCACATCCACCTTAGAATCTGATTATATCATCTGATTTACTTACGGCATTCTTAGCTTTGGAAACTTCTGAATATCATTTTCAGACATATTCTGAAACAGAAACACATGCAGTATGTTATAATGGTGCCTGTACAACACATTTTGGTCACTGTAGTTTTGATTATTATAAAATAAAACTAAAAGTGCTGTAGTTACACAGAAGTGGCATTTAAAACTTGACAATCTGCTTAAATGTGACAGATACAATGCACCAGAGTGACCAACACTTCCACACCTTTTCACCACTTTTCTTAATCATTCATCCATATCTCTCTTCCTATGCAACCACACCATTTCCACTTAGCTAGTAATCCTCTCCTTTTAATCCAAAGGAATGACCATTTTTGAAAGGGTAATTTTATAGAAAAACTTACCAGAAATCTTTGTCCAGTTATGTTGTATTTCCTTGCAACTTTCTCGCAGTCCTTGAAGTTTAACTGCTGATGAAAAGACACATATTCAGGAAAACTTGATCATTTTAATAAAGAATACATTTATATCAGATAGGTCTCTGAATAACCATAGCTGACTATTATGCATGCTTACTCAGAATTAAGTCTCATTAACATAGGCACTTCTGGAATTCCTCTGTGTGCATAGGATTACATCCTTAGACAACTTCATCACTAAACTCATTTATTTCAGCTGGACTTACTTTAGCAGAGCTAGGATATGGTTTATAAGGGCACAATTTGTCAGAGCTTTTCAGCCTGCTGAATTTAGAATGGAAAAAACTTAAATTTCAACAGGAATAATGTTACGAAAGGCGTTGAGATCATAAAAGGCACAAAGATAAAAGTATATTAACAAAAATATTTCCCCAAGTTCTGTCCCTTGTGTAACAAGTTAATTCAATAAAATGCAGATTGACATGTACACTGATGTAAAAATCCTCACAAATTACAAAGCAACAAAAATCCCTCCCATCTAATCCTATCTTCCTGAAAATTTAGATGGCAGTGTTTACTTATCTTCTATTAACATATTGAGCAGCTATGAGTAATTTAAATTAAAGAGAGCTTTTCCTATCATTTTAAGGGTTCAAGTACAGTGGTACCTCGGGTTAAGTACTTAATTCGTTCCGGAGGTCCGTACTTAACCTGAAACTGTTCTTAACCTGATGTACCACTTTAGCTAATGGGGCCTCCTGCTGCTGCCATGCCGCCGGAGAACGATTTCTGTTCTCATCCTGAAGCAAAGATCTTAACCTGAAGCACTATTTCCGGGTTAGTGGAGTCTGTAACCTGAAGCGTATGTAACCTGAAGCGTATGTAACCCGAGGCACCACTGTAAAACAATTCAAAATAACTGTGGTATATGAAATGGCTGACTCCAAACTGGAGTACTCTTGTAGTTTTAAGAAGAAACCTTTTCTCTACTTTGAGGATAAAGTGCACTGTTGCCATGTGGTAGTAATTCAGAAATGAAATCTAGTGAACTGCAGTTCCTTCCTAAGACAATAGGTTTGTCTGAAAAATACAACAGAGCAAAGAATCTCCTCAGTTCCTTCTCAAAATGAATGTAGTTTTAGAATTTGTCACAGGTCACTTACGGTTATAGCTAAGGCAGCAGCCACAATTTTCTAGACTTTTCTCATTTTCTATAATTTCAACAGTTAGAGAGGCAGGCAGCCATTTTGTGTAGAAAGTCTGCAGTGTTGCATTTGAGAGACTGGTGTAAACTGATCAGTTTACAGGATCACTTGTGAGAATGGTTTGGGAAGGTTGTCTGGTCTTTCCCTTTTATTCTTAGCTGAAGAACTAGTGACTCTCGAAGCTTAAACTTTGATTTCAGAATCTGTTTTAACTCAGAAAAATAAATTAGTCTACGCTGTTCATAGTCTGTCCATAATCTACTGGACACTTCATGTAGACTGTAATCCTGTGTAAATTAGCAATTTGGGCCTAAGGACATACTAGAGAATCTTAAGCACAACTTAAATTTCGCACCCAAAGCAATGATAGCCTGACATCATATTTGAGAAAATGGCTCCCAGCAGTGGCAATTAAGAGCAGAAAGGTTGGAGGAAGGGGAGAAAGTATAACATTATCTCCACTGGTGCCAATTGAAATGTTATTCCTCCCCATAAAATTCAGAGATTGCTGCTGGTAAGGAGAAGGCTTAAAACTGCCCCTCCTTATGTGCTTTGATAGTGATTACCCCCCCCCCCCATCATGCCTGGTATTTGTTCTTTTAAACATTATTTGGTTGCTAATCATATCATTACTTTCACATAGAATTTGGTCTTAAATGATTCCCCACTTCAGTAACTGCAAAATAAAAATCCCTGGCAGCAGTAAGCAACTGTCTTCTCATTTTTGCTTGTGAGATTTAGTTTCAAAAAGGAAATTCTGGCTTCATCCAATAGAAACTCCCCAACCCAAAGCATATGCATGGAATACAGATTGGATGGCACAGGACAGCAACGATTAACAGTGGATTTTCTTCACTAATCAACCCAATTCCCTTTCGAACAGCAAAAACTTCTATAGCCTGTCTCTACACACTGTGGTTAAAATAATTTACAAGAGTACCCCAAGGCTGGAGCCTGTATTTCTGACCCTTTGTTAATTCCAGAAAGGGATTTTCAAGACTTTGTTCTTTGTTTTCATGCCCTCCATTCTGGGTAGTCAAATTGCAGAGGGGCCAGCAAACACCATGCATTTCTTTCATGGCAGATGTTCTGCCCTTCCCCAGCAGAATCTGCAGCAGCCCAAAGAGACAAAATTCATACACCCACACAGCCATGGTACTAAGAGATTCCTGATGGCTCTTTTTCGTTTGACTCCCTTCCGTTCAATAGTATTCCAGGATATTTTACTGGATTATCAGATAAATAATCTTGTTTCCATTTTAGCAAGGGTGGGGTATAAAAAATTATTATTATTATTATTATTATTATTTTGTGGAGTCCAGTAGGGAGAGGAAGCAGTGAAAGGCAAAAGGGAGAGGGAGAGATGCAAAGCAGGGAGGTGATGCTAGGGCCAGTGCAGGGAAACAGTATTGGGAGAGGAATCCTTGCTCTAACTCCTTTTTGGCAACTCCTGTATCAAAACTGGAGCTCAGAGGAGATTTCCGGGCAAAATACAATTGTGTCTCTGGAGCCAGATGATCATTTTTCGTACTTGACAGAATAGGGGGTGTTGCTCATGAATGGCTAAAACTTGGAGAAAGGAAACTATTTATTGTGGGACAAATGCTAGGTTTTGCCCAGCATCAATGTTAATGGAGTGTGAGCCAAATATCTGATACATGGAGTGGATTCTGCAAGATTCCTTTTGGAAAACTCCTGGGTCATGTAAGCCTCAGTCTTGGGAATGGCATTGCTGGGTCCTAATGTGATTATAGCACAGTGTTAAGTCATATAGCCATATAGCCATATAGAATCACTGTTTTAATTTCATTCTCAGTTGATTGCAGTATAGCAGTGCTTGTTGTGGAAAGGACCTAAGTTTAAGGAAAATTAAAAAGGCTGTTCTGGAAACTTCTTCCAGGCAGTATACATAGACTTCAAGGCAGATGGGGGCCTGGAAGGTAGCAGTGGGGTGGATTGACTGGAGGGAGTGTCTGATCAAAACAAATGTATTGGGGGTGGGGGGATCGTGCCAAGCAGGTAGGTAGATAGACCCTCCTGGATATTTGGCAGCCTGAGTAAGCAAAGCAAGGAAGAACTCTGGATCAGAAAACCTCTCTACAGCTTTCTAAAGCAATAACTACGCCATAGACTTCTTCCCCTGCAATTTGAACACTGCCAAAATGTGAACTACTGTGAAAGTATTCAAAGGAAAACAAACCTTATACTTTGCAAAGAAAGTTACAAGTTCCTAGATTGCTTATGTAAATTTAATATTTTATTCCATTCCCCCATGGCATGCATTTGAGTTTATTGATTGTTGCAGCAGCACCCAGTGATGCAAGCTAGGCTGAGAGATATGCAATTTGCCTATGGAAACGCACAGAACTTCATAGCCAACTGGAGTGAAAGTAGCAGAGATTGTAGCCATTTACAAATACATTCAGAGTTTTGAAATTCTCTGAACTTTGGAGCTAAGTTGTATGAAAATAAATATGAGGATTTATGAGATAAATAAATATGTGGAAATAAAAATGTATCTTCTAGGTTCTTTGGAAATACACCTTCACAGCAAAGGTTCCCAAGCATTTTAGCCTCATCACCAGGCTGCAGACATTATGGAGGCAGCTTACTCGTCCTCTGGGCTCCTCATGCCCTGATGTGAAGCTTCTCTCTCACTTAAAGTAAAATCAGGTGAAACCTTCTTTGACAAATGATGGAGGACAGGCCTTTGTCTTGTTTCGTTGCTAGTATCTTGCCACTGGAATGGGTGGACAACCTGCGACTGATGTGCTCATATATTGGACCAGAGTGCCCAATTAATCACTAGTGTTCCTAATTGTTTAAACAACATTCATTTCTCTCCAACTACATGCTAGGTTCTATATAGAGTTATGAAGGGCCACAGTCCTTTGTCAGGGAGCTTACAAATCCATATTTGATACACAAGGCAGAGAAGACGTGACAAGTTAGGGACTGACAATAGCCTGGCTCAAAAGGTATGGTTACATGTGCAGACAACACTTTTGCTCACACAAGGGGGGATCTCCTGGCTTTCTGTGATTCCTCCCCTCCTGTTCTTGTGCCACATGTCATGCTGTTTTGAAGGGTCCTCCAACCATCAGAAGTGGACTTTTGGGTTGCAAGGGGTGTGAGGAGGAAGACCTATTCTATAAATGGAACTCAGTTTTTATTCACAGAACAGAAGTTAGAATCCTAGTTCAGTGAAGAGAAAGGATAGGGATGGGTTGAGACAGGATCCTTTCCTTTCAGAAAAGTGAATTAGGAAGTTTCTAACAAGTTCCATCACATTCAGAAGGAGGCATAAAGTCTATCAGAAATGGCTTCCCAAGGATTCATATAAAGTGATCATCTCATACATGTAACAAAAATAATTTTTGTAGCATAAAGTTAGAGCAGCAAAACTGAAATCAAACTTACCCTCTTGAAGTAGTTTGCTAACTCATCTGGGGACCAGCGGGCCACTTCTGAGCGATAGGGAGTGTTTCGTGAATCCATTTCTCTTCTTCTTGCCTAGCCAGTTACAAGCCTGTTAATGCCTATCTTGCGAGTGATCCAAGAACAGGACTCATCCCACACAGTGACCCAGACTGGTAAATTCCCAAGTTTTTGGCTTTCTGCAAAACTGTGCTGCAAATAAACTGCTCAGAGCAACAGCTTCCGGTGTGAACCAAACGGTTTCTTTTCTTTCTCAGAAAACCCGTCAGCTAGTTAGTCAACTCCACCACTTCCTTTTTCTGAATCTAAATACGTAAACAAGGAACCATGGGGCTCAATCCTACCATTGCAAAAGAAGGGTTTACAGTGACAAGGAAGAAATGATATGACCCAGGAAACTTTCCCCCGTGTCCAATGTGAAGCTAATCTAGTGGTCACTGATGTCTGGGTCTACACACATTAAAAAGAATGTGATGGCAAAGTTCTGAGCTGGTAGAGGTGGTAATACCCCCCACATTACAAGCAGGGATTATATTTTTGAATGCTCCACTTAGAAACATAGTCGCAGCAAAGAGAAATCTCGCCCCCCCCGTCATATTTTTTGTTTTCATTTTCTGTAGAGAGCTTTAATGTGGGGAAACATTAATATGGGGGAACATTAGAAATGTGAGGTGCATCCATGCAGACTGAAATGGTACAGCCCACTCTACCAAATCAAGATTCTATCATCTCGTTCTGCTTTGTCTTTAGACCAGGCCTCAGCCTTGGTCATTATTCCCGAAATGGTGAAGGTAAGGCTTATTCAGTTCTATAAAGAAAGGATTGACAGCAAATTCTCCGTATTACCACAAGAAGGCAGCAAAGTTCAATTATTTGCATTCACATACTGAATTTGTTCATAACTTGAACTAGGAGTAGGATAGATATGTATGATGTTAAAAGGCCTTATTCTAGGTGTTAGAGCCAAAGTGTGGAGTGAACTTAGAGTATGAGGATAGTATCCCTAACCTATGCATCCCTTTGGCTTTTCAAACATTGCAGTCTGAAAAACATGTGCTAGGGAGATACACTAGGGCTTAGTTCTATGTAAGAATGCATACAATTACAGTCACCTTACTCCTTGTGATCACTGGTGCAGGAAGGCAGGTGCGGGGAGTGCGGTGTGCACCGGGTGTCATCAGTGAGGGCGGGTGACATTGTTGCGCCACCCTCCCCACATTTGCTGCATAGGCGGCGGGCTACTAGGGCTGCTCGGGTGGCTAGCAGCGCCCCCCCCATGCTCGCCATACGGGCAGCAGGCGACTAGGGATGCTTGCCATGTGGGCGGCTAGCCCCGTCCCCGCGGGTAGCTAGCCCCACCCCTGTGCTGCTCTGGGTGCCAGGGCACGTAGCTCCGTCCCTGCTTGTGATTGAGGACAGAATAACCCACATTTGAAGACATCTACTGTTACATATAGCTTGTGCCTCAGACCATAATTTCAGTGGGAAATCCTTTGCTGGTCAAGCCAGTGAACAATGCTATTAGCCATAGCATTTAGCACACTAGGCTGGCAATCCTAACCACACTTTCTGGAAAGTTGGGATGGTGGAGAAATTCAATTCAGTTTACATTTAAAGGCAAACTTGCTAAATTTATGCTTTCTGAAACAATACATGAACCAAAACACAGCCAGCCTTTGAAATTTGCACTTCTGCCAATTTTGCAATGCAGTACTCTAGCCAAGTTGTTGCCATCCACTTCTCTTGAGAGAAAATGGAATGTGCCTCCAGGGATGAAGTCAAAATGAAGTGACCTCCTTGGGTCTCAAGCCTGGGCAGTGTGTATGGAGGTTTTGGGCTGCTCCTACAACAAGACCCCAACTTGGCCTTACTGATGTGGTCCAAAGGAAAGCAGAGCAATACATTTGGCAGGAGCAGCGACAATGTAAGCTGCATGTAGTCTTAGGGACTACAGTCTGGATGTGTGTAGGATTTACTCCTTAGTAGTTTCTTTTCCCAAAGATGTCTCAAAGATGACCAAAGCACAATGGCATTCAGCACTCAGTTCTCACATGCAGCTCCTAGAAGCTGTCAGCATCTGACAGCAGCCACTTCCTGGGAAACAGCTTTGACTGTCTGGCTAAGCCAGATGAGGGTAGCCGATGGGTCTTAACCCCTCAATGAGTTAGGGACTTGTTCACCCCCTGCATGTGAAGACAGGCTCTGGCAGATTGAGCAGTGAGTTGAACAGTCAATAAAGTGGTTTCTGCATGTGCTGTACTGGGAAATGAGGGGCAGCTGGGGCTCGTTAAGCTAGGGAGGTAGCCCATCTAGGACAGGGGTCTGCAACCTTTAAGACAAAAAGAGCCACTTGGACCAAAGAAAAAACAACTGGGAGCCGCAAAACCATTGCAACATTTAAAACAGTGGGGAGTGTCAGGGCACACAATGCGCCTCCTCCCCTCGCTAGTATCCGCCCCGGAGCTGTGGCAAAGGTGTAAAAGAGCCACATGCAGCTCCGGAGCCGCGGGCTGCTGACCCCTGATCTAGGAGAAGGAAAACTTACCTTAAACCTCCGCTGCCTTGCAGCTATACTAATTTGTGAGAAAGACTTTGGAAGTAAACTCTGAATTCAGATAGTCCCAGTGCAGTGGTGGGTTGAGCTAAGGTCAAAATTAAGAAGTCACAGGGCTTTTGGACAATCTATAGTGGTTTGGTGGGGTAAGCTATGGCTTCACCACCCCTGAGCTAGACAAATAAACTTAAGATCAGTCCACTCCAGACAAAGTGGATGTGATAGTGATGAGGGACTTAGTGGACTGCTTGGAAGGGGAAAGTGCCTTTCTAGAAGAGAGTACTTCTGTATACAGACCTTTTCCTGAATAATTAAATAACCTCAGGGTGCTTTTAACCATTATTTGACAGTATTATAACAGCACCCTCTGCTGGAAGACAGAGGCATGACCATTGTCACCCATGCTTTAATAATCTTGAGATTCGACCACTGCAATGTGCTCTGTCGAGCTGCCCATGAAGAAAGGTTGGAAAATGCAATAGGTACAGAACTCCAGTCATATTGCTTTGGTCCTTAAACGGACCTCAGAATATTCTAGTAACCAGTGTAGCTGTTTAAGGACTAAAGCAATATGACTGGAGTTCTGTACCTATTGCATTTTCCAACCTTTCTTCAGGTACTGACTTTGATCTATTTTTCCCTAAAACTATCCAGGAATTGTAGTGAGTACCCCAAATGAACCTCCCTAGAGTGTGTGATTAGATTTGTCTTCATAAGAAGCAAACCCTTCTCAGTCGCTGCCACAGAACTTGTGTTTCCATAGGCTGTGAATTTAGCACCTGCTGTTCTAGTGTGCTGTGGGCATGTTCCACTCAGCATGCAATATGAAGCAGCAGTTGTGGCTCCACACAAACCCGCCCCCCCCCCATCGCCAGCAGCTATCTCAACAGCTGGCAGGGAACGCCATGTATTCTCCCACCGGCAACTGGGATTTGAATTTCCCACCCACTGATCAATCACAAGCAGGCCCAGAGGCGGTGCTTCAGGGGGCAGAACTGACTGGGACTCTGTTCCTCCCTGGGGATATACTCAGGCCCACCTCCATGTTCTGTTGCCAGTTAGTCTCTCTCCCACCTTGTTAGCATGGTTTAATGTTGAATGGGACCAGGGAGGAATTTCTCCTCCAGACAAATTGGGCCTGTCTGAGCCCCCCCCCCCAAATCTCAGCAATTGTCCAGCTTTGGGCAGATAAGGCATTGGGTTGGATCCTTCATCAGTGGTGGAGGGAGTGTGGTTTAAGCATCTGCCTTCCCCCTCCAAGGAAATGGGGTATCTCGTTAAAAGGCTCCTTGAAGAGGTGCTTCTGTCCTTACACCCAGATGGGGGTTGAGGGCCATAGCACTCCCCAAGGTGGCGGTCCTGATGGGTTGCTTCTATTTGATGTACATCATAGGGCAACCCTATCTCACGATCAACGCCCAATGGTCATCATCCAGCAAGCAGGCTGGCTCATTCAGGATACCCAGTGCCTAAGCCAAAGCCTACTTACATTTGTAATAAATAAAAGTTGTGGCCTGTTTTGATCCAGGAACATTGTACTATGATTATTCTACTTCTGCATCCCCCTGCCACAGGCTTCTTGGCAAGGGGCTTACTGTGCCTGTGCAGGCAAGTAGCACTTTTCTTTCAACCCATTTTCAGCTGCTAGCTTACATTGTCGCTGTTGGTTTGTGGTGTTAATTTTTCTGCTTTTTGTTCTTGACTTCATTTGAATCATTTTTAATTGTTTTATGATTGCTTTATTTTTCTGTATTGGTGAAATGTGGTCTACAAAATTATTTAGTAGTGTATTATTACCAGCTGCCTGACACAGAGAGGTAAGCTGTTACATTAGCAATGAACTTGACTCACAGCATAGCTGGAGGTCTTGCCATGCTTGCCTCACTCAGCATATGCTGCTGCTGCATCTGTGCCAATGCAAGCCATTTTCTGGCAAGGCAGTAACCTAAAGACTTATGAAACATGCAGCATGGGCACAGTGTGCACTGGATTAGATTCTGTGCTGTATAGCTGCATCAATTGCATTCCCTGTTGTTGAATTCTATAAAAGAGTGAGTTCCGCTCAGCATTTCTGCAGTACTGCCCATGAAAGAAGAAAAGGCTTTGAAGTCACTTTGGAATCTCTTATTTCAGGTTGACTCTGAGAATGCAACCTCAAACACAAGGTTACTGTCCTTACTGAAGCTTAACTCTCTCAATATTTAAAAGTCTTGCAGAGTGATACAAAGGCATTAATGAGATTGAAAAAAATATCTATAACTTTGGAAAAGTGTCATGCATGGCTGACACCTTTTCTCCATAAATATTATGGGGCGATGATGTTGCATGCTGAGAGGTTCTACAACTGAACTAACATCAGCAAGTATTTTATTTGCTCAGTGAAGCAGAAAACACATACATGCAAGAGCACTTTGGGAAGATGGATGCTCTTTCAGCCAGATAGTCAAAATGAAGGAAGATGCTGGCCTTTAGCACATCACGGCACAGCTTCGTAGTTACACATGAATTTCTTTTGGGTTGCAAACTTTTCATTTTAATAGGTACGATATGTTAATCAAATTGACATTTTAATTGATTAATTGGTGTGGGTAAAGTTTAATTATGGGGTTGGAACTATGGACCCACTTGCTTATTTTTAAAGCTATTTTAGTTATGTTGTGCTACTTCACTTAACATTGAATAGAAGGTATAAAATATGGACATTTCTTCTGATCAAAAGTGATTAAAGAACCTGTGCAAGCCATTTCACACGTCTTTCAACATCTTAGAAAAGTATTTATACTGGAGTTTTGATAGTATTCAAGTGTATTTGCATTTAATTGGTTAACATGACAAATTATGAATCAACTGCAAATTTAGGACTTTTACCTTCCAGACTCAGAAGAGTGAAATGGGAACTGCAGATATCTTCTATCTTGATCTACAGAGGAGAGGCTGACCTAGGTTGCACATTATTGTGCTGAATTTAGGACGCAGCATATTGTCTTTTGCCAAAGACTCAGAAAATGACTGCTTTTCTGCTGAGGCAGATCCTTTAGAATATGAAAATAGCAGTTCAAGATATTAGAAGCAAACAGCAAGATGTTCCAATAATCTTCCAGTAAAGTTTAAATGGGTGTAATTCAGTTCATATTCTGACAAAGTTAATAGAGGCAACAAGAACCAAGTGACCAGAAGGATTTCCTTCCTTCATACTGCACTTTCAAAGCATCTGCTGTGAGGGATTTTTTTTCTTTTTTTGTATCACTGTCTTTAAAAATTAAGTGTGTGTGTGTATATAAAAACATGATTTTGGTTTTTTTAAAAGGGTTAGTGTCATTCTCTGAATATTTTTTGCGACATTACAATATATGATGCCAGACTTTACTGTCGTGAACAATGATTTGGTTCAGTTTTATAATTCAGTTTACAATGGGGTAACTGAAGCTGAGAACCAGCAACCCTCTTTAAACATTCTCTAACCAAGCTCTGTGAACACATGAGGCAGGTGGGCCATGGGGACAAGTGTGTTTTCAATCCCTGTCATATGTAATGCTGTCTGGAGTTGGGGCTCCTGTTCATGTGGAAGCTCCCGCGCATTTTAAAACCTAGACTTTCCATGGTTCTAAAACACATGAAGAACCTCTGCAAGCCTGTATGGTGAACTCGTTTAGAGTATTCCTGAAGAGGGCCAGTGACTTCCCCAATTTAATACAATGTCGATGTCTGAGTGAGAATTTTAACTCAGCTCTGCATCCCACATCTTTCCCACCAAGCCACATAAACCACATCTCCTTATGTGTTCGCATGAAGATTAGAAATGGCAGAAGCAGCTCCCATTAAAGCTCAGCTGAAGTTGAGTAGAGAAAAGAAGAAGCTATGGTTGATGGGGAAGTTGGATAGAGGTCTTACAAAAGTAGAACAATCTGGGTAGACTTGGCAAGAAAGTATGATTTCCCAATTGATAAAAATGTGTGTGTGTGTGTGTGTGTGTAGAGATAACAAGCCTCAAACTTAAAGAACATGTCTGGTATGTACAGTATATAATTGATTTGTTTTGACTGTCCTTTAATTTAACAAATGTAGGTATGATTGGAATATTAAAACAGCGGTACAGGAAATGGGTTGGGTTCATTTTAAAAAAGAATGTGTTAGTGCAGAACTACGTGCTCAGAAAAAGCATGTGGTACAATCCAATGAGACAGTGGTGCTTCAGAATCGAGGAGGGGGAGGGGGTACTGCATGTTTCAGTATTCTCAGTTGTAAACACATTTCCTGCCCTTAGAAATCTAGCATGTGTCTGGTTCTAGCCTAGCATTCTTCCTGATGTTATTTTTACATGCAGGGTACTGTGGTTTGTATATTTTTAAAGCCAAATAAAAATCATGTGGAAGCATTCTAACATACCACCCCCATCTTGCATTCTTCAGTGATAAAATGCCAGGAGGGTTGTGTTCCTCACCTTTTTCATACCTGGTTACCAAAGGATTTCCCCTTTAAAAACAAGAAATTCTATTACCCATTAGCATTATCCGTTAGCTGGTGCTGATAACAAACGAACATCTAAACTCCAAGAGAAGGTGTCTGGGCACTCTCCATTCATTACCAACTATACATTTTTAATAGCATTAACATAACTGCACCTTTTAGTTGTCTGCAGATTGTTTAATGAATAATTAATTACCTTGAATTTTTTTTTAAAGTTTGATTTTGTTTGCCACTCTCTTAGTTATATAGAGCAGAAAAGTCAAACTTAAACAGCCCTTACTCTCCACTATAACGTCCAATTGTATGGAATTATTCATGGAAGACCATGTCACTTGAAAAGATGCTTGTGTTAACATGGCTCAGATGGTCGGTACACGAAATGCAATGCCTGAAGGCATCTGGATGGTGCTTTAAAGGAGGTGGCCCACATCCCTCTTACGTTGGCAAAGTGCTTAACATGAGAGGGGGAAGGATGTGATTGTGCTGTAGATTTAGAGCTGCCACTTTATTAAAGAGATCTGCAGTACAATCATTTGGGGGAGTGGTTGTTGTTTGATTGCATTGTATTATAGTTTTACGTAATATTGCATTGCATTACACTGTAGTTTCTCAGTTTCATTGTTTGTTTTATTTACACACACACGAGTTATTTTGTAAGCTGCTAAGAGGCTCATAGCTGTCAACGTTTTCCTTTTTTTAAGGGAAATTCCCTTATTCTGAATAGGATTCCTTGCAAGAAAAGGGAACAGTTGACAGCTATGAAGAGGCTATCTTAAATACTAAGCAATGTATAAATGTATTAAATAAAACATCATCAACATTCAGCCTTCCCTATATTTTTAAGATGCGGAAAGGATCACTTCATTTCAGTGTTAAAAAATATTAAAGGGGCAGCCTGCTTGTTGGTGGGAGTGTTACCTACCTGCACTTGCAGGCAGCCTACATGCCAAGAACTAAACCATTAAAATTCTAGCTTTTTATTTTCATATGTGACACACACACACACACCGGTGGAATCTATACACACGATAAAAACATTGTGAAAATGCTTTTTTAAAAATTGTTTTGAAAAAGGCATTGAATTTTCTGTAGCTCACAGTTGCCATCTAGTGTCATAATTGTATATCTAGTATATCTAGTGTCACACATTCAAAAAAAAAATTTTTTTTAAATGATATTTATTGAAAATTTTAGAATTACAAAAAAAGAAAAAAAAATAAAGAAGAAAAAGAGAGAGAAAAAACAAAGGGAAAACAAACTGCAATCAAACAATACAAATTAATAGAAATCAAAATAAAAAAATAACACAACACGATCAAAAGACAAAAATATACCACAAACATTTAAAAACAAATCCAATATTTTCAACTCCTTAACTGTCATTACTTTCTTTCTTTGACCTCTTCCTCCTCCCTTTTTTTGTATCCTAGTTGTTAATTGTCGCAGCAAATCCTTTCCATATTTCATAATATTCTGTCATTACATTACCTTAATCTATTTTAATCTTATCTTACTATAAAAAACCTTGAAACTTAAAACTTAGATCTTATTTTTACCAATTTCTCATAACCATAATATTCTTACATAATTCTTTAAACATTTTTGCTAAAGCCAAATAATTTCGTTCCAACATCTTTCTAACATTCATCAATTTTATAAAACAATCCTAATAAAAAAAAATCCCCCCCCCTTCCAATCTTCATCCAGCGTCTCTTCCTCCTGGTACCGGGTTTTGTCAGTCCTTTCTATCCCATCAATCTAGCGCATTAACCTGGTAATCTTATGTCCGAGGCCCTTAAGTCCCTTCCATGTCCCTTCCGCGGCTCTTCTTCATATTTATAACTGTACTTTCCTTTATCTCCTGCTCCTTTCACTCGTGGGAATTCCAGCTTGACAATGTTTTTGACCCTTCTCGACAAATCAGCCCCTTTTCCATAGTCCACACTAAACTCCATGTGGTATTTAAAAACATGTTTCAAGGTCCCTCCAAAATTAAGAGCCCCCACAACCCCAAACATCTCACGGCCCATTGCCAGACTTGAAAAGTCCAAACATCCCTGCATGGGGGGGTCTATCCAGCCCCCCATTTCCAAACCAAACCAAACTTTATCTTTCCAAATCTGGCTTTTTCCAAGTTCATTTGTCAAATCCAAGAGCTCATGTTCCTACTGGGCCACAGCTCCCTCCATCTCTGGCGCCCAAGGTTCAGCAACATCCTCTTCCCTCATCTGTTCTGTCAGAGCACACTCCTGGTTTGATTCCTGGTTGGGCTCTATATAATTTTCCACTGCCTGTCCAAAATTTCTGATCGCATCAGTCATCAAGTCCGTCTTCTCATGTAGCTGTTCCAGTAGGGCACTTGTTTTGCAGAAAGCACGCAGCAGAGCTTCTGAATACATTGTCCTGCAAGGTCAAAAGTCTATTCCCACAATCGTAATCTGTAGCAGCTGCAAGCTCCCCGATTCATAGTTGGTTACAGTTTCACAGGCTCCCTCTAGGGGAAGAATTTGTTCTTTTCTTTTAAAGACAGATCTAACAACAAAGTTTCTTTTTTCAGATATTTTGTCAATATTTGTTCCTTTAAAATGCGAAGGGGAACAATGGAATCACTATATTTCTCTTCTTAACTATCTGTCAAAAACGTTTGTCTCTGGTCAATGAGCTTCCCAAAGAACGTCAGTCCTGACACCCCGCTCCAGGATCAAGACGGTGGAAAGTTACTTTACTTTACACTCTCTTCTGCAGGTTTAAACAGTCCGAAACCCCCCCTCTTCTCCTGCTTCCAAAGGGGGTTCAACAATTTTAAATGATGAAAGTTAATCCTTTAAAAGTGTTTTTCCGAACTCTAGTTTGCCATGTCTTTGCTTTAATCTATCTACAAAGAAACGGAAGGCTGACTTCCTGTTTAGACCTTCCTGTTTCAGTGCCAAATTGAAATAAACTTTTAAGTCCAATTTTCCTTTCTACTCGCCAATCATTATTTAGAGTCCAATTGTCCGAAATTTAAGTACTCACGGGTGATTGTTTTAAAAGCCAAATTGTCCCAGGAAAAAGGCAGCGCTCTCCGGCAACGGCTGTGCGGCTTCGCTCCACGGAAGAAGCAGTTGACTCTCAGCACCGCGCCACTTCCCCCTCTTCGCTCCGGAGCCCGTTAGTGGGTTCCTTTGCGGGTTGGGGGGGCGCTAAAGGTGCCCGCCGAGTCCCATGGTCACAGGCTTCATCCGCCTGTGATTTTTGAAAGGGTCCCCGCTTCGCCGTAGCAGAAAAGACCCGTTTCCCGTGGAGCTGGTCCCTCCAGATCAGAGGGAGTCCGCCATTACCGATGGCGCCACCCCGGAAGTCATCACATTCAAAAAAAAATATTTGCAGCTGTATAGCTGAGTCCACACACACACACACACACAGAGAGAGAGAGAGAGAGAGAGAGAGAGAGAGAGAGCAACAGACCAGTGACTGCTTGTTTTTATTTGCATCCAGTTTGTATCATAATTGCAGTGGCCTCACTCAAGGCTTAAATGCATCATTAGGCAGTAATGGCTTTGCTTTCTGACTGAAACTGCTGTGTCTTCTGCCAATGGCCTTTATATTTTAGTAACTGAAGCAGTAGTATATCAGGTCTTCTTTTAAACATGAGAACGTCTGTTGTTCAGGGGAGGATCTGTCATGAGCCACTTGCCTCTGTTCTAGTTTTCTACCTGTATATAATTTTGTGGTGCAGTCCACTCTACCTGTAGAAGCTGGGGTCTGAGATTTTTGCAGAAGTATGTAGCATCAGAAAAACAACAACTTGTATTTTGAATTAGGAGCTCATATAGTTTTTGGGTTGGATTTAGCTGAAACTGGAGAGGGGCTGGGAGGGGGCTTCTTTGGGAATTTGGTGCAGAGTTAGCAGAACTACCTGTATATATTTAAGTAAAATGTATATTATAAAGACTCCCTAAGCCTCAGTCATCAAAGCAAACAAAAGGCAGTAGTGTTGCCCTTGGATTTCTCATTGTGTCAGGGAAAGGAGGAATGTTTAACAATATATTGGAAGCATGCCTAGGCTGCAGTTCTGTGCACGCTTACCTGGGAGTAAGCTCCATTGAAAACAGTGAGACGTACTTTGGAGTAGACATGACTAGGCCTATGCTGTTAGCCAAGTTATTGCTACAAGACTTTGAATTGTGGAATCTTCAGGGCATTGAGGGGTTTGTTTTCCAAAGAAAAATGCATTAACTGTGTTGTGTAGTTTCCATTTCCAGTTAACATCCCTCGTTAGATAAAAAAAAAAATCTGATTGCATTTACAAGCTGCTTTTGAAGTACTATGTTCAAGGGTGTTTAAATGACATCATTTGTCTACATATGACTTTCACCTTCATGGAAAAGCATTTCCACAAAGCAAACTGTCAGCAAATTGACTTCTGTTTCCTATTGCCAAGTGTTTATGAGCAGCAGTCTAATGTACTTTAAGTCCTGATAATGAGGAGGGTAGTGTGATGTTAGCAAGACCTTGACATTAAAGAGGGAAAAAAGCCCAAATGATTTGTGCGGCGATGTTATGTGATGTGAGCAGATGATAGGTATTTCAAAGAAAACATAGTGCAAATATTAAACCTTAATGGCAAACTCTCAAGGGAAGAAGTTTCTTCTCTGCAGTTGGCATACTATTCTTACTACTATAAAACATGGCCACTTTGGAAACATCAATAATAATGTGCTTTCTTTTACGAAAAGGCTAAGCCTATTTAGATTTGCTAACTAGGTAAGAGAGGGACATTAGTCTGGTTCACACATCATTGTCTTAATGAATAAGATTTATAACCAAGCCTCCCATTGTCTCTATTGATTTCCAAAAGAAGGCAGCAATGTTGCTTCTTCCAGAAACTGGTACAGGCAGCAACAGAGGCTTCAGTCACATATCCAGCCTTGCTTTGCCCTGTAGTTTGGTATGGATAGGTTCATGCATGCACTGGTTGTTTTGCATATGTGTTGCCATTGCTTATATGCTATATTAAGGCTGCAGTCCCACATGAGCTTACTAGGGAGAAAGTTACATTGGCCACAATGGGACTTACTTCCAAGTAAACATGCATAGGATTGTGATATAAGTTTCTGTTTATATAAACTTATAAAGATATGCTACTGGTAGCAGTAAAGCATATTAAAGAAACCAAAAAGAACTGTAGATCAATAATTGAGGTGTCTTGATGCCCCTTGAATATAGTAAGCAGCGAAGCAGTATTTTCTCAGACAGGGTGATTCATTTCAGTTCTCTCCTTGAAGATAAAGTTATGCCCCAAAGCAATACTATTTCAGAAAAACCCAATATTTCAAAGATTTGTTGTTGACATTTGCTTACCATTTGATCAAGTGTCAGTGGCTTGATTGTTTAATGCAAACAAAGATCATCTACTGTTCAAAAAATAAAACCACCAAACTAGAGATCCATGTGCACTGTAGGAAGCACACTGGTTTTTTTCTTCACCCACAGGCTGCCTGCACTTTTTTAGTTTAAGAAAACCGATTTCTTCTTTATATATATCTGAGTAGACATGCAAAGACTGTGCTGTTAGCCAGGTTATTGCTGCAGGATAATTCTCACAAGCCATTGCATTCTGAAGTATCTGGAAGTTACTGCTGCTCAGGACTTCTAAAATCAGTACATTTTGGGAAATTCCTGGATGTAATTGGCAACATTTAGGAGACTGTTTTTCAGCTGGTGGTCCAGTCTTAGAAAGAAAGGAAAAACTATTTGAAGCAAAAGCTGTGACTGGGTTCTTAAGCACAGCACATACTTAGGGCTATTCTACGCATTGCATTTTTCTGGTATAATGAGAATTCTATTTGAAGTACTGTGCACATTTCTTTCTGATGTATAGATATGGACTAGGCATTGTTGGCCCGGGTGTAGTCTGAAATTCAAGAGAGCTACTAGCAGTCAGTGTATTGATGACAATACTGAGCCACATTGACTAATTACCTGCCTCCATATAAGGCAGCGTCCTATGTTCCTAATGAACTTACTTTCCTTGCATGACATAAAAGTCAAGCTACAAAATCACAATGACAACTGAGGTTTCCTAATGCCCCCTTGAATAATTTTTTCTTAGCCAGTTTCTTAGCCAGTTAATTACAATCCCAGCAAGAGAGTAACAAGTTAGGCACAGCAGGTAGTATCCACTCATCACAGTTCTTCACTTATAGTAGAAGTTTTGGCCAGAGGAAAAAGTATTTTAAAAAACCCAAAATTTTAAAAAATTAATTGTTGAAATACTTTCTTGTTCCTTCCTGAAGCATCTCTCTGTTCAGTTTTTTTACTATTAGAAAACCATTATATGACGTCAGACAGAGCAGCCCTTAATTCATATTACCGTCACTGCTACTCATGGCACTTATCAGCAATCTTCTCTTGCTCACTCTGATCACTGAAAGCAATGAGAACCCAATTGTACAGTTTTCGTGCTGAATCAGTGCGTTCTTCTTTCTGTCTCAGAATCACAGCTGCCTTCCTATAAATCAACTATTGTGACCTGAACATGCAGTTCTGATACCACTCATGCTTTTCCTCTGCCATTGTCTTTCTCCCCGGGACACGTTATTAAACAAATTACTTGAAAGTGCTGCTTCAGTTTTCATTGCTGATTCTCTACTGCTCTTCATTTGCCTCATTCCTGCTTGCAACACAGTTTGACTCTCTGACGTAACCTCAGAAGGCATAAATAATACATTCTCAGCTCAGCTCCTAAGGTGCTTTCCAGTGAGAAGCATAACTCTATTCTGAGTTCTTGGAAGATGGCTCTGCTAAGTAGGAGAATTTTGGTAAATGACAGCAGGCAATATTCACATTGGGAGGGACAAAAGCCACTCTTAATTAACTAAAGTGATTACAGAATTTAAAAATGTGGTGTTTTAATTAGGCTGCCATTAATTAATTATTAATGGGTGTTTGTAAACAATATTTATGCTGAGCAATCAATGTAGAACTCCTTTGCCCCACTCCAGTGATCTGTTTCAGATGCCAATTATTCCAGTGTGTACATAGGAGGCTCCCTCAGCAGCAATAGTTTTCCAGCTAATTTAAACAAACGAAGCAGATTAGTGTGAACAACAAATCTGCTGGAATGCACATGGATCTCTGGTTCAGAGCATTGTTATTGTTGTGAACAGTAGAGATCCATACACAATCTGCATCTAAAAGCAATCTGTTAATATGTTGCAAGAGTTGTCATATTTATACATACTAATAATTTTGTCCAAAAATTCATAAGCATTGGACATTGCATAAGCATATGTTTCAAATAAGCATTTTCCTTATTATATCCCCAGCAACATGTTGTCTGTACAAATTGATCAGAGTTCAATAAATTCTAAATATTATTTTTTGTTGTATAAGATGTAGTTTATAATCTAATGACACATTTGCTTCAGAAACATTACTTACATAAACTTTGTAAGCTTTGCCATGCTAGCTGTAGGATACGACATGTCTTTGCACCTGAATACTTGCCACATGCCAGACATGAACTATTGTTATCAAAGTATAACATGGATTGCTAAATCTCACAAGTTGTTCTGGTGAGATGTTCTACCCTTATATTATTTCAAAGCTGCTCTTGTATAATCCTATTTTTTCTTTCCTTCTGGTCAATTCTTAGGTCTATTGCTGTACTTGTGCCCTAGTTGTCATTTTTGTTATATTATTATCCCTCCTGTGTGCTTCTCATCTCATCATTCAAATTTACACTCTCTGAGAACATGGATGATATTTTGTCATTTTGCATAATCTTCAGGTTGTCATTTGTAATTAAAGAATTAATCTAACAAACTAAAAGCAAGTGATAGGCGGACCAGACCTATTAATGTTTACTTGGATTATATATCACCACATTCAATGTATAGGTTTTGGGTTTTCCTTAAATGAAATGGGACTAAGTATCTATATTTAAACACTAACAGCACAGTTCTTTGCATGTCTACTCAGAAGTACGTCCCATTGAGTACCAGCTGCAATCCTGTACTCACATACCTGGGAGTAAGTCCCATTCAGCTTGTTGGATCCTACTTCTGAGTAGGCTTGCCTAGGCACTGTAAGGGCACTATCACATCTCTTAAAGTAACATCTCCCCCTCGGCAGCACTACATACCGTTGTATTATCTTACTCTATAGTATGATACCTCTCTTTTCCCCACTGGACCCTTCTCCCATACACATACATGCACAAAAAGGCGGCATTGCTTCATGCAGGGGATGGACATCTAAGTCTAGAAAACTGAGCAGGGAGAGCTGCTTTCACTTCACCAAAATAAGTTATAGTGCCACTCTATTCTGCTTTTGTCAGACCCCATCTAGAGTGCTGTGTCCTGTGCACCATAATTTAGGAAGGATATTGAAAAGCTGGAATGTGTGCAAATGAGGGTGACCAAGATGATAAAGGGTCTGGAAACCAAGCCTTATAAGTAATGGTTGAGGGTGCTATGTATGTTTAACCTGGAGAAGAGAAGACAGAGAGGTGATTTGATAGCCACCTTCAAATACTGTACCCAAAGGGTTGTCACATGGAAGATGGAACAAGGTTGCTCTTGCTGCTCCATAGGGAGGGACCAGAACCAATGGATTCAAATTACAGAAAAGAGATTCTGACCAAACATTGGGAAGAAATTTCTGACAGTGAGAGCTGTTTGACAGTAGAACAGAGTACCTTATTTGAAGGTTTTAGCCTCTCCTTCAGTGAACGTTTTTCAATAGAGGTTGGACGGTCATCTGTCAATGATTCTTTAGCTGTTATTCCTGCATTGCAGGGGATTGAACTAGATGATCCTTTGGGTCTTCTTCCAACTCTACAATTCTATGATTCCATGAATTGTTCCAACCAGTGGTGCATGGTCAGTAGACATGGGCAACTAGGCTAATTCCCTTAATGTTCCCAGTAAGTTTTAAAGCCTGGTGCCTCCTTCCCAAAGCCCAGGAAGCTTCTGACTGGCTTAAGGAGAGAGGCATGATGCTAATGCATGTGACGTCAAGGACGTCAAGCACGCTACGTTCCCCCCCCCCATCGCCATCGCAAGCACTAACCTCTGGCGCTAACTGTTCCCCTACGAAAAATTTCATTGAATACCACTGGTTCCAACTGACAGTTTCTACTTCTGATGTGATGTGTTTGTACTGGGAGGAAGTTCCTAGTCCTCATGTGCATGTACAAGGATATGCATATGCAAAATCACAGCTTCGCATTAATCATATGATGATACCCAGGACTATACTTGAGGCTTGTGGGAGGAGATTGGAAACTCACAGAATCCCTCAACCGCAGCAATTGTAAAAGCTAACCTGTCCCTTGTCATTCAAGTAGGCTTCCATCTATGCCACAAAGGCATCCCTTCAATTATCCCCCTGCTGCGCCCATCTCAATAATGTAAAATTTTCCACTCCAGAGAACCTAGCTTCAAACAGGTTCTATTCAGATATTGTAACTAACTGCTAACTCACCTGAGGCTCCAAGTTAATGATTCCTCATAAATCTAGACTTGCAAAAAGGCCATACAGTATCTGTGTTTGGTGCCCAAACAGCCGTGTTTGGTGCCCAAAAGCACACTTAGTGGTACAGGGATCTTGCTCTAAACATGGTTGCCAAACATTGAGCAATCCCCTCTATAACACCAGGACAAGAAACACTCATCATTTCAGCACTGGATATCCTTCACCTGAAATTCAAAGCAGAAATGAGTTAGGACACTAAAATTACTTTTAAAAAATGTTCTTCCTGAGCAATTTTATTTTTAAGACTACAGTCACAATTCTTCTGGGTAAGAACTGATGGAATGCAATTAATTCTCAAACCACCACCAAAAACTCTCTTGCAGCTTCCACTATAATGCTTTTCCTCCTTGACATTATCGTGGCATACGTGTCTCAAGGGGATGCCATTTATGGGTGGGAAACACCCATCATTCTTAATTATTTGACAGGTGGTCACACCTCTGATTCTTCCACACAGCAAGCATTGAGAATGGTGGTTTGTGCTCCAGAGAAATAGGAACATAGGAAAATGATTTACACCACCAGACCATCAGTCTATCTAGCTCACAATTTTCTACACTGACTAACAGGGGTTCTCCAGGGTGTCAGAAAGGACATTCCCAGCCCCACCTGTAGATGCCAGGGATTTAACCTGGGACCTTCTGCATAAATAACCCACAAAAGAGGAGTGATACTACTATGGAAAGTGCAACAACCATGTCACATTACATTCTTCTTTGAGGGATTGCTTCTCAGACCTCACTGTATATTAGCCTTTAAAGCCATTATATTGTTAATGCTCCCAGATCATATTTTGCATTGCCTTTATTTATTTACTATTTTATCTATTATTATTACAATTATATTGGATTGAACACTGTGTTTATTTATGTGTGCATGGTCACTGATTGCTTCTAGCTATTTAAAGCCTCTGCTTTTATAGATTGGATGTGTAGCAGAGGATTCAGTCCAATATTTTGTACAAATTGATAGGGTTTGGGCACTGGTGCCAAGGATTCTTCACAACAGGAGGTTGAAGGAAAAAGTGATCATCTGTGCGGCAGTAGCATCTGCTCCAGCCCCTCTGGCATCCTTTTTGGGAAGGAAAATAGAGAAGAATAAGCAATTGCAGGCCGCAAAATGAAGTTAGCTAAACACGCATAAAATTCAAGTGTGCTAATACTAATGAGTTTTATGGTCAAATTTCCTAAACTCTAATTACAATCCCAGCAAGAGAGTAACAAGTTAGGCACAGCAGGTAGTATCCACAAAGCTGCTGATGACTTTGCTAATCCCACATTCCTCTCAAAATAAAATAATAAAATTATAAAATGATAAACGTTAAATGTAGCTGGCTTATCTTTCGGAAGTCATTATAATGAAATTGTCCAGTGGTGAGAAACACCTGTATTAAATGCTTGGAAAATTCAGTTTTCCATAATTCAACATTCAGATTTTGACACACACACACACACACACACACACACACACAATGTTGAATTGCTAAAATGCTTACACGGGTTATACAATCAACCATCTCTTTCAAAATTATTGTTTGCGATTGTGTGTGTGTGCATGGACTTGGGCAGAAAATTATTTTTGGTGGGCACAGAATGGACACAGTTCATTTTTGAGTTGGTGAAATATTCATGCACAAGAATGATTGCAAAACCCACAATGCAAAATGAAATCCATCTGTTAGGATTTGTGCACCTTTTGTTCCTTAACATCACTGAACATGCATTTAGCACCCAGAACATACACACAGGCTTTCTGGTGCCACAAGTTTCATGAACCCAAGACATTATTGGGGACAAGTTTTCCATTCATTATGTACCAGCTTCATTATTTACCTAAAAATTTCTACTCCACATTTCCAAAAAATATCACAAGATGCAATGGTTGGACAAACATGATTCTGCTTTCATGTCCATGTGAGCAATATGACATACCCCTGTAGGTTTTTTTTTTATTACATATGTAATGGCTGCTTTTGAGCCCATACATTTTTCAGACGAAAGCTTGACATGTACATAATCACTACGATTTTAAGTGATTCTTCATCCTTCCTGCAGCCCCCACATCTAGAACTCTGCTTCAGATGGTTGGAGTAGCTGAAAATTGCTTCCCTCCCCATTATACCGAAGGAAGCCTTACCACCAGCTGAGTGACACCATTGGATTGAACCCCATTTTTACACAATGTAGCCTGAGCTCAGAAGATGAGTGAAACTCCCTACTGATAATGCCATGGTGCTGATCAAAAGGAACTGCATGGGAGCTTTGGCCTCTTCGGTGTGTGTACTAAGAGTGGGAGCGTGCTGCCTGCCAATGTGCTTGTGTATCTCTAGAAAGTTCCAAAATGATTCCCAGTGCAGGGGCAGAAGCCATGCATGTCTGCAGAGATGACTACTTGAAGAACCAGTGGTAAACAACCACGGTTTTAAGAGCCTCTTTTACTTTACTCTTAGCAATGCATGTATGTCAGCCAGTGCTCATTCTCTTCTGAGGCCTCAGCCTTGCCAAAATCTCCCCCTAGGTGTATGTGTTGGGAACCTTTCAATAGGCTGAGCATTTGTATTGGGGTGTTTTATGGATAGTAGGTTTGTTGGCAAAATTTAATATTTTGAAATTTGTGTAAGCTAAAGCTCTGGCCTCAAACTGATCCCAGCATTGTTCAGTTAAGCAACATGATTAGTAATGGCTATAAAATTTGCTTTAAGTCCTTAGGTCATATAATCAGGAAAGTTATTAAAAATTTAATACACTGCCTTTCTAACAAGTATACATGTTGACTTAGGTGGCTGCCGTTTATACTAAAATATTCTCTCTGTTGCTTCCTGGCACTTCTCAGAAGCATATAAACAGTTCTGAAGCATCATAATAATATTTATTGATATATATTTTATATAGTGAGCTTACTGTATCATTATTAAAGAATCATTAGCTGAGACTCAGCTGGTCAGAACTGGGCCTAAATCCAATTCAAATCAAGCATATTTTCCTCATGGATGTTTTCAATATTGGGACTGAAATTACTTTTAAAACTCCAGTGTGCTTTATCAGTTTCATACTCTGTACAGAATAAATCAAGTAGCTGCCTGATATTCTGTAACATTTTATTAGCAGGTAGTATGGTATTGTCCCTTCTTGGTATGCAATCCAGCTATAAACAGTGGTTTATGGAATATTGGGACAAACAATCACAACTCCCCATTGAATGCAGCAATCATGGTTGTAAAAGAAAGCCCAAATGTTGCCATACATTTGCCCTGCAGAATACATGTGTAAGTGTTTCCTTAAATAAACCAAAGGCTAGGTGTTACAATTACCAAATTGGACCATTTTATGAAAATAATAGGCCCAATCCTCGTTACTCATAAAACAGATAACCCGAAGAGAGCATTGGGCAGCAGGACTAAATTTCAGAAGGGTTGATTTGAATTGGGTGTGCCACTCCAGTAAAGTAATAATGTTAAAACTCAGGGAATGAAGAGCAAGTATCTCTTGCAACTTTGATAGTTCATATTGGTTCATATTATGGAAGGACATCCTTTTGAGATTCTCCCTATGATACCAAAACCACCCAAATATCTTATTATCCTTTCAACACTGGGAAATTAATCTGGTGTCAATTTTTTTTTTTTGCATTCAGAATTCTATAAGAAAAAAAATATATTTCTGACACTTAGGCAGAAAAATAATTATTTCCCTGATAGAGAGTTTTGATTTACAGCGTAATAATTTTTACTGATACAGTTTAAAAGTCTTTATTGATCACAGCACAAGCTAAGCAGATTAGCCAGAGCAGGATGAAAAAGATCTCATGAAACATGTTTTTGGTGGAACCAACCTTTTATCTACCAGATGCCTTCTATAAATGAATCAAAATCTGACAAATGTTCAGAAAGCAAAGATAATAGTAAATTAAGGGAGCAGAAAGGTCAAATTATATTACAGAAGAAAACTTAATTATTTTTAAGCTCTCCCAAAGACAGTGCAGGCCACTATATTGCATATCTTCTTAAATAATAGAATCTGGGCATCTCAATTAGACACAAGAACAGAGTAAGGCCACTGAATGTCATCACCCACTTACATTCAGAAGCAAGGATATTGAGAGACAGCGGCTGCCATACCAGTATACCTTGCAATGTGAAGTGTGATAATATAATATAATATAATATAATATAATATAATATAATATAATATAATATAATATAATATAATATAATATAATATATAATATAATATAATATAATTATAATATAATATAATATAATATAATATAATATAAAATATAATATAATATAATATAATATAATATAATATAATAATATATATAAACTTGAACATTCACATCATGCTGCACTTCCACCAGCCACATCCATAACACAGCTAATCCCCAGCCAACCATCTGTTGCAAAGCAAATGCCTAGTTCCAGGCAGCAATTGTATACCCAAGGGGTTGAAGATGGTTGATGAAGGACCCTGAGTATGATACAGGGAAATGTTGGTCTCCCACCCAGGGTGAAAGGGTTGAAGGGGAAAGGAAAGATCCCAAGGGAGAACTGATAGGGGCTACTACCTTCTGTGGGTGGTAAGGGTTAAGAACTACCTTTAAGAGAGGACTCTGTATTTTTCTTATTTTTTGTACTTTTTGTAGTTGTTTTGGTTTTATTAAACTTTAATAAAAATGCAGGGATCTCAACTAAAGCATACTTGACAGATGGCCATCCTGTTAAAGGATGGACCCTAGCCAGGAATAAAAGTAGAAACCCTGTTTAAAAACAGACTTTCTAAGGTACTAAAGATGTTCAAATCCCTTCTCATGAATGATTATTCTCTACACATCAAGAGTAATTTGCTATATTCTTTGCTCAGAAATAATTGGGGGTTCTTGTTTCACCTCCTGCTGTGAGTATGAGTATGACTCCCATTAGGGAGTCTGGTAATCAGATTAGGCAAGGAGATTTTTTTTATAAATCCAAAAGATTCTAAATTTGATTTTACCACCAAACAACTGACACTCAGTTATGCTCTCCATACTGTTTGATTGGATAACAAGCAAAGACATTTGGAGATACTGATAAACATATCCTCTATGGGCACATTTAAATATGTGTTTCTTCATCGGCCAGCAGGAACTATAAATCTTTCAAGGCAAATCATTGCTCTTTTTCTAGAGACTCCTTTCTGTGCTTTTTGCTTGGCACTGATGCACTTTTATTTCTGAGGAAAGAGGAAATTTGCATGAACCTACAGGAAGGAGACCTTGTAGAATCACCTTTCCAGAAAGAATGAAAAAGTAGTTTTTATTCTTGCTGCTAAAGCAGCACAACACTGGGAACAGATTATCCTGTTTCTGTTGAATGCATGAAGGAAGAAGGGATATATTCTTTCATTTCTCCCTTTTTTAAAAAATTATTTTAATTATTAAATAGATGTATGTCCTACTGCTACTAACATGAGTTTGACCAAACTGCGGGAGGCAGTGGAAGACAGGAGTGCCTGGCATCCTCTGGTCGGACATGACTAAACGACTAAACAACAACAACAATAACATGTTCTACCACAAAGATGCAGAGACAAAGAGACACATGGTTAAAAATGACAGAGAATCAAAAGGGTAGTTTGGACTAAGGTAAAAGGTAAAGGACCCCTGGATGGTTAAGTCCAGTCAAAGGCGACTATGGGGTGTGACAGTAGGCTCACTTTTCAGGCCAAGGGAGCTGGCATTTGTGCACAGACGGGTTTCTGGGTCATGTGGCCAGCATGACTAAACTGCTACTGGGACACGGAGGACCATGATGAGTGCCACAGCACACAGAAACTCCGTTTACCTTCCCACCACAGTGGTACCTATTTATCTATTTGCACTGGTATGCTTTCAAACTGCTAAGTTGGAAGCTGAGACAGAGCAATAGGAGCTTACCTGGTTGCGCGGATTCGAACTGCTGACTTTCTGATCAGCAAGCCCAAGAGGCTCAGTGGTTTAGACCAGGCATTAGCTAGCTTTGTTCATGTTCGTTAAATATGCTAATCTCATGTTGCTTTTATTCTTATTCCACCTGTCTGACAAGTACTCCAAGCAGCTTTTGAAAAATTATTTTAAGAGTTAGTAGAAGTCCTCTCATCAGACTGGTATGTTGGGGAGCACACAGCCCTTAAAACAGGCAGGTAGGGAAATAATTTACAATGATTTTTCATTATAGTAAAATGGCAAGCTAGTTAGAGAAAAGACATTTGGATCTCTTGCAACAGAGTAACAACAACTTCAATTCCATTGCACAATTAAATTATTGTATTGAAAGGCTGTCAGAATACACACAAAGGCGGTTTTGTTTTTACGTTTGTAAATGTATGCTTTCAAGTGACCATTATAATCCTTGTCCTCTGACTTGTGAAGCTTTGCCTTAAACCAGATGAACCAGAAGGCTCTGGCACACAGACAACAAGAGCAGAGGATGTCCAACTGGCTACCACTGTTCTTTTCTGATTCTATGAAAAAGGAAGCAGCTGGAAGAGAGATTTTTGGTTAATTTTAGTTCTCGGTGCTGAGACTGCAAACTAGATAATATCCCAAGAGTAACTTGCAGTAGCAGGGAGGAAAAAGGTCCTTGGGGCCAGCTGTGGATACATCTTTAGAAACGATTTTAAATACAATGCAAAAGCTGGAACCGAAAATAGACTCATTTGGTACTTGTTTGGTATCATTAGAATGCCAAATGGAGGAAATAAATTATGCTTTCACAGCTGTTATAAAATGAAGGGTTTCAACAGGAGTTTCTAATCTAAGAAAAAACCAAAACAAAAATGGACATCTATCCAAGCAGTATTTGGTGGTTTTTGTCCTTCTGGGGCATCAGTGATGAGCACAATGAGATGCTGAAAAACCCTATGCCCATTTCACCGCTTCATAAAAGATTCAGTGGGTTGGCTATATTATCTGATTGACTGTCATATGGAGAAAACATTTCCTGAAAAGTAAAATCATTATTTTGGGGTTAAAGTGGGAATATCTTCCACTGTAGTGCATAATCTTGCTTGCTTGAGTCCTATACAGCTTCATTCTGTGCATGCTTACTCAGAAGTGCATCCCAGTGTGGAGTTCAGTAGAGCTTAGTCCAAGTACATGTGCAGGGGCTCCTTAGAGCTATTTCTCTGCAAGGCATTTTCCAGTTTTATATCTTTTCTGATATCATTATTTTTTATTTTCAGAGACATGTGAGGAAAATAAAGATTTTAGGTGAGAACAGAAGGGCATTGCACTAAGCAGCTATGGAATTATCGGATTATGATCCTGCAAACGTTAAGCACCGTTAAATTCCATTGATTAAATAGGAATGTGCTTAATCTTTTTTGTTGAAAACAATGGGATTAAAAAGAATGTAACTTTGGCTGGATTCTGCCCCTAGTCTTTACATTGGTAAAATCTCCAAATTGTGTCCAGGGTCCATTTTTCTTCTCAGGACCCAGTAAAGAAGTAATAGTGTTTCTCTCATTCTCTGGATGAGTGTGTGTATGCATTCATGAGTTGCCTCAATATACTTTCCCTTGATCATCAATTTTGGCTTGTATAAGTACAGAAAGACTAGCACATTTTGCACTTGATAGAGACTTGTGGGCTAAGGAGGAGAAGTGTTGGGTAGTCAACAACTGTGGCTGCCAAGTATGTTTAGCCGAAAGGATCAATCAAAAGAAAAAGGCATTGATTCTCTCTCTCTCTCTATAATTGAATGGATAGACCAAAGAGCCCATTAACAGAATTTTGAGATACAAGAAGATGTATTTTATCTCTTAACTAACGGCTGCTTTGGGTGCACTGGGGTGTAACTTTGGTCTATAGTTTTCTTCCCATTGCTGTTAGGTAGAATTATCATTATTATCTGCATCTATCTAATCACTGTATCTGTAAACCCATTAAAGTAATCCACTATGTAGCTTTGAGAGTAACTGTCTAATAGTGGCACTATGCAGTATTTTTGCAGTGCTGAGACAAGCACTAGGAATAGTCAGCACAATTGTTTATAGTTCTTTAAGTCTCTCTCACTCTCATTGTGTGTGGCTTTCTCTGATAGATAACATATTGCCAATCTTCTTTTTAAAAAGTAAAGAGCATAATCTCGAATATGATTAGTTTGATCAGCTGGATCAAGCAGAAATAAAACATCAACCAGGATATAAAGTTAGCATGGATTCACTCATATCAGACAAATCTTATATCCTTTTTTTGGGGGGGGGGGATAATTGAATTTCTGAACAAGGAAGACTGAAGTAGATCTAGTTTATCTGAAATTCAGTGAAGTGCTTGTTGCTGGACTCAATAAGATAGGAGACATGAAACAGGGTTATCTATGTCCTTAACAGGATCTGCAATGTGCAATATTTGAAGTCTATAACTTTCCAACTCAATGTAGAAATTCTGCTTAGGTAAAAAATGTTTCAAAAAGACAGGTGATAAACCCTCATGTAGCATAGGAAGCCAAATCTCTGAATGTCCACAAGGTTAATTTTTCACTGGACATGGTACAATAAGAAGGAACAAAAATGGTAGAAGCTCCATATTACATGTATTATTAAAATATTTGAAATGGCTCTTATTAATCTAAGAAGATAACAATGCTGAAAGGTCACATGCACCAATCCTGGCCTGAAGCCCAGAAAGGGTTCCCTCTCACCAGTAATGCCCCATGGAGGTGGTAGAAGCTTTTAGCACCTCCAGCTTTTATTGTGCAGATTCAGGGGAGTAAGTAACTTCACTGTCTCAATATTGTGATTTGCAATAATTTCTGCTTATTGCTTCCTTAAGATTTCAGATCCCATTTCAGGAACTTTTCAACACTGTAGGCATTTGTTCCTATTATTTTCTTCCCCTCTTATACAATTGAAATCATTGGGTTTTAAGAGAACCTAAGTCTGTGATGGACTCTGATGCCTCTCTCTAGCTTCAGAATAGTTATAGTGAAATAGAATAATAGGATATACTTGACAGAAGTGACTATCTTGATTTGTTGGGAGGTGGGATTGGACACTTTATGAGGATACATAGAAACCAGGATTCAGGACCAAGAACAGCTCCCTCTCCGTTTCACATCTTCTGCTTGCTTGTTGCTAAGATGCTAACCCAAATGACACTTTATCTTGCTTGGGTATTGTTGGGACTTCTGATATATTTGCTAATCCAAAAAAGTTCCCTTCTCTGTGTGAGGTGCAGAGGTTCAGCAATGGCCTTTACATGCTCTGTTTATCTAATTGCCTCTTTTCAGCCTAATGAAGTCAGGACAGCAAGGAAGGCGAGGGAGATATTCTAAGTGTCTGTTCCTCAATTCAGGAATTCCCTTCCCACCCAGAGGCACCAAAGTCCTCTTCAGGCATTCAGAATAATGCCTGTAGGGGAGCACTACCCCCAGTGTCCCCATGTGCAGTGTTCCTGCCCTCTCCTGACACTTTGTGCATTGAGCACAAAGATCTGCAGGGAGATTCTGTGTCCAGCTGAATGCAATTAGAATCCTTTGCTTGATCAGGAACCCTGATTACTGAAGTGAGCTTTGAAGAGGGTGTTAATAACCCATGATATAGCTAAGAGATGAGAGTCAATGACATACACAAAAATCACTCTAGAGAGATTTCTGAAGGAGATGAATTCCACTTTTTGGTACTCATATTAGCTATTTGCCTTCATCAAAATTTAGTTTCACATAGCTGGAATTGCTTGTTATAAGGCTCCATTAAAATGACTATGCAGTTAATCTTACATGCTGTTTTTCTCTGTAGCAGAGTGACACCCTACAAACCGGTAAAAAAAATGCAAAGTGCAATATTAAAATTAGTGAGTAGGAATTGGTGATGGGAGCATTGAAGATCATTGCAAAATGTGAAGTCATCCCATTAGCACAAGGACATCCACCTGCACAACATGATTTCTTCTCCCTTTCTTTTCTCTGCACTCTGTGTCCTGCCCCCACCAGCTTTGGAGAGTTGGAGGAAATCCCAGGGCTTGGTTGGGTGTGCGAAGTGCAAGAAGGGGAGAGGGAGAGAAAAGGTGGATGTCCCTGTGCTAACAGGACAACTTTGTTGGATGCATTCCTGTGTATTTTATGAAAGGTAAAAGGTAAAGGTACCCCTGCCCATACAGGCCAGTCTTGACAGACTCTAGGATTGTGCGCTCATCTCACTCTAGAGGCCGGGAGCCAGCGCTGTCCGCAGACACTTCTGGGTCATGTGGCCAGCGTGAGAAGCTGCATCTGGCGAGCCAGCGCAGCACACGGAACGCCGTTTACCTTCCCGCTGGTAAGCGGTCCCTATTTATCTACTTGCACCCGGGGGTGCTTTCGAACTGCTAGGTTGGCAGGCGCTGGGACCGAACGACGGGAGCGCATCCCGCTGCGGGGATTCGAACCGCCGACCATGCAATCGGCAAGTCCTAGGCGCTGAGGTTTTACCCACAGCGCCACCCGCGTCCCATTTTATGAAAACATACACACAATAAGTAACATTTTAATGTAGACATTTGCATATTCTTTGAACTAATCAGCACAGATTGGATGGAACAGACCTATGATTGAGCGCAAGTGAGACTGAAACATGACAGAATTAGTTGTGCTGTTTGCAATCCAATTTTGTCTCTCTTCAGCCCTGCACTTGTGGATGAGGTATTAATACAATATATCTTTAGCTGAAGTGTATGAGTAGAGGGTGTGTGGAAATTAAAAGGGATAGTCTCCATTCTATCAGAAGCATGCAGAAGTGTATGAGTAGAGGGTGTGTGGAAATTAAAAGGGATAGTCTCCATTCTATCAGAAGCATGCACAGCCTGAGGATACAGAGTTTCTCAGGGAGCTAAGGAGAAAAGCTACTCTGAGATGTTGTTAAAATATTGGCAGTGATTCATCACCGCAAGCATTTTAGTTAGGGCTGAATTTAACGGGCAGATTGCAGAGTTCTGCTACCTTCTGAATATATTTTGTTTCCCTCCTGACTCTTTCTTGAGAGCTTACATGCTGCTCAGCTTCTCCTGCTGCTTTTAATCTCCCACTGACAAATGTGTGTGTGATTAGGATCGACATAATGGGAGTCAAGGCACACCACTCGGGCATTACTCAGGCTCCTACAGACAAGAGCTGTAAAACTCAGGCTGGTGTCTGTTTGTGGGTAGGTTTTCATTCTTTGAGACATGAATTTTCCCATTTTGGGGGCTAGATGAAGGGCAGCAGACTAGTCTATCTCCTTCAGAACTACATTATATATAATTATGTTCTGAGGTCAGAAGTATGCATGAATGTGATGATATCCTCCTGAACTGAATTACAAAATTGTTGCCTACAGCTGAGGTTAGCTGGGAGTGGGCTTTCCCCCCTTCTGGGTGTTTTATGGATAAACAGCAGCCAAGACATGCAAGTGAGAATCCTGCAAAGAAAACAGGCTGCATTTAGTTAGCTGAATTTGGCACAAGTATCCAATAATTGCTCTGTGCCTGGATTATGAGTGGGGGCCTTTGCTACTTGATTACTTCAGTGAAGGAAGATATGGATCAACATGGGATAGCTCTGAACATTGAAGTAACATGCACTTATAGTAGAAAGCATGGTATCTTAGGAATGGGCCATGGTCTGCTGGCATTAAGACGGGTTCTGATTCCTCATCCGCTTAAGAAATATTAATGTGCTATGAATGTCCTTATTGATTTCCCTGACTCATCTTGACCTAAAATATAGAATTAATACATATTTATGCAGTTTCTTATTGGTAGCTAGCCAAGTTGAGAGTTTTCTTGTTAGCGAGGTGGAATTAAAAACAAAGGTTTTTTTATAACACAAATACGGAGCAAAATTCAACACAGAGCTAAGGATATTGCTCCCCTCTCCTTCCCCTGTGAGCTGTTTTGCAAGTTCTCCCAAACCCCCACCCAGCCAATTTGTCGGGGTGCAGGGTATGTGTAGAGGGAGAAGAGTGGGGAAGCCACATTGCATTAGCTGAAGTCCTGGCGCTGGCTTTTGCCAGCAAGAGCAGTTAATTGAATCTGGCCCCAATCCCCACCACCACCAGAGCTGGGGTAGCTAGCCTGGTGCCTTCAGAGGTCTTTGAGTACAACTCCCATTAGCGCCAGACAGGATGGCTAATTAGTATTGAAATATAATGGAATTTGTAGTCCACAACTTCTGGAGGGCACCAGTTTGGCTACTCCTACCCTAGAAGAATACTCAGATTTGATTACATTCATCAGCCTATTGGCATGTGTCCTTTATTTTCCCATTGTACCATCAGTTACAAACTATGTTGGTCTCTCAGAATAAAGATTCATGCTGCTCATGTTGAACAGAATAACATCACAGTGCTGCTTGCAGACAATGCCAAAAATCAGCCATTTACACATTCCACTGAGCCAGCAACAACTCTCAGAGAGTAAAGCAAATGTAATTTCATTGTCATCGCCGGATATTCTTTCAGCAATAGGTTTCTTCCCAGTATGTAGACAGTTCTGACTGATAATCTTGAGTGTTGGGAACTGGAGAATAATATAAAGTACAACACCATGTACTATCTAGAAGAGATACTGGTAAAAGTAATCTATTTGACACACAAGAGATACACATTGATACATATCAATGAAGAATTGCAGGATTAAAAAGGGGTGGTGGTGAATGCATCTCTTATCAGCTGTTACTGGAGTCCTTTCTGATATTTTTACAGGGAGAAGGCAGGATCCACAGGGTTCTGTTAATTATGGAATATTGAGGAATAATGAAAAGAAGATTCTTAAATAGCTTTTGGGGGGTGGGTGTTTCATGCCTTGTTTATTGACAGAACATACAGGGGACCTGGCTCCTGGATTTTTTTTCCAGAAAAGTACACTGTAGCAATGATGGCATGCTAAACCCAGACAAACTGTGAAGCATGTCTATTCTCCTGCATTAGTACTAACCTCATTTTTTTAAAAAAATCAATGCAAAAGTGGTTAAGGATTTATTTTCTCTGTTGCAATGCAGGCTATTGCATCAATGCTATTGAAAAAAATAAAACACTTGCTGTATTAGTTATTTGCTATTTTTACAAAAGAGAATTTTATAGCAACTTACAGGGATAAAAATTCAAAGAAATACAATACGGATAGACGAAGTTATGGTTCTAAATAAGTAAGTAAATAAATAAATAAATAAATAAATAAATAAATAAATAAATGCAGCATAATCAAATAACTATCTTTGTCTGTGAAAGTTTCTCTATTTCAAATTTGAATTATTCAGCTATTGATACTAGTAAGGATATATTCCATGACTATTGAGTTAAGCACATAAAATATTGTGTGAAGTCCAACTTCATTAAGAGATCCTTATGGATATTCTTGCGTAAATGGAGAGTTGTTGGCTGTCTGTTTGTCTGTTTGTCTGCCTGTCTCTCTCTCTTTTGCTGGCCATGCCCCCTACTGGTCACACATTTGGCACGAGAATAAGTCCTCTGCATAAAGAGCAGCTCTAACGACTATGTGAATCAGGATCCTGGGCCACTCAAGATTCCTCCTTTGCATGGAAGCACTCTATGCATGGGTGGGGGTGGGGGAATCCTGCCCTGAAAACGCCTGCTTCTTATATCTGAGTTATTACAGAAGAGTATACAGTACTGTCACCCTAACCAAAAGGTAGAAATTGTACTCCAGATCCGAACCCCCTTAAACAATAGACCTGAGTTATTTAACAAATGTTTACAATCTCAGGATATGCAGTTAATGGAGAAGCACTTCCATAAAGAGATTCAAAGGGCTATCTTAATGCTGGCTCACAGATGTATTTATATCACTTGATTATCACCACTGGTTTGCTCACCTCTTGATGCTTTTTACCTTAACGTGTGAACTGGCTTCATGGTGAAAAGCATTGCATTTCATGTGGTTTGAATAGATTCTTTCCTATTTGATTTGTTATGATTCATTTATACACACAAGCAACCCCTTAATGAAGATGCAGGGAACATGCATATGTGAAGTAGCTCTTTGACAATGAGCTGTAGTTTGTTAAGGGTTGCATGGAATTGTTACTCCATAAGGGGTAAACTATAGTTCCTAGAATTCTTCGAGAAATGTGCTTTAAATGTATAGTGTATGTGCAGCCTCAGCATCTGTCTGTTTTGAGAAACAATGGTGTGCGCCTTTGGGGGTGCACTGTGTTAGCAGCACTGAAGTGACCTTCCTGGTGCACAAGCCTGGGCAGTGTGTATGGAGGTCCTGGGCTGTCCAGTCAACAAGACCCCCCTCTCAGACTCACTGATGTGGTCCAAAGGAAAGCTTATATTCATTTAGCACCAGCGTGGCTGCAGGAGTTGCTGGAAGGAAGCATGCAAGGCACCACCCAACCTCTTTAGGGACTTCACTCTGGATTTGTGTAGGATTTACTCCTTGGCCTTTTCTTCTCCTAAAGATACCCCACAAGGCAGTGGAGGCTCAGAGTTTTCCTTCTCCTAGATGGGCTACCATCCCAAGATTAACAAACCCCATCTGCTCCTCACTACCCTCTACAGCATGTGCAGAAACTGCCTTCATGACCATTGGACCCACCATTGGTCTTGTCTGCACAATCCACTGGAGCCTGTCTTCACATGCATCCATGACTCACTGAGGCTTTGAGACCCATTGGCTACTTTCACCAGGTTTAGCTGGCCAGCCTAAGCTATTCTTGGGGTGTGGCCACTGTCACATGCTGACAGCTTCTAGGAACCACAAGTGAGAGATGAGTGCAGGGTGGGAACCAGGGGGACAAACCACCCCTGAAGGAGCATGACATGTCCCCCACCCCTAACTACCCATCCCCTAACACCTAATACACCCCAGCCTCAGACTAGAGATGATTACATCATGCATCTGTTTATAATCACTTTTACGCAGTTTTATTCATAGTTCCACTCCATTTTTGCATTAAACTGCTTTAAAAAAACCTCTCTCTCTTTCTATACACACACATACACTTAAACATGCATTTATTTATTTTTAAAATACAAATACAGCTGCAACATTCAGAGAAGTATGAAGTCTAGTTGACAGCTGAATTCCAACCCCCACTTTGGTCTGAGAAGTACAAATTGAGGCATTTTGTAGAGCAATCCTCAATGATGAACTTATTCAAGCATGCTTGAATAAGTAGTTGTAGTTGTAGAATGTAGTTGTAGAATACTTCATTTCAAGCTATTAAAGCCAGCTGAATTATTTGTATGCCCAGACTGTAGGCTATATGCTCAGAGGGTCCTAATAGCCATTGATCATTTGGGTATTTTTATTAGTTTAAAACTAATAAACAATTCTAATAATTAATATGCTGATTCCTTCATTTTCCTCTTGCTATTTAATTTCATGTACTTTGGGTGGCAGTGGTTGTGTGCAATTATTATTTTTAAGTATTTTTCTTTCTCTGTTGTTGTGCACAAAATACAGTTGCCTTCCTGAAACTGTTTTGAAGTTTGAGGAAGACAATATCTGGGAAAGACAGGTGGATCATTCTTAATATAATTCAAGTCCCCATTGCTAAGTGTGTGTTGGGGTGGGGGCTTGTGTTTTGAAAGTAAAACACCAGGAGTTAATTTATTTGTTTGCTTGATGTGTTTGCCACTGGATTTCATTGAAATTGAAATTCAGAGTGAGCCTGGGGCTCTCCGAGTGAAATGTCTGACGAATTTTGAAAGAACCCAGAACAAATTTTCAGAGAATCAGCACACTTTCCATGCACTCTACTTCTTGAGAAGGGATAGAAAGGAGGGAACTTATTTCTCACTTCAGGGAGTAGATGGGAGTATTACATAGAAGATCACCAGTACTGTGACTTTAATCATAATTAGTAATGGATCAGATATTATCTGTGGTTTCTAAAGGTCTGGGCTGCATTGTCCTTTACTTATTGCTATAGGCCAAAATCCACTACAAAACTTTGAGCAAAAAAGGTTTCTGGCAGTAATAATGAAAAAGTTAAAACACTCCTGTGTTCTGTCAACCCTATCCCACTTTAGAACTAATGATTTACTAAAGAATTGCAGTTAAATGAGAAGATGACTCAGGAAAACAACACAAATGAAAGTGATTTGTCCAATGATTCTGGACATTGATAAGACTTATGGGGTGAAATTCAAAGTAGTGCTAAAGAGACTGCTCTGTCAGTACAAGCATTTCTGCTCCCCTGATGGAAGAACCTTCTCTATCCCAAGCCTGTAAAGCTGATTTTGGATGTGGTGCTGTGGCAAGAAAAGGAGAGGGGTAAAGCCCCATTGTGCTAGTAGGACTTGTTGCACTGGCTCCCACTAGCGCAATTAGTTAGCTGAGTTTGGCCCTTAGCATATTGAAGGAGAGCATGGCTAGCTAAAACCTTGAACAGGAATGCTCTTGAACAGGAATGCAGTGTTTTGTTGCAGATCCCTAATGATCATTGAAAGCGTAGAAACAATTGAGAACTATTGATCTATTGATTTATTGATGAATGTGCCATAGATCTAAAGGAAGCAAGACAGAGTCTAGCTAGATACCCAGAACTTTTGAATAATAGAATCATAGAGTTGGAAGGGACCCTGTGGATCATCTAGTCTAACCCCCAGAAATGCAGGAATATGCATCTGTCCCTTACGGGGACTGAACCCACAACCTTGGTTTTATCAGCACAATGCTCTAACCAACTGAACTATCCGTCTACAATATATATTTCCAGATCCACCATATGACTCAGATTTTGCTTCTGATAAATTTCTGTAGCACTTTTATTCATTTTTCCTCCAAGAATAGAATTTTTGCCTGTCTATGATTACCGTTTGCTAATGGTAAAGATACTGTGCGCATATCCTCTTTCTCATGCACACAGACAGAACAGAACAACTGCAGCCAGCCCGGGAGAGAAATTGGAGGGGCGGGGGAGAGAAAAATCTCTAACTGAACCTTCAGTAAAACTTGAAAATGATGAAACTAATGATTGAGGCTGGAATACAGCCAATATACCCCCAAGCAAACAATCCTACACATGCCAAAGGATAAAATAATCCTAACCAGCATGCCTCAGGGTAAGAGCTTTCAAAGTATGCAAAGCCCTTTGGGATTACTCATCTCTGTTTAAGTGTCAACATTGTTATTACCTTCAGGGAGTTAGTAGTCTATCTCTCAACCACCATTAGTTTATGTTAAGCCTTCCTTTTCAAGGTACTGATTCCGGAAATAAATGTTATATAAGAGAGAAATGATTTTGCAGGTGTCAATTCTGTTGATTAAGTGTAATGGCAGGAATGTTAGGCTACTTGGCAGTGCAGTACATGGAGTCCTCAATTGCCAACAAGACATTTATTCACCTGCATGCTACTTAATACCCAAACAGCTCAATACTTAAGCACTCCCCTGGCAGAAATCCCAAGCATGAAGTAAATCAGGGTTGCTTTAGCAGAGAATTCTGAAGCAGGCTAGACGACGAGTTTCACAAAGGCTATCCAGGTGCCATAAAAATAATGAAGACTCTAAAATGTCAGAAGGTTCATCAGTACCTATGGTTAAGCCCAACTTGAAAATGCAACTATTACAAGATTTATTTCACAAAAACTTTCTGTTGTATACATTGTGCCACTCAATCCTTCTCATGATTACTTGGAAGCAAGTTCCACTGAGCTAAGTAGGGCTTTCTTGCAGGTAGGTGTCTACTGGACTGCAATGTTGGGCCAGGTGTTATTATTACTCACTTCATTTCTATACTGTACTGATTTTTATTTTTAAGAAAAAAATCTCAAATGATTTACAGCTTACCTTGAAACATCAAATAAAACAATCCAGAATAAAACATTACTGAAGAAAGTCATATATAAAGTATATATTCAAAGCAACATAATTAACAGGAAACTAAAATAGTGCCTTAAAGATTTCAGAATAAAACATTGCAAAGGAGGTCAAATACAGAATGCACATTTAAGGAAGCAAAGTTAACAAAACAAACACTATATTAAACATTTCAGAAGAAAATGCTACTAAAGGAAGTCAACTATAAAATGCACATTTAAAACAGCATAATTAAAGGGTTCTATGTGCATGGGCCAGAGTATTTGAGTCCTCCACTTTTAAAAGCAGATCAAGTCCCACCTCTTTCCACTGACTAGTATTCTGGTCCCAAACTTCAGGAAATTTGGAAGCATATTCTGATTATGGATGCTTCCAGGTGACCTGTCCATTGAGCATTCATCCGAATTTGTTTTGCAGGCAGGTTAGATGATGTTGTGTCATAGAATTATAAAATTGTAGAGTTGGAAGGGACCATGAGGTTAATTAATCCAACCTCCTGCTATGCAGGCATCTTTTGCCTAACATGGGGCTCAAACCCATGACCCTGAGATTAAGAGGATCATGCCAACCAGCTGAACTATTTAACAGTTGGTTAAATAGTCAAGCAAGTAGTGGTTATGGTGTTGGACTATGACTACAACCTGGGAGATCTGGGTTCAAAGTTCATTCAGCCATGAAGCTCACTGGGTGACCTTGGTTTAGTCACTGCCTCTCAGCCCAACCTACCACACGGGGTTGTTTCTGAGGATAAAATGGGGTAGAGGAGAACCTTGAGCTCCTTGAATGAAAAGTGGGATAGAAATTCAGTATATAAACAAGTGAATTAAAAATGTTATCCAGTTCGTTTTCCCTGTCACTTTCCTTATGGCAAAAAAATTGAACTTTGGTGTGCAGGACCTCCTGACCAATTGTAATTGCACAGCCAGCATCTGCTGGTATGTCATCAAATGCCACTTGAAAACAGCAACAGTCTGGAAACTCTAAAAGTAGAGAAAATATGTCAAGCCTTTAAATATGTGCAGAAGCATTTAAATCCTATTTTGGGGTATGCTCATTTATTTATTCAATGAGCACTGAAGGTTCCTTTGGGTGGCTAACAAATCAAAATATTAAAAATCACCAAGGAAGGCCACATTGCAATACATAATTATAAAACCAGACAATAAAAACAAATATGCAAGTCATTGATAACAGGGCCCAGCAAGAATATAACCATGATTATTACAGCAACTTAAAAGCCTCATCTGAATTCTTACAGAAGGAAGGTGACACATAGACTGTTCTCTTAAATTGTTTCTTTCACTGCAGAAATTCAAACAAACAGTATTTTGTTAGTGTCACTTTTGTATAATCATAATGAGCTCATGAGCTCACACCATCACCTTATACTATCAAAATTTTTTAAAAGTGTTGAGCTATGCATTTTTCTTAAATTGAAAGCAGTATAGCCCATGGCCACCCTATACTCCTTTCTATTGAAACTACCTTCAAGAGAAAGAATGGCCTCAATTGCCCTGAAACCTTTTGACTTTCAGCTGTAAAACTCTTGAAGAATCCAGTAATCTACAGATCCATACAGGGGGGAATGTGTAGGAATCCTGTGGCCATGTGGAACCCATTAACCTTTCTGTAGGGAAGTTTTGGAATGTTGTAGGTTAAATGAGCAATCAAAGTCTGCCAAGCAAAGAGCATGTATACAGCTTCAGGGGTATCCTGTGATCAAGACTACTGTATTAGCTTTTTGCATGTTCCCAAAGTTCTTCTAGCAGAGATTTGCGGTTTCCTTCAAACAACCTGACTATTCAGCATTCTTCTTGATTTGCTTACACAAAGTTTAAACACTTTAATCCACTTCAATTGCACAAATGTACATTTCCAGCTTGCGCTTTAATTACCCTCTGCAAAATAGTGACAATCTGGAGGCACTCTCAAAGAAAAAGACAAAAGTAACTACCATTTTACAGATACAGCTGAAAGTTTCCTCCTAGTGCAACTCTATAAAAAGTTATCCAGAAGTAAGCCCCACTGAGTTGCATATGATCGCAACCTTATTTACTCTATAATTCTCAAAGTGTACTTCCTTCCCCATCAAATATGACAGGCGGGTGTAGCAATTCACCTGTCAATTAACCTGACATAATGACATCTGGTGATGATCACTGGGACTTCAAGGCACCATGCAGGGATTGCAAAAAAACTCTGTGAAGTGCTCTGAAAGGGCACTGATCAGCTGAGGCTTGAAAACACCTATCAGCTGATATGCAGTGACCTCAAGCCTGTTTTCAAGTCAGCTGAGCAACCAAGTACCCCTCTGGTGAGCTTAGTTGTGCAGCTGGTCTAGCGGGATTGGAGTCACCATCTATTAGCTAGTAGGTAGTGCCTTCAAGCCTGCTGGAGTTCCCCAGGCCTTGTTTTGGGTAGGGATCAGCTGTGTGGTACCTCTTATTGTCAGTCAAATGATTATCAGTGGCAGCAAGCCACTGGCAGCAAGCCACTCGTGCCACAATTGACAGCACACTTTAAGAGTCCCAGTTGTGTCTTGTGCCTATCTCTACTTGTCCTACATCTGATGTCAGGTGTAAGGCAGCTATAGATAGGGGTAAATGGCCTCACAAGGTAACTGGGATTTAATTAGGCATGCAAGACAGAGGTTCACCCACTCACTGTCTCACACATACACCCCACCCCCCAGATATAGCACCACCAAATCACAGCTCTTCTGCTTTCGACTGGGAATATCCTCTGCTTCCAGACTTCTAAAAGCCTCTAGCCAAGTGAGCCACTCCCCTTTCCCTAGCCCCAAAGGGGTGATTGGCATTGCAACCACTGTGGGGGGGGGAAAGGGTTAATGTGCCCATCTGTGTTATGAAAGCTATCCCTACTGTCCACATTCGTGTCCTGTTTCTATGACTTTTTCTCTCTACTCATCAGCAATTTTATCAAACTAGTAAACATTGTATGAAGCATCAGTAAAGCTTGTCAGCTTTTGAACAAGCCCCCGTAGCTGCCTCTTTAAAAATAGTTTGCCTTCAATTAGAAGGTGGCAATATTTAGTTTCATACCAATGAAAGTTTCTCCTGTTTATTTCTGTATATCAGACCTATGTTCCAGGCACAGGGGCAGGCCAGACCATTTTACCAGGTCAGTTGGTAATCCAAGTGGTAAGTATATCTGTAAATTCACATTAGAGTATCTTTGTGTCATATGAAACTTTCATTTAAATAACTTGATTATTAACCATTATTAAATCAAAGCAGATAGTCTCCTTAGGACAAATGCTGGCTATAGAAGAGAAGCTACCTAGCAAAGGTGAGGGATGGTGAGGCTGCATCTTTATTTGGAGCCCAGTCCTGTGACTTCTGAGTAAACGTCCTTAGTATCAGGCTACACAACACACACACATTACCCAAACAAGTGCTCTTTTAAGAACACACTGGTGACCAAAATAAACACAATAACACTTTATATTTCCTTTCAAAAGCTGGAAAGCATTTGCAACCTTACAAGGCAATTAAAACAAAAATCTCTCTAGCACTATCCAGAGTCACTTTATGCCCGCAGATTCCATGACAGCAAACTAAAAACCAAAAGCAAGCAGCTTTTGTGCATGTACATAATAAAGCAGATAGTCTTTGCTTTCTGTAGGGGGTAATCTAATGCAACAGCTTAGAGTGTGCTGCAGGGAGCTGCTAGATGAGAGCAGCTAAGTTTTAAAGATTTGTTCTACACAAGAGGACTTAAGATTTGAAATAGGGGGAAGTGTTAGGCTCTCTTGCCCCTCATCCCAATTTTTGGCAAGGGGTGGCACAACACTGTACAATGAATGCAACACAAGGGAGTCTTTAACTCTGCCCTAATTAGTTTCAATTTTCTACTTTAATTCAGGGAGACAAGTTTAGTTTAGACCAGCCATGTTTGCCCACCTGGGGCATAAAATAAAATACCACAAGCAGAGATTTGTGCAACTCCTCCCTGACAGCAATAAACATAGCAAAATAACAACACATTAAACCATCCGCTGCAGTTTCGTGACATCCCAGATCACTTGCCTAAGGGCAGGCTTCCTCAGCCTTGGCCCTCCAGATGTTTTTGGCCTACAACTCCCATGATCCCCAGCTAGCAGGACCAATGGTCAAGGATGATGTGAATTGTAGTCTCAAAACATATGGAGGGCCAAGGTTGAGGAAGCCTGCCTAAGGGTATGACCAGCCCTCTACTTACAGTCATCATTCTAGCCCTACGTTTTGGATGTTCTTGGACCTTCTGTTGAAACCTGGAAGTAAAGCTGTTACTGCACTAATAACCTTATATATGTACCTGCCAAATGGCTTGTGTTATGCAGACTTTAAAGCAGAGAGCGGGTGGCCTACATTCTATTTCCATGCCCTCTCAGCCCAAATTAATGTGGGTTGCAAGGAGAGAGGAGGTGAGGAGGAAGGTGCCCTGCTCACTTTGCTCTGACCTCCTTTCACTGGCTTCAGCCCTGCCCATTGGTGGTATGCACTCCCTGACAGACTCTTCCTGCAGGAATGTGGCCTCAACAGGAGAAAGTTCCCTACCCCCGATTTAAAAGTAACTATTCATTTATAAAAAAATATTCAGAGTAACAAAGAGAAGAAAAGCTTTGTAAGAAAGTCATCTGCTCCATTCTACTTTACTGAATATAAACTATATGCCTACCCACCCATGTTCACCATGTTCCATATTTTTTACACAATGTAAAAAGGTCAGAATGTTACAGAGCACACAGCACTGAACATCTAGAGCGTATTTGCTTTCTTCTTTTTTTAAAGAAAAAAAGTTTGAGTAAGATTTTTCATGGTCAAGGGACAGAGCCCAAATTATGCAGAATATATAAATATGCAATGTTCCAACATTCATGTTTATGTTGCTTCCAGAATTCATATTTTCTTAGCACAGCATTTGAGTTACTCTGATGCCAGAGGTTTTTTTTTAAAAAAACACAAAAAACTATCATGGGCACCACAAAATGCCCATTTCACAGAAGGGAAACCCTGGCAATGCTCAGAACCTCACCCCTACCCTGCCAAATAGGCAAAATACTCCCCCCCCCCAAACACAGACACAGACAAGAAAAGGCAACATCTTCCTAAAAGCAGCCTATTTCTCCTCACCAAACATCCATCTCAAAGTAAAAAATGACAAAACAAAAATTGGTAGGAGTAGGGACCTTTGGTAGATTATGGTCTTATTGTATTCAGGATCTCATAAAGCTACTTTTTCTAATACATAAAGAGAGTTATTACCTTGTTTAATAACTAAATGGCAAGTAGAAATCCAACAGTTGTGGTTTCTACAGCAGATGCATGAGAATATTCACTTCTGAAATATCTGGCATGCATTTGTTAAAAGCACCAAACTTCTAAATAGCCATTCAAGTTGCAACCTTTCATTGAATCCAAAAAGTTAGACCTATTATTGAGCTGGAGATATTATGCTGCCCCAGACAGTTTTTCCATGAAACCTGTATGATTTTCGGGGTGTGGGGGCATGTTATGTATCTAACAAAACAACTGGGGAAATATTATAGTAGCTGGGATGTGAGAAGCCTTCTTCTGTACATGCCAAGCCAAAACTACTTTGTAATGCATTTTGCCAAAACCTGACAAGATTGTAAAGTTTCTTTTTCCTGCCCCTGTGTCTTTGACAGTAATCAGAAAAAGCAGGTGAAGCTTTTCTTGAAATGATAAGAGCAACTTAACCTGCTTAATTTATGAGGTTCTTCCAGAGGAAACGTGGGATAGAAATGGCCACTTACCTCTCTCCATGGTGGCAGTTGCGGCCTCAGTGCCTCGTCTCCCCGTGGAACCTCACCGTTTTTCAGTGGCCGTTGCTGCTGCTCCCTGGCTGCCGCAGACCCACATGGCAATCCACCAAGCCCACTATTCAAATTGGCCTATCCATGGCAGCCTAGAGGGTTTGGGGAGTGGACCTGAGGGACACAGTCTTCTCTCAGGTATGTTTCCCAGGCGTAAAAGCAAGCCAAGGCTGCAGCGCAGTCATCCAGGAGCATCACCTGTGCAATCCTCCCTTTAGACATTTATGTTGTTTCTTTTAAGCTCCTTTTCTTTCCAGCTTAGCGGGCTTTGCTATGGTCTTTGGACGGTTGCCGTATTTGGAGCTGGGAAGGAATTTTCCCTGCACTGCAGGTTTTGCCTTCCCCATGGCACTATTCACAACTTTGGTGGTTTAGGCCTTGGGCAGAATCCTTAGGCTATCTCCTAACCTTGGGGGGGTGAAGTGGTGACTCACCCCCCTTCCAGCGGCGGCGTTTACAGGGCACCCCATTAGAGGGGTCTTGAAGGAAGACCATAGAGCCTGAAGCGGGTGGGGACTGGGCCATGGAGCTTCCTCAGCACTTAGGATCAGGCCATCCATGTAAACCTGCATTTTGCGATGGCCCCTTCTCTTCCCCAAGCAGATCGTGTTGTGCCTCAGACCCTGCACTACTGGGCTGAGAGGGATACATGCCCAGTGCCTATGCCAAAGATTTGCCTACCTCTGAAATCTATAAAGTTGTGGCCTTTTTAATCCCAGACAGTTGTGATGTCCATTTATTTAGTCAGTTAGTCAGACTCCCCAGTGGACAGAGACTCTATGGCTGGGCACACAATGGAATGCATGTGCCACAATTGAGTTGGGCTACTGAGAAGGACGGTAAGTGGCAACTTGTATGTTTGGTGTGGAAATGGAACTCAAAACCACAGCTGTCAACTTTTTCCTTTTTTTAAGGGAAATTCCCTTATTCCAAATAGGATTCCTCGCAAGAAAAGGGAAAAGTTGACAGCTATGCTCAAAAGTAGGCAAGATTTTTCTGAGAAGCGGTCTCTGTCTTCTTAGTCTTTGGGTAGTTAGTTAACTCCTGCTGGCAGAGGCAGCCAACCCTGCAGTGGGCTTCTGAAGTCAAGCTATTGTTTGTATACACGGTAATCTCAGTGAGAGAAATTTCACTTGCTTTTACTGCATGCCACTCTGTGGTGGGCACAAATTCTTCTGCATGTTGTTATTTTTTTAAAATAAAAAATACCCCTTTTCATTCATGATAAATCACTTCCCCTGTCTCTGAGAACTAAGTCAGAAATCATGAATGTGAGTTACAGGGAAGAAATGTGATGTATACAAAAAGATGCACTTTAAACAGCAGCATTTCAGTGCAGTAGCCATCCCCCTTTTGACTTTGGCATTAATTGCTGCATTACCCTGTCCTGTAAGTCAGCAAAGCTTGGTATATGAGCAAACTCCTCCTCCCTGCTGCTTTCTACAGAGGCTCCCTGTGCACCAAGTACCATTCGGATTGGTAAAGCCACAGGGCATCTTACGGCATAAATGTAGGCTGCATGGTTAAAATCTTGCTGGGGTGAGCTGTACCTTTAACACAGACTATACAAACAAGCCTCTACTGCAACCTTTCCCTGAAAGCTTTAGAGAAAAATCCATTTCAGCTCGGAGGTGCTGCTGCTACTGCTGCTGCTGCCACTGGAATCTCAGATCAGACTTCTGTACCATCTAAGTTGGAAAGGGACTTTCCTGTCTCTGGACTGAAGGGGAGAGAGAGAGAGAGAGAGAGAGAGAGAGAAGAGCTTCCCTCCTCTTCGGTCAACCATGAGTGACTGTTCGAAGAGATGTAAACATGGAATTGTTAAATTTGCCCAAACCATCTTTAAACTCATCACAGGGACACTGAACAAAGGTAATGCAAGGAATTCTGTCTTCTGTAAACTGTGGGGAATGGGGAACCGCTGTTGCCAATTGGGGTTTTTATTACGGCTGAAATTAGCCAGGTCCCTTTGGGGATGTTGTTTCCTAGAGTGAAGTCATGTGCAGTGAAGGATGGAAGTGATGCTGGTTAGCCTTACATAACTGTTTGTAACTTCGGAGAGGTAGTTGTGGGCTCTGAGACATTCAGGCTGCAGTGTTTTCATTCATGTTTTTTTTGGGGGGGAGGTGTTGGTTCTACAAGCAGGTTTTTGTGCAGTTGTAGGAAGTCACTGCTTGCTAGTGTACACAAAATAAAAAGGTTTGGCAAAGTGTTCTGCTCTAGTGTCAGATTAGTATCTTAATAGTGTACTTGTTTGAGAATTCGTCTTGTTGCAAGTGGTAGTGTGTGTCTCTAAAAACCTTTAGTTCTAAATCTGGGACATTAGTTATTGCAGGCATTGCTTCAAAAGCTATTATTCTTGCACGCTTGCAGTATCTAGAGTGAAGTGTGAATCAGTTCACTGAATCTGTTTATTTTTAGATGGGTCAAAGCCTTCTCTTTCCTGTTTACCTCCACTTTCTCCTTTCTCTCCCCAGCTACAGAAATGGGGTGGTCCCTGAATGTATGGACATCAATGCCTTTTTTCAAAAATAATTTTAAAGAGTGAAATTTTCATTGGCTGTTTGTCTGAACTTTAGGAACAGGGAAAGTGCTTTAATTTTCTTAAGTGTCCTGTGCAGTCAGACCTCAACTGCTTCAAATATCTAGTTGAGACTTCTCTAAAGTTTATTGGCTTGAGCCCATTTTAAAAACAGGATCACATGTGTGTTTAATGCAGCTGTTGAGTCTCATTATGGTTACCTGATGAGTTTATTTCAATAAAAGAACATAAAGCTTTAAAAACACATTATGTACATTATCAGAAAAATGAAGGAATGTTTCTTGAGAAGTTTGAAACCTCATATGTACTATTTTAGTGTTAGTGGTTGTGGCGGAAATGTGTGTTTGTTTTGGATATTATTTTCCCACAGAAATAACTGAATGTGTACCTGGGGATGTATGTTAACAGCTGGTGACAAATACCAAGATATAATGTATTAGCACATCCTCTTCTAGTACAGATTGGGGAATTAATTCATTTGATTCCTTTGTATTTGTAATGAACAGATTCAAAAATCCAATAATGGCTGGTTCCTCTCGTGATTTCCAAGTCAGTTTATACAAAACATTACAATCTCCATGTTTCTCTTATTCTTTTGCTGTTTCCTTCCTTCCTTTGTATGAAGACTGTTGAGCGTAAGGCCAGCTGAGAGAAATGAAAATCAAACAATTTAAAACTTGTTATAACTATCAGGTGGTGGCAGTTCTTTATCATCACCAAGGTGCCTTTTCATACAGAAGCACTGAAAAAAACTTTGCAGGACAAATACCATGCTGGACAATCGCATGTCAGTGCTGAGAAAAGAAGTGGTGGCATTCTTCCCCCATGGATTCAGGCTTCCAGCACACCAGTGTACTAATTCCTACTTCTATGGTGGAAAGAAGTTATGTGTGTTCTTAAAACTTTGAACTTGGTGATTTCTCCCCCCCCCCCTTTTGTCCTTCAGTGAAGCTGGTCTCTTTCTGAATGTCAGGTGTGCCAGCCACCTAGGGGAAAGGTTTCGGGAGGCACTTGGACAAGACACTCTCATTGGCCCCCCTTTCCCTTACCACTGCAAACTGCATGATAGTCCTCCCCTCTAAGCACAACTGCCCTGAGAGAGAACAGAAGGCACAGGCAGGATGCTGCTTCATCTTCTCACAGATATCACTGTTGGGGTGCTTAGAGAGGGTAGGTATAACCACAAGGTTCAGGAATTCTCAGCGGACTCCTTGCAGAGATATGGGTCTTTCAAAGTGCCAGATGATGCCTTGGGCAAGAAGACCCAAGAATCCTCGCTGCATTATGGTTCCAAACAATTGATTTAATACAATTTTAGCAGATTGATCCCTCCATGCTCACCTTTGATAGCTTCAAAAAAGTGAGGAAATTTGTCATTCAACACTAACAAAATTAGGATAAATTTAGTATCCCTGAAGGAGAAGCACAGTTGGCAATGGAGTGCAAAGGTCAATTTATTATACAGTATGTGATTATGTATATGGATTATGCAATAAACTCAAGCAGACAGAGTTTGTTTGTGTGTGTGTAGCCCAAGCCTAAGATGTTTACTGAGAAGTTCCCATGAGTTAAATGATGTGTGCTACTACTTCAGATTGATTTTGGGATATTGGTGTATTGAGACTACAATGGGGTTTGTGCCATCTAATGATTATGGTTCCCCTGAAAACAATATTGGTAATAGTTGTGTGTGTGTGTGTGTGTGTGTGTGTGTGTGTAGCCCCACCTCCCACCCCCAAATGAGGCAAGGTAAAGCAACTGCCTTAGGTGGCAGGATCCATAGGAGCAGCAAATCCCAATGTAGTCCTTTATTCCCTCCTTGTTTCTGATAATAGATCTTCACTCACCCCTTCTTCCCTGATGCGGAGCGAGAGTATCATTTTGTCAATCGCCTAAGGTGTCAGTTGTGCGTGTGAGAGAGATGATTAAGTGTGTATACAGAGAGAGGGAGAGTGATGGATGCTTGTACACACACTGACACAGAGAACCACAGTTCCCACAGATATCTGATCTGGTAAGAGGAAATGTCTATTAGACCAGCACAAATAAAGGGTATAACAATGGTCTTGCTTCTGAATTAAACACCCCTGTTGAAGCTCCAAACCTGCTGGGCTTCTGCACATGAGTTCTTGTAATGAATTTATAGATTATGCTTCACATTGGTCATGCATGAGTGTGAGACCCTCTAACCAGTACAAATGACTAGAAAATGTGTGTTGCTTTACAACACTGGAATCATGGTCCCATTGCTCATCTCTTGTTTGAAATGATGATGTGTGCTCCGACTTAGTCATTTCTGTTTTCTGGCAACATCCAACTTCAAAGCTGCAAACATTAGATGTTTGTGGTCTCCAAGGAATCAAACTTTTGAAACTTTAATCATGTCTTTTCTTTTGCAGCATGACTTTCAGACTGGAAGATGCAGACTTAGGAAGGCATAAACAGTAGGAACAAGTTGATTTTAAAATGTCTCTCAAGTATCTGATGTAATTAAAATCGAACATTCTCATATAATAAGTTAGGAAACTAAAAAGTCAAATAAACACTTATTTAATGGATTAAACATCTTGTAGAGAAAAGCAGTCCTGGGTAAATGATGGCATTACAATTAACTAACTGTGATTACCTGATGGGATGAGAACTGTATGTTCCAGAAAATGTTTCTTCTTCTGACACTTAGGATATTCTGTTTATTTACTAAACTGATTGCTCCTGGATATAATGCAGATCCAAAGAGATCTGTACCATCCCCACCCACCCACCCCCTTCACCCCAGTGGTACAGACATGTTTTTCCACATTGCCTCTTTCAAGCACAAGTTGTACAAAAATAGTAAAAATTGCTCAAACCACAGAATGATATGCCATACTGTCAGTCAACATTCTATGAGATCCATTGCTGGTTTTAATGCTATGGCTTGTAAAAATTGAGGCTAAGAGCTGCAAATCCTAGAGCCCAAGTAAATGGATTGCTGTTCTTATACAGATTACTTGCAGTCCATGACTGCATGTGTTGGTGGGCATGCTGTACACCAATGCTCGTTGGAGCCCCAATTCCTACTGCAGACTCTCTGGGAAGTGGCATTTGATGTGGTGTAAAGCACTGCAGCTGGAAGGGAAACGTCATCTACTGTCAGGGATCAGTATTTTCAGGTATGTGCTGAAGGGAACTCCAAAAGCTACTTGGCTGCTCTGCCTCTCCTCCCAGCTGTCTGTTCACTGCCATAATCAAGTGAGGAGAACGAGGGCAAACTTGCTTCAGGAAAAGTGAACAAGCAGCAGCATTAACAGCAGTGATGAGGAGGGGGTGGGTCTGCTCAGGGCTTTGGTTGCAAGTGGAGGACACCCATCAGTCTAGAAGTGAATAATCCTTCCAAGGAACTCTTCCTTGAACCAATACCACTACGGAAAATAGGTAGTCCTGTTTCTGACTCTTGCATTGCAGCTTATAAAAGTGGGGGAGAAGTGCATTCTTTGCACTTGGAACGGTTTCTGGAATTTGTAACTCATCAGTGCCCTATATGCAGATGCAACAGGCCTGTGCATGAGCCACCACCTCTTGGAAGTCCGCAGCAGATGTGTGTAGAGCCCACTCCCCATAAATGCATAACCAGTAATTGAAATATGTACCAGTACCTGGGCCAAGGTTTAGGATATTCTGGCAATTATTTAGTATTGTTCGAAAAGGTCCATAAAAGTACCCAAGGTTGATAATTCAAAAGAGATCATTTGTATAATGTAATAAGAGCAGAGAGCTATTTAGTTGATGACTCATCTGGGATCTTCTTTCTCAAAGTTGGAGAAATTTCTGTAGCTTAAGTAACCTGCACTCTTTCTTTGCTCCTGAAAGTCCCTGTTAAAGCTACCACTTCAGGATCAATGCATGGGATTTTTTGTGTGTATGTTTAGTTTCTATTATGCATTCTAAGTTTCTGGCAGCTGGTAATTTTTGCCTACTTTTCATTTTAATTGCCTAATTATCTGCTCTGGTGAAATAAAGCCCTCCCAGTCTTTTCATCTGCTCTCCCCCTCCCCCTCCCACCCGGCGAACAGATGAGCTGTGTAATATTTACAAATGTAATACTATAATTAACAGCATATAATGTTTGGATTAATTTTATAATGTTTGCTGCCTTCATCCTTGTGGTGATAAGGGATGTTCTTTGTACTTGTGTAACAAATACGATTGATCTCTACTAAGTATAACAGAGGAACTGTGATATGTAATCTGTAGTGTGTAATCTGTAATCTGTAATATGTAATCTGGAGCCAGTGTGGTGTAATGGTTAAGAACGGTAGTCTCCTAATCTGGGGAACCGGGTTCGCATCTCCACTCCTCCACATGCAGCTGCTGGGTGACCTTGGGCCAGTCACACTTCTTTGCAGTCTCTCAGCCCCACTCACCTCACAGAGTGTTTGTTGTGGGGGAGGAAGGGAAAGGAGAATGTTAGCCGCTTTGAGACTCCTGAAGGGGAGTGAAAGGCGGGATATCAAATCCAAACTCTTCTTCTTCTTGTATGGCCAATGTATTCCTATAAAATATCCTATAAAATATCCAGTCTATGCAAGTATGTAACTGCTGCTGTGTTTTCCTGGTCAGCCAAAGGAAGTAACTGCAGATGTGATGAGAACATCAGCAGGAATCAGTGATAGTGGAAGCATATTTTTGCTTTATCTCAGTCAGGACAGTGATCCAATGTAGAAATTGGCACTTTATTGGCATAATCTGAAACTCCTCCTTCTATGAAAGGCAATACTGTTTGACAAAGAGGTAGGTATGATCAACTGCATTCAGGGAGCCTTTAGCATTCCTGTATTGCAATTGTGATAAAGTGTATGTATGTATGTATGTATTTATTTATTTATTGGATTAATATTCCCCCCCCCCATAGCCAAAAAGACTCTCAGAGCAGCTTCCAAAAATCAGCAAGAAGGTGGTCAAAATTAAATTATGACACATGAGGAGAAAGCAAGTTCAAGCATATGGTATTCAAGTTACAGTTCATATAAACAGCAGTTCATCTCTGGAAACACTCTTGTCACTTCAATCCCCTAGTCAACATCCAATATCCAGGTGCAATGCCCATGCCATGAGGACAAAAAAGATCCTGCCATGCAGTTCTTCCCTCAGACTAAATGGCTTTCAGCATGGTTTATGAGCTGCCTTATGCAGTGTTAATTCTGATGATAGTCGGTCTCTTGGGCAAAATTCTTTTATAAGCTTGCCACCTGATTTCCTTGAAGTGGAGGTGCTGTGAATATAACCTTTTAAATAAAGAATATATTTGTCCACGGAAAGAGAATAACCCTCTGGGTGGACTCGCAACTACCCAGCTGGCAGGACCAATGGACAGGAATGGTGGAAATTGTAGGTCCAACAGGTCAATCATGAGTGATCGTGGTCAGTCGTGGTCGATTGCGGCTTACTTCCAATCTCCGGTAGCAGAAAGTATTGTTTTGAAAGTCTCCTCCCCCTGCCGCCCTCGCTCTGTCCGTCTGTTACATGAATTGGGTGGTCGTTAGCGCTACTAAGCTTTCGTGTATTTTGCTGAGTACGTTTGTTAATAGTGCTATTAATAGTTAATAGTGCCGTTGCTATTGAGCGTTTATTGTCCCCCCCCCCAAAAAAAGAAGCTCTGGAACTTTTGCCTCCTGTAAAAAAAAGCTCCACAACTGAAGCCTCCCCTCCCAAAAAAGCTAAACAACTTGCCCCCCCCCCCCCAAGCTCAGCAGCTTTGAATCCTCCTCTAAAAAAAGCTCAGCAACTTTAACCTCCCCTAAAAAGAGCTCACAATCTTGGCCTCCCGCCCCCATTACAACAGGTAGATCACTGCCAGTTGTTTTATACTGGGAGTAGATCACAGCCTCTAGAGAGTTGGACGTGCCTGGCCTAGAGCATCTGGAGGCCTGTTGGTTTCTTATCCCCGTTGTAAAGAATGTGATACAGCTCCATCCTTGGCTGCTGGCTTCTTCTCTTACCCTACCGATATTCATCTTGTGTTTATCTCTTTTCACCTGTCTCTCATGTCATGGAGAATGGCAATGGTAATATGGTATGGGCTGTTTCCTGAATGGACTGGTTTATATTAGATATTTTACTGTGGAAGAGCCAGGTGTGGTTGATACCGTCACATTAAATGTTGGTCTACAGCTGTTAGCACAGTTCCAGATTTTTTAAAATGGATACAGGCAGAAAACACATCAGGATTGTAAGTCCGTGTTCTCCTTGAAATGAATATTCATGGAGTATTTCCACTTGGGAAGTTTAAATTCACACAGAATTACAAATCTACCCTTACTCTCATTTTTCAGTGAGCTTCTAATTTCGTTGCGTTGCCAGTTTTCTAATATTTTCCTTTCCAAGGAAAGAGGATGGACTACATCAACTGCTGATAACTTAAGTAGTTACAAGATTTAAAGTAAGAATGATTAATGGTAACTCTCTAAATGGGAGGCACGGTACAGTAGCTTTTCAGAAGAGTGGCGAAAAGACCGATGCAGCTAAGCATTGCTGAGGTGCTAATACATATTGCCCAAAATAGCTGAAATCCTGCAAAGAGTGATGTGTTATAAAATTGCATTTCAAAAGTTGATACTTTATAGTCAGCGTTTATCATTAACGTAGCTTTGCACTTGGATTATTCTGAATAAGATGTTGCCTCTGAATAATTATTATTCTGTGTAAGATGTTTCCTCTGGACTAAGTTGCACAACATTACATTCACACTGTAAGAAGCTCAGGGTTATATCTCCTCTTTATAACCACAACAACTCTGACAGGTAGGGATTGAAACTCAAGTCTCCTGAAACCTGAGCCACTACATTGTGCTGGTTTTTGATGTGATCAGCTCCCACCATTCTCAGATGTTTGCTGCATGCTGGAAAATAAAACTAGGTAATTGTGGTTGCAGTTTAGGAGGGCAGTTCTTTATCTTGTCCTGGTTAAGGAGTTATGTTCTGCTGTTCTTGATTGCTCAGATCACAAATTATAGTTTCTGCTTGAACTGGGGGTAGCTAAATTGCAAGGCGCTGAAATTTATGGTGTGCACTCTTATACTGTCTGGTGTCCTTATTATGAAAAGTGCTAAACACATATGACAAACACTAGGATCCTTATAGGAAGGCTGCCATGTTGTTAGCAGAAAAATTGGAAGAAGATTGGGCTTTTCCCACTGTTGGTCTTTGCTGTTGTTACATTTGTATTACAGGGATGAACAGTGTCTATGTATCACTGTTAAAACATAGCTTTTTAGGCGGCTTTCCCCCTTGTTTTTGACTGGATGACTGAAGAAATGGCAACTGCAGAAGACAATTTGATGCAGGCAATTTGAACTATATTGGCATATACTCAGCTTTAATTTCTCCTGTTCCCCCACAGGCCTTATTTCAGATGACTGACCACTTTGAAACGGAGCTACAAATAGGCTTCATGGAGCTGTGAGGTTCAACACTTCTTTTCATGCTGTTCTTGATTTTTTTTCTCCTCTTGAAAAGAGCCTTGCTTCTTTTCAATGATGCAAACACTTTTCTGGCTTCCTTAATTGGCCTCACATTTGTGCCAGCCTGAATTTGTTTGAACTATTGGCAGCACTGAGTTCCATTGATCATCATGCACTCTACTCCATCCTTGTGTGCCTGCCTGCTTCTAGTCCTGGATTTAGTTCTGCTGCTTCATCTTAGAATTTTACTGCTGAGAGGTGTTCTGTTTATTTTGCATCTAAGCCCCAACTAAGACAATGGTAATCTGAAATAATTCAGTTTTGTTTTTAAAACACACATTAAATGAATTGCTTATGCAGTATTATGCTGATATGTTGTGACTGTATTCTGCTGGAGTTTGCACAAATGAGATTTGTCTTTCCATTAAAAAAGATAAAAATAATATCTTTCTTTACTTGGGAACAAATGTTGTGAGCAACATAAAGAGCAAGTTACATAAAGGTACTAAATTATTATTATTTATTTAAAGAATTAATATACCACCCTTAATTAAGGACAGATAGTACAGTGGAACCTCTACTTACAACCATAATCCGTTCCGGAAGTCCGGTCATAACTAGAAACATACATAAGTAGAGGCGCACTTTTCCATAGAAAGTAATGGAAAAGTAAATTGATCCATTCTAGACCATGAAAAACACCCCCTAAAACAGCAATTTAATACAGATTTTACTGTCTAATGAGACCATAGATCCATAAAATGAAGGCAATAATCAATGTACTGTACTATAAAATAAATAAGACAGTATTGTAAATGAAAAAAATAACATTTACAGTATTTTCTTACGTGCACTGATGATACAGTAGTCATTGTTTGGATGGGGGGGGGCTTTTATCCATTTATGCAGTCACACAATCAACCAGTAGTTGAACTGGGTGCCACACAGTCACAAAAACATGTGCTCTGCAGCCAGTGGGGTGAGCTCCGGCAAACCGGAGGCCTCTCCCCGGCGGCGGAGGCCCTAGCGCTGCACTGCAGCCAGCCGGGTGAGCTCTGGGCTGCTGGCAAGGCCTCTGTTCGTATCGAGAGGAAAGTTCATAAGTCGAAGCACCTACTGAAGGTCGTAACTGGAATCGTACGTAAGTAGAGCCGTACGTAAGTCAAGGTTCCGCTGTAATACAGTGGTACCTCGGTTTACAAACTCAATCCTTCCCGAAAGTCTGTTCTTAAACCAAAACAATTCTTAAACCGAGGCACGTTTTCCCTAATGAGGCCTCCCACCGCCGGTGCCCTTCCACTGTTTGGATTCTGTTCTTAGACGGACGTAAAGTTCTCAAACCGGGACACTACTTCTGGTTTTGCGGATTTTGTAAATCAAATCGTTCGTAAACAGGACTGTTCTTAACCCGAGGTACCCCTGTACAAGCATCAAACAACACAAGTTTGTTTTAGATCCTGGTGTGATGTAGCTAATGTAATATTTATTACACTGATTAACAAAACATCAATGTTAGATTCCTGTAGCAAAACATTTCAACTTCTGCATTCATCAGTTGTTCTGATCAGAATGATGCTTTGAGGATGGAACTCTCAGAAGACCTTCATTTGCTGAAGCTAAGTGATGCTGGCACTGTCCTCTAGGTTGCAGCCATGTAATGTTAATGTGACCAGCATGTACATCCCTAAGTTTTCTCTTTTTGCTAACAGTGCTGAGTCTGTCGGCATTTCTTTAGCAATTATTGGTTAGTCAGACAGGCTGTGGTTCTTGGAGTTAAAGTGTTTAATGGCAGGTTGCTTCACACGTTTTTTGGTCAAAATTTGCGGTTTCTAAAATGTACACATAGGTTGGTTGTTGTTTTACGTGTGTGCTGGATATTGCATCCCCCCTTTTGCATTTGATTATATAAATCATATTGCAGGACCTACAGGTGATGATGACCAGTTTGATGTAGCATGTTCTTCCCATCCTGCTGCTTTTGAAAGTAGCTGTCCACATGAGATACACACAAGTAATAGAACAGGGCTGATGTAATTTATAAGTGTGTGTGTGTTGCTTATAAAATTAAAATCAGAGCAACGTAAGGCAAGAGTATCCGAACAAAAAGACATTAAAAATATATGAAGTTCAATATATTAAACACCCACTTACAACATCAGCAGGAGCAAGAAGCAAGTCAATAAAAATAAACACTAAAAGCTTGGTAGCAAGTGCTCAGGAGATCAGGAGATAATGCTAGAGTTAATGTACCGAAACAACTAGCCAAGTAGTCTTTTGTTTTTAAGCTCATGATTTTGTTTGCATGTTGCAGGAAGACGTCATGATAAAAAATAGGCTGCCTCATCATGGAACTGAAGTACCCTAGTGTCTAGTGTAGCATCATGTATAGCCTTGAAAGTGTTCATCGTTAACTACAAAATAAAAGAAGCCCAGGTGCTCTAGGCTCAGGAACCAAAAGAACTGTGTGAGCTTATGGTGGTTTGATGTCAACTTGTGTAGGTCTGAGATCTTTCATTCAGATGTGTCAAGCCAGAGGACTATATCTCTGGCAGGGACTGTGGGGTAGAAATGAAATCTGTTGCCAGAAGGGCATGTGCTGTGATTTTGTCTGACTTCAGAACATGACATTTCAGCCAGTAAAACTAAATAATTCATGTGGATTATTTTAGATGCTTGTAAAGCCTGCCTTCCATGGTCAGATTAACTCTTAGTGTGAAAGTTACCAGTTCCTGGTCTTGAATGGTGCTACATTGACTCTAAAAATTAAGAGGCTCCATTGCTCCTCCTTCTGTTGCCATGAAAGGCTGCTGAGCACCTTTGTTCATGTTTAACTTTCCCAATTATTTTAAAGCATGAAGCAATTTTACAGCACTGTAGATGTTGAAGCAAGCATTTATTTCAGCCTGGATGCCCAGAAACCCTGAATTTATTTCCATTTCAACTTGGATGCCCAGAAACCATGAATTTCTTTCCATTTCAGTTTTTGAAAAACAAACAAAAAACTGGAATTTAAACTGGCATTTTCTAACAGAAGTAATCAAAAGACTTTCTGAAACATGAAACCCCAAAGGGAATGCCTCCCCACTGCCACCACTTTTTGTATTAGCTCTGGGAGGTAGATATACATGGATACAATTGTCTGTAATTGGTCACTATTGAATTAGTACCCTGAGAATGCATTGGTTCATACAGGATTTGAAACTTAAATATATACCTATATTTATGTGTTATTTTATTGCTATTGTGACAGAACTCCTTAGGGTGCTGTCATTGCTGAACAGGGAATTTAATTTCAGGGGATGGGGGGTTTAATGAGGGACAAAACTGATTTAACAGAAGATGGTCCTTCAATTTATTTCTCCATCCTAGCTCTATTTTTATGCAAAGTTAGTGTCTCAGTCTAGCCAGGTTTTCACACACCTATCTTAAGAAAAGAATTACAGTAATTTAACTTTGCAATTATTCTTACATCCTTGGGGTTGAAATGCATTTTCCCACTTCCTAATCTTGCACTGCTGTCTTCTATCAACCTATTTTCATGTTTCCTTCCCAAATTCATCAGTTTTTATCTTTTTAAAATTTTGTTCTCACCTTGCTTTACTCATTTTCTGAGCATCTTGTTGTAAGATCACAGTTTCAGGAAAGGGTTTCGGAAGTGATACAAAAAAATCAGGGTAAAGGAGTTAGATAAAATCACTATAAAATGCTGTAGTGATTCAGAGGTTTAATCTGTAATCAAGATGAATTGGGATTGTTGATGGCTCTGGTAACTTCTCTCTCTTACATCAGGGATAATCTGATTATCTGCAGGGATCGCTCTCCTCCCGCTGAGGCTTGGGAAGGAAGCTGCATGCCCACCAGCCATATGGTTGACAAGGCGCAGCTAGCTGGTATGCAGAGAAAGGGGAGGCCACTGGCAAAGCTGTGCAGCTCCCCCACTCGCTGGGGTGCCCCTGAGAGGCTAGCGCCCTGGCGCAACGCGCCAGTAACCCCAATGGGAAAGACGCCTCTGAGAATGAGTAATGGCATCCTCCCCCCTGCTCATGGAAGACCTGCAGGAAATCCACCTCCCTTTCAAATACTTGGTTTTTGCTCTTGGCAAAACTGGATATAAGCATAATGAAATATGGCTCCATTATATTCAGTAGGGGGGAAATGTAAGATTAGGAAGCCAGCAGTTCAGATCACATCATGAAAGGAATTTCAGGGCTAGGCTTTGAGATAATTCTTTGAAAATTCTCTGGTTTTCCAAGATTGGTTTAAAATAGCATAGCTGACATCTGTATTTTGAACACTTGTTTGATTCATATTTCATTTATGTCAGTGACCAGAAGAGAAAGCTGCAGCCCTGAACTCACTTTTCAATGAGTAAGTCCCACTGCACTGAGTAAATATACCTAGGATCTTATTATACGACTGTGCTCCTAGGTCAGTAATGCCTTTGCCATGGGACTAGCCCAAGAAAGCTAATGCTATAGATTTGTTCAAGTTGCCACCAAAGTCTTTGTTGATTTCCCTCTCATCATGATTTTTCCAGAAGCTCATGGTGTGCACAATAGATGAATATAAAGGTTTGGGTATACTCTGCCCACAGTTCATGCACTCATCAGACCTTTGGAATAGAATATACATAAAAACTATGCACTATCCCCAACACTGTTAAATGGGAGAACTCACTGCATAAATTGGGAATGGTACATTGGAACTTCCCAATGCACACCAGTGGGGAAATTCATCACCTGATGGGCCTGGTTCACACTATGTAATGATTTGGGCTAGGCTAAGACATTTGCCACATTGTCAGCAGTGAAAATAACAGCAAGATTATCTCTTAATTTAACTTTAATATATATATTCACACATCTATGCACAGGCACAATACTGATCAGTAAAGTGGAATTAAGGCTTTGAAGAAATTTCTAACCAATCTGTGTTCTGCCAGAAAATGTCAAAGAAGTTATTGGTTCTTGCCTTTTGACAAACATGCTTGCCAACTTGTCTGCCTTTGTGGAGGGGGAAGATCTTTAGAAAATTCTCAGCAATTCCACTCTCCAACACCATCATCCTGCCCTACATTTTCCTTGATTTTCTAGTCTATTGTATTGCATAGTGCAGCTGAATAAATAAAAATAAATGGTTTCGAAAATTGCCTAAGGAACCAAGTCTGTACAACATAATCAGAAGTGTGTCAGAGCCAATTTCAGACTGAAAATCGAGCAGTTGCATGCCCCAGTACTCTTAAGTTCTGGTCATGGATGTAATGACTTTGACTCCATATGGGAGGGCATGTGAAGGGTAAATAAGGCTGCTTCTTATTTTAAGACTAAGGTGTTTTTTTTATGACCTCTTAGTGGTATATGTTAAAAACACAATGATTATATTTAGCTTTTTTCTAGTTCTGTGTGAAAAGTGACACCACATTTTTGGTATAAAAGCAGGATAG